GAGATATAGTAGAAATCTAAAAGGTATAATACCTTACTATAGTACTAGATAATTAATATAGAGTAAGAATTTAGCTAAAGGTAGTAGTAATAATAACAGTAATAGTAATAGTAATAGAAAATAGAAATTTATAATAAGATAATACTTTAAAATAAAATCTAATAAATACTTAAAATACTTTTATACAGGGATATTAATATAATTATTTATTAATATCTGTCTCTTAGAGATAATAAATCCATCTATAATTATAGTATATACTATATTATTTTATCTAAAAAAGGTAAACAAGATACTTTATAAAGTTTTATACTAAGTATTAATAAAAGTAGTTACTATAGCTTACTTATCTATAGTTTAATAAAATATTCGTAGTATTCTATTTACCTAGTTTAACTGTAATAATAAAATTACTTATTTGTTAAATTAGTTTTCTATACTCCTACTTATAACTATATAATAAGGTTTCTAGTTTTTATAACCTTTTATATATTTATTTAAAAACTCTTTAAAAGTTAAGGCTATTACTAGCTTAGCCCTTACTAGTTAGTTAACTAGTTCTTAAAGGTATTTTCTAGTTTAGTACTAAGCTTCTTTTTTATATAGGTTTAAGTGTAAAGAAGCTAATACGTATTATATAAAATAGATAAGTTAAGAGTTAATTCCTCTAAAAAGTAAGATGTTATATAAGGTAAGTACTCTACTATAGTATATAGATTTAGTATTTCTACTAACTTAGCGCTAAGGTTATATAATAGTAAAGTAAATTACGTAATAGTTTAGTTATAATAATATATCTAGGCTTTAATCTATTTTAATACCTTTATCTTTAAGAGGAGTAGCTCTAGTACTTATATATTATAGTCTAAGTCTATACTATTAACGTTATATACGTAAATTACAGCCTTCTAAATTATATAACTAAATAACCTAAGTATAATTCTAGTAGGCTATATACTATATATCTATCCTTCTATTTATAAGTACTAAGTATTATTAAAGGCAAGCCTAGTATAAGAGGCAGTAGGCTTCTAGTAAAGGCTTACGTTAAAGTACATAATTAGGTAGAAATAAAATAAAATTACTTTTTATCTACTTTTAATAAAGTATTTATAAAGTATTTAGTCTACTTATTAAAAGTATTAGGTTACTTTATAGGTAATATATTATAATAGTATTATTCTCCTTATTTTGCCCTAGCTAGGCCTAAGGCTTAGTATATACTCTAAACTCTTTATAAGCTAAGTCTATAGCTACTTAAATAACCTTAAGTCTTTTAGGCTTAATAGTATTACGCTATATATTATATATAACTATTCTAGGCTTCTATTAAGTTAGCTATAAAAGCCTCTATTATTTTATACGTATAGTATAAACTCTAGTAAAAGCCCCTTTTTAATTAGTAACTAGGTATTAAGGTAGATTATAGGTACTTACTAAAAGATAGTTAGTGTATAGATTAGTTAAGGCACTTATAGAGTTATATAAATATTAAATTCTATTTATCTAATAGTAACTTAAACTTTCTATATATAGGTAGTTTATTTAGGTTATATTAGTAAAACCTATAAATAAGGTTTAATAATTCTATAAGGTTTATAAATAGTTCCTATAAAGGGTTATTCTTTTTCTCTAGGTAGCCTAACTACTAAATATAGTACTATAGTAGGCTATTATAGTATATTATTAGGTTATATAAACACTTATAAATTTAGGAGTTTTAGATACTCTTAACTATATAGTTAGTCTTATTATTAGCTTTAAAGTTAAACTATACTAGTTATTTAAGATCTTATATTTATCTAGTTATTAGAGTATTATTATAAAGGTAGAGAAGCTATAGATAAAATATATTATATACCTATAATATTACAGGTAGTAGCTATAGCTAGTAAGTATAACTATAGTCTATTTCTTAAATAACTTTAAATAGTTCCTTATTTTTATAATTAAGAAATTAGCTAAGGCGTATAATACGTAAGTTTCTAGTGTTAAGTATAATAAAGTTACTAACTTTAAGTTATAGAAATAAGAGTTAGTTAATATTAGTATATTCTTTTTATTTTATACTAGCCTACTATAAAGCTTCTTTAAGCTTCTATTAGAGTACCTTTATACTATCTATAAATTTATTAGCCTTAAGCTGTTCCTAGTATACTAGTACTAAAGCTATAGTTTATAAAGTAGTAGGTAGTTTAATACTTACTTAAGAAATATAGCCTTTAGTAGTATAGAAAAGTAATACTTTAGTAAAGGTATTAGTACTTAAGTTTACTCTAAACTTAGCTATTAGTAGAATTAAGGCCTAGTTATTCTACTTATAATTAATATAGGCTTATAGGTACTACTTTAAATTAGTATTTATATTTTCTATTTAGCTATCTATTTCTAGGTAGTAATCTATACCTAGTTTAGGCTTTATACCTAGGTACTAGTAAAGTCTTTTCTAGAAATAGAATATAAGTTAGCTGCCTTAATTATTAACTATCTAGTCTAGGTACTCTTCTTCCCTCTATATATATTTATTATATACTTAGACAAGTAAGTAAACTCTAAAGCCTATTATTAAAATAAACTTCTTTTTCTTTATAAGTCTATCTATAATAAAAAGGATATTAGTAAAGATTTATTAATTATATTTATAAGAGAGTAGTACTGTAATATAGTCTATAGATATATTTAACTAGTATTAGTATAGTATTAGAAGTAGGTAGAGTAGGCTGTATTTACTATTATAATAGCTTTTAGTACGCCTATATAGAAGGTAGTTCTTAGTATAGTTAGCTATATTAGTAGTTATTCTTAGCTAATAGTACTAGTAGATAGTTTTAGTATAGCTTTTATATTTACTACTATAGACTCTAGAGAGTAACCTATAAATAGTATCTAAAACTTAAGTTCTAGTATTCTAATTATTTAGAATATATAAATACTTTTAAATATATAGTAAAGTATTTTAAAGTTTATAGTTACCTAATTTAATATAAAGCTTCTATAAGCTATAAATAAGATTATAAAATCCATATTAATATTCTTTTCTCTTTACCTATATAATTCTGTATAGTGTTAGATTATTTAGAGCTTATTCTTATATTAGTTATAAAAGTACTTTAGGGCTTATATATTCTAGCTTAGTATTAATAGGTATAGTTATATTTTTCTCTAGAGGATAGAGATTAATATATAATCTTATTATTATATTTTTATATCTGTATTTTAATTATTTATTAGTTTTTTTTCTAAAGTTTAACCTAGTTATAACCCTCTACTTTCTATTACTATTACTATTACTATTACTATTACAGTTACTATTACTATTACTATTACTACTACTTGAAAATTAGTAAGCTTAATTCTTATTTTATATTAATTATATAGTTCTATAGTAAGGTATTATACCTTCTAGATTACTACTATAATTTTTTTTTTCTAGCTAGTATACCTAGAATCTATAAAAGCTTACTTAAAGTAGCTTTTATTTTTAGTTAAAGTAGTATTAAAATACTACTTAATAGTAAGCTTCTTAAGTTAAAAAAGCTAGGTATTAAAAAAAGCCTAATTAGTTTTATAAACTTATATAAAAAGAAGCTAAACTTTAACTTTATAAAGCTATACTTTAAGTCTTTTATTAACTTTAGAGTACTATAAGATATTTTTACTTCTTAGGTAAAAGGTATTACTATTATACTAAGTAATACTCTTTATTTTCTTTTACTACCTAACTAGGTCTATAGAAATCTTACTAGAAATATCTAAAGTACTATACTAGTACTAGTAATTACTTATATTAATTCTTTAATTATTAGTTTACTATAAGATATAGTATAAAAACTCTTAGGCTATACTAATAGAATTATATTATTAACTAGGTATAATCTTAGTAGTAAAGAAAAACAAGATAAAATAAATAGATAAATAAATAAAGTATATAAATTTTAACTCTTAAATAATAAAGGAAATTTATATACTAGCTTATTTATATAAATAATTATTACCTAGTTATATATTTAGAATTACTAGTTAATTAAAAAGTTCTTTTATCCTAACTATAGTTTATAACCTAAAGCTAAACTAAACTTTAATTAATAGCTACCTAGGCTTCTAATATATATCTATATTAGTATATTAAGTAGCTAATTATTAAGAAATAGCTAATTAGCTCTTTATTACCTTTACTATATACTCCTACTAATATTTACTTTATAAAAAGAGGCTAGGTATTAGCTTCTATACTAAGTTACTATATTAGATTCTTACTATATTATATCTATCTATCTGTACTATAAGTATAAATACGCTATAAACCTAAAAAAAAAAATTAAAAAAAAAAAATAAGATATTTTATTTAATTAGAATGCCTTACGCTAGTAGTTACGCTAGTAAATAGGTAGAGTCTAAGATTCTACCTAGGTACCCCCTAAAACTTAACTAAAACTAGTCTAATTTAGGCAGTTTTAAGTTTATTTTTAAGCCTATACTTAGGGCTATTAAACAGGGCTAGGGTTATATTATCTTTTGTTAGTATTAGAGGAGCTATAACTAATAGAAGAGCCAAAAAAGGTAACCTAACCCCTACCTAACCTAGACTTTTAGGTAGCTAAATAACTTCTAACCTGTTACAGCTAGCGCCTAGTTAGTACAGCACGATAGAATGCGCTAGCCTAGGGCTACAAAATTACCTAAAAATTGCCTACCTTGGACTAGTAGATGAAAAGATATATCGGAAATGAGAAATTTTCAAAAAAAAAATTTACCAGCCTAATCGCGCATTTGTGGTTGGACTGTATTCTTTCAGATTATTTATTTCATGATGAATTGCATTACACAGATGTCGACGCTGCCGCTCACCTGCTCTTTTTAAGGAGCGGACACACTAATGCGGGGTCCACCATGAGGCCTCCAACAGCTGAGCTACGTTACGAGCTGAAGCCCTTGGTAGAGCTGAGGCTGACATTGTACGGCGCAGCTGAAAGTGCAACGATCAACAAGCATATAAATCAGCAAGTCCATAATTCGACCAGTTGCTTTCGTCATACAACTTTAATCACTCTTATCGCTTCTCGCAAGACCAAGTCAGCTATTTAATCGTTCAAGCTATTCACTCCCATCAATATAAAGAAGTGAGCGGTTGACGCAACATGTCTTCCAACTTGAAATCAACAGATAACGCGCACAAAGTAACCGCGTCGAAGATTCTCCGTGTTATCGAACAATATGGGCTCAACCACCAACGGACAGGGTCGTGGGACGGTTTCGATACTTTCCTGCCAATTGTAGTAGGGCAGGTGGAGCGTAAGGAACCTGTACGCCTGCTCCTCCCCGGCTTCCCTTTCAAGTCACCAAACACGCAAGACAAAGTGCTAGGCGTGTTGCCTGACTTGGGAGAAGAGCTTGCACTGAAGCACCTTGACGGGCTATGCACGAAGATCGACGCTATTTACGAGCATGGTTCTGAGATGCACATTACGTCTGACGGGCTTGTTTATAACGGTATTCATCACACGATAACAAGTTTGACAACATTCAGCTGATGTTCTTAGATCTCCTCGGCGTTGCTCAAGAAACAGTCTGGGACTACGGCCAGACGGTGCGTCAGATTGCCGCGGACAACGGTTTGTATCACATCAGCTTTCTGCGGGTTGGAGACCTGCTAAAGTACTCTGGCGATTTTCAATCCAGAGAATCCTACCTGGAACAAGCATCGAATATCCGGCAGGAACTGTTGTCTCGTTTCGGGGATTCACAATTTGAGGCAGACATGGCCAATAAATCGACGTCAGACATGCAAATGACGCACACCAAGTATCTCGAGTTCCTCTCGCAAGACCTTGCACTCAACGAGAAGCACATGAAACTCTCCCCAGAAGAGCAGGCAGTCAACATTGCGAACACAGCAAAGGACATGATGAGCCGGTGGAAGGCGTTCGCTGCTGCCATGGAGGCCTCGCCGACACAGTATGTTCGTCTGTCGATCCACGACTCTGGGGGTAAAGATAAGCTGTCCATGGCTGTGGTTCCACAGCAGGACAAAGGCGCTTTGGGGGCTACGCCGTGGCATTCGGCGGTCGTGGTTGAGCTGGATGGGACGTGGAGGACTGTGCAGAGACACTTGATCGACAAAGAGGTTTACGAGCTTGTGGAGCAACACGGACGGCCCTACTTTTTCCGAGCCAAGTCTGAGCTGTTTGACTGGGGGGTGGACGTCCGGTTCGAACACCTGTACCCTAGTGGGCTTGTCGTGCGGCCTGGGGAAGCGACGTCTGCGCCTTCCCTCGAAGCGATTCCCATGGACAAGGCGCGCGAACTGTCGCAGAGCTTTGGGTCGGTGGTGCTTCGTGGGTTCGGCGGTGCATCGCAGGACGACGTGATCGTGTCTGGCGAGGAGGGTAGCTGAGAGCGGGACAGTGTGGTCATGTCTCGTGGGAATGGCGGTTCGGGGCAGGGAAGACGGGGAGGCGCGGGGTGGGCATGATGGTGGGAAGATGTAGTATGCGACTGCAGTAGAGCCGTGGTCTAGGCGCCGTGCGAGGGCACTCGGATCGAGGGCGCCAGGCTATGGTGGATGCAGGGGCAGTAGCGGGCATCGAGTCGCGTAGGAATCGAATCTAGAAGGACGTAGCGCCTCGGGAGATGCACGATGCGTCATGGCGGCAGGGATCGTGCCTCCGCCTGCTACCGCCCAAGGTCACGGAGAAGCCTCTTCGACGGCCGCACCTGCCCCGGGCCATGGAGCGGCGCGTTAGCGGGCTGGTCGTGTCGCCGCCGTGCCGGCATCTTCACGTCTTCACCCCACGCCCAAGACTGCCGTCTGTTGTGTTGTTGTTGCCGTCGACATGGCACCGCCGCCCACGCCGCCGCCGTCGAGCGAGAGTACGCCAAGCGAGAGTGGGGACGTGAGCACATCGCCCGCCATGCTCAGCGGCGACGACGACACGGGCAGCGACGACTGGCTGGACACGCTGCCGCAGACGGAGCACGGCCGCTTCTTCCGCCAGACCGACTGGGCGGGCAGCAGGCTGGGGCCGACGGCGACATGGAACCCGACGCTGCGCCTCTTCACGGGCTTTGTGCTGGCCGACTCGCGGCCGGCGTGTATGTGGTGGTGGGTGACGGGCAGCTTGCACAGGGCCGAGGCGGCGACACGGCGACATGGCTGACACTGACACTGACACGGGCACAGGGGACCCGACCGCATCGCCATCTACAACGAAACCTACAAGACGCTGGCCGCCGGCCTGCATCCGGCGCTCATGGGCGCCACCTTCGAGGAGGGCTACCCCAAGCTCGACGTGCGCAGCTACTTTGAGCAGGCGCGCACCTCGGGCGCCGGCGTCGACGTGCTCTCGGGCGCCTGTCTGGTGCTCGAGCGCAACGGCTTCCCCGAGGAGACCTTCTTCTCGGCCAGCGTCGTGCCCATCGGCCCCGTCTACCGGCCCGAGGGCTTCTACAACACGGCCTCGGAGGTGACGAGCCAGAAGCTGGTCGACCGCCGCACCTCGATGCTGAACGCGCTCGCCTCGGTGCCCGCCCAGACCGTCCACGCCGTCACGGCCCACATCCTGGCCACGCTGCGCACCAATCCCAAGGACATTCCGCTGGCCATGCTGTACCACATCAGCAACGACGTGGTGCGTCTGCAGGGCCACATCGGTCTCCCCGCCGCCCACCGCCTCATCGTCACAGAATGCTCTCTCGACAACCGCGAGGGCCTGCTGCCAGACATGCGCCGCGCCGGCCACGCCGCCCTGATCATCGACTGCGACGACCGCTTCGACGCCGTCGATTGGCAGGGCTGGGGCTCGCCCGCGGCCAAGATCGCCATTCTGCCCATCATGAGTGGATCGCTACTGGTTGGCTACCTGGTCCTGGGCACCAACCCCTATCGCCCGTACGACGAAGGCTGTCAACAGTTCATCCGGGACGTCCACCGCATGGTGTCGAGCATCGTGTCGTCTGCAATTGTTTCCGACAACACCAAGCAGCGCCAGGACCAACTCGAGGCCGACCTCGCCTTCAGCGATCTCAAGCTGCGCCATCTGATCAACCACGCCTCGGTCGGAATGTGCCATGTGTCGCTCGAAGGTGACATGTTGTGGGCAAACGACCATTATTACGCCCTGGCAGGATCCACGGCAGAAGCACACAAAGTCCGAATGTCCATGTTCAACCCCTACCTCGACGAAGACCGCCACATCGTACTCAAACTTTGGGAAGAGCTTCTAGCGGGCGTGGAACCCAAGACGGTCGAGTGTCGCTTGAAACGCTTGTACACCTCGCCCAGTGGCGATTCCACACCAGCCGAAATCCAGATCTTGGCTTTTCCCTACCGCGATCCTGCAACCCTCGAGGTGAAAGGCGTCATGGCTTGCACCACAGACATCAGTCGTCTCAAGTGGGCTCAGACTTTCCAGGCTCGATTGGCGGCAGAAGCCAGGGAGGCTAAGCGACAACAGGAAGCGTTCATCGATGTCGTGTCCCACGAAATGCGAAATCCGCTCAGCGCTATCGTGCACTGCGCCGACAGTATCGTCACTGCCATCGAAGAGTGTCGTGTCCAACTTTCACGCATACCCGAGCCTGTTGTGGGCGCTCTGGACGACAACTTGCAGTCGGCCAGGATCATCATGCAGTGCGCCGACCACCAAAAGCGTATCATCGACGATGTCCTTACTCTGAGCAAGCTTGACTCGATGCTCTTGTCCATCATACCATCCGCCGTCAAGCCCACAAAACTCATTGGCTCCATTGCCGACATATTCGAAGCAGAATTGAAAAGCAACCATATTCATTACAGCGTGAACGCCGATGACTCTTTGACAAAACTAGGCATCGACTACCTTCTATTAGATCCATCACGAGTCACCCAAATCTTCATCAATCTTCTCACAAACGCTATCAAATTCGTTAAACCTTCCAAGAAACCCTTCATCTCGATCAAGTTTGGCGCACGTGTATCCAACCCTCGAGCGTTTTTTCCCGAGAACATGTTCTGGGCGAACGAGAGTAAGAAGAATGGCGACGTGACAAGCAATCCAGAGTGGGGTTCGGGAGAAGAGGTAAGGCCCTTACACATAGCCATAAGACCCGGGCTTCTTTCTGACTCTTCCACAGGTCTATCTTGCATTCAGTGTTCAGGATTCCGGAATCGGCCTCAAAGAGCATGAGATTCACCAGATCTTCGAGCGATTCAAGCAGGCAAATGTCAGAACACACGTTAAGTACGGTGGAAGCGGGCTCGGTCTTTTTATCAGTAAAGAACTCACCGAAAAACAAGGCGGCGAAGTTGGCGTATCTTCAGTCTTCGGCGAAGGATCGACGTTTGGATTTTACGTCAAGACACGTCGCGTGGAACGGCAACCTGAGTCACTTGAAACCATGTCGAACGACAACAAGAGCATTTCCGGTACCCATCAACTGCAAGTCCTGCTTGTGGAAGACAACCTGATCAATCAGCAAGTCCTAGGCAAGCAACTCAAGAGAGCAGGCTGTGTCGTAGAAGTGGCGAATCACGGTCTCGAAGCGTTGAATGTTCTTGAACAAAAGACCTTTGACGTTGTGCTCATGGATCTTGAAATGCCGGTGATGAATGGTTTAGAGGCGATGCGCAGGATTCGTAAAAAAGAGGCTACTGGTGAGAGTTGGGTCGACCAGTCGCCAGATCCATGTGCAAGACGACCTACGAGATTACCCGTCATTGCTGTCACTGCAAACGTGAGGCAGGAACAAATTGACACTGCAATTGCAGCTGGAGCGGTACGTGCGACCTTTCTCAAATTTATTTGGATGAGATTCTCTCCCTGTAGGCAGAATCGTGCCATGGGCACAAGGTTGTCTACGCAGCCCCCTTTACTTTTCGAGATCATGACCAGAGCCATCGATTGGAATGCATGCTAATTCGATTTTAGGATCGCGTCATGCAAAAACCATTCAAAGCGGCTGATCTAGTATACTTGATAAAATCTCTCCTTCCTTCACCCGCGAGTAATGGAGTTCCAAAACCTGGACCGAATGATACGCCGAATGGGTTCACCTGAGTGTTGTACTCGTTGTCGAGGTTGATCACACGCAAAAGCTTGTCACGCTGGATCAAAGTCGAGCCAAGTGCCAAGTGCCGAATTCCGGAAACGTTGAAACAAGCAACGCCATACTCGTGCACATCCAAAGAGCAACCTCTCATTGGAAAGCGTCAAACATCGACACCACAAGAAGTGTTTGCAGCAGCAACGGGAGTGTATGGCAATCTAACTGTAGTTTCACATGGTTGCTTAGCAACGCAAGCAGTCAAAAGAGTGGGTGGGGCTCCTGTGAGCTCTTGAGGAATAAGGTCAGGAACGGAAAGTATGTCTGGGACGAGATTGCCCCATCAGACTTCGCCGAGGAGGCGAGCACAGGCCAGCAGAAACATCACTGAAAGATTGAAAATTACGTTGTGTAGATGGAGGTTGAGGGATAGCTGGTAAACACTTTGAAATCGATGGTTTTGACCGAGTCAGGCGAACAACAACCGAGTGCCCGAGGATGTTCGTGAAAGCAGGTTTTTATGAGGTATGCGACGCAGGCTACAAGCTACATGTCTTCTGTGAATACAAGCATGAAAAGCTAAGAAGATCTGTGTAGCTGATGCTCCTCTTCTCTCCTGGTCTTCTAACGTCCATGCTACAGCCACAGACGTATGTTAAGTAGGATTATTTTGTCATAGATGAGGTGAGTATGAGTCATCCAATATCGACACCTTGAAATCTCAAGTAGCGGTGCTTTGAATACAAGTTCATCCAGTGCAATGCGGAGAACGTTGCTGTCGACCACGTATTGCTTACGGAGGGCTCTCTACATTCCATGTGGGTGTCTTGCTCGCGGGTTATTTAGTGATTAACTTATAAAGATAAGGTCTCCACGGCCAATGCACGGTCTGATATAAGTCCTACCAACCAAGATCTTGGCACGCCTCTCTTAAAATACGATGGATCGATTACGCCAACATCTCAATCTAATCATTTCTACCCAGCACATCGCCGTGGCTGGCCTCTCTTTCCAGCTTCATCTTCTCCACCTTGGCCTTCTGGATAGTCAAGCTCATCGGAACAGGCCTTGTACCTGGCGTCTCGAACACGGCGTCAATCTCTTCGAGTGTCAACTTACTCGTTTCTGGGAATACAAAGTAGGCCGCTGTGACAAGTTAGTTTCTTTTTTCGTAGTATAAGAGAGTGACCATTTACCAATCAGCTGTAGGCAGTTGTACACGATATACACGACCCAGATCTTGTATCCAATCTTGCTAATACCAATGGAGATGCCATACGCCTCTATGGCGCCGGCAGCGCCTTGGATCACACCGTACAAACCCATTCCCTTGGCACGAAGCGGAAGGGACAAAATCTCGACCGGATACAGGTTATGCCTAGTTGGAAGGATTTGGGTCAATTGATCCTGGAAAGGTCTCACTTGGAAAATATGCTTACATTGTGGCAATGAAGAGCGCACTGATGATCTGGAACATGAACATCCACATGATGGTAAGTGCACTATCTCCGTGTCAGAAAATACTGTGCTATAGGATCAAATCATGTTTTACCTCGTCGTCGTCGAAGGCTTCAGGTTGTATTGCCAAGACGTGATTGTTGCGGCTGTCTGCATGCAGATGATGCCGATGAGGCCAGCGAAGATGAGGGTTCGACGCTTGAACAAGTCAATGAACCAGCCACCGATCGCGGTGAATATGAAGTAGGTAGCTGTCAGTCCGAGAGAAATACCCAACTGCGGGATTGTAGCCACAACTCCGACCTCAGACATGTTAGCTATTGACTGATGCAGGATCTCGATGTCTACTAACAGTTTCGAGGGCAGGTGTTAGGTAATATGCTTCGAGACATTAGCGTTGTTCTTGCAAAACACACGAACCATTGAGCTTGTGCACTTACAGACAATACCACCTCCATTCCAAGATTGGAACATGGAGTAAAGGATGAGCACCATCAGACGATATCGTACAATTTCTAGGGCAAGGTTAGCATTATTGTGCTTCTAGTCGATCATTCGTATGATGCCAATTCGATGAGTTTACGGTTTAGACACCGAGGTCGTAACCGTAGTTGAAGAAGCTGACTTACTAGTCACGAAAACGGCGAAATTCCACGACTGCCTGAAGCCGGTCCTAGTTGTCTCGAGCGATTCTTCTATCTGTGCGATAACCACATTGACCAGGGGTTCGGACGTGGACTCTGAGTTCGTCATGTATTTTGCAATGACCTCTTTTGCCTCGTCGCGCTTGCCTTTCATGATCAGATAGCGAGGTGATTCGGGCGTGCACAGATAGATCAACGTGCAGACCACCAGTGGGAAAAAGGACTGCAGAAGCAGTGGGATACGCCACGACCAGTTGTTCGTTTCAGCCATGGTTGCAGTACCTATCATGCCAGCATTCATTACCACGCTCCCGATTTGGAAGCAAGCTCCAAATAGACCGACGATTCGGCCGCGGAGATGGACGGGTGATACTTCGGCGATGTACTGAGGTGTCGACATCAGGGCAGACCCAAAGCCCAGGAAGAAACGGCCAGCCATGAAGCAGGAGACATTGGGAGCAAGGCCTTGCATGAGAGCTGCCACGATGACCATCTAGACAAAATCAGTACGCGAGTTGCTGATACTATCAATTATTCAACAAACAACCCTGGACCAGATACTTGGCAACTGGACCATGTCTTCGCTTTTTATCTGCGAATTGCAATGACATGTTGAAGATGAACCAAGCGCAGGACGTGTGTGGACGAGTCCATGATTTGACTTTGCTAGCAAAGGTCCTATTCTAGGGAACACGACAGCTTGAAAGATCACTTACAGCATTTCCAAGGAACATGACACCTCGACGCCCAATTTTATCATTCAAGGCCAGGAATGGGGCTCCGCATACGGTGCCAATTCTCATCAATGCGGTAATGTGAGCAAAAGTAGTGCCACTGGTCTCGAAGCCGAAGTAGTTATGCCACGACTTATACGAGTTGATATTTCCTGATAGCAGTTTGATCTAGTTAGCACACTGCTCTCATTCACATCTTGTGGAAGATGCATCTGTCAGAACCCACGTACCGATGACCGCCCAGTCGACACCATACCCTGCTTGGTTACAGCCTTGCACAAACATCACTGAAGCAAGGTTAGCCTGAGCTCAAACACACACGACAGGAATCAAGTAACCTAGACAAAGCCTCCATCCTGTCCTGGTCCAAAACCTGGGCATAGCATCCCGGGACATTCGAAACAAGTCATCATCAGTCAGTCGCTGGATAACTACCTCCTCAGTCTGAAGGGCTCCGACCTTCTCACTTGTCAGGTCATGGTGGAAGGATGTGACATTAAGTGAAGCCATTTTGGAATCTAGCTTTGTCGCGGAGAAAGTCTAGGATTCAACGTAGGGTTCATAAGTAACTATATCTCCTTCTGAAGATTCGAGGCTTGCATGCATCCTGACCTTGACTAACCTTCAACAGCATACTGCCATGTGACGATCGCATATGTGTGTTTTGTCGTTGATATTTGACCTTCGAGAGAATTGTTCCGTCCAACCATCCCGTCAGGCGCCCCGCAGACAGTTGAAGCATCTGCATAAATGCTTCCAACACAAGGTCCAGAGCAGGAACGCAGGTCTACAGAGGACTATTAGCAGGTGTAGTAACAAAATTAATATATGCTAATTAATTTATTGTACAATTATTATTAGAAAGAACTATATTAAGATTAGTAATAAATCTACTCTAAAAATAGTATTAAACACCTTAAGTTTAACTTTAGTAGGCAGCAACCTTTAACTTTACTTAGTGCCTTAATAAGCTGCAGATAACTAAGAACGCTAGGTATAAACGTAGTTTATATTATAATTAATTATTAATAATATTCTTAGGTAATACTGCTATAATGTAATTTCCTCTCTTAGTTATATAATAGAAAAACTAATATATTATAGGCTAAACAGAGAGCAGCGTACAACCTTCTAGCTCTAGATATCTTAGCCTAGGCTAAAGTAATTTAAGTATACTAAGTTTAAAGTAGTAAACCTAGCTATATTAATACTATCCTAATTAATAGTAGAGGTATTATAAACTGTATTATAAGAATCCTATAATACATAAAATAGTTATATAACTAATAAAATAGGCCTATATAGCTTATTCTTTAGGCACTAAACCTAGGCTGTTTACCTACTATATAAGCCTCTAGGGTTTCTAAGGTAGATTATATAGTAACTGTAAGTAGAGAAATTATAAAGCTTATTACTCCTACGCTGCTATATAATAAGGTTAGCCTAGGTAGTAAGGTAGTATTAATATTAAAAGAAGGGCATTTACTAAAGTAAAGGATTAGAAAGATAAAGAAATAGTTAATACTAAGTAAAGAGGAAAGAAAGTAGGAGAAAAGAGAAAGAAAAAGAGAAAAGGCTTATATAATAAGAAATTTAGTAGAAAAGGTAGAAAAATACCTTTTTTATTTTTCTTTTTTCTTTTTTTTTACTTACTTTAAATTCTTTTTTTTAATCTAGATATTCCTTTTCTTAATCTAGATATTCTTTTTTCTAATCTAAAACTTTTTTTAGAACTTATATATCTAAGTATATCTAATATATTATATATATTCTCTCTTATATAATAACTTATCTCTTATATATATATATTTGTAGATATATATTCTTGCTTATATAACAACTTATCTCTTATATATATATATTTATAGATATATATTCTTACTTATACAATAACTTATCTCTTATATATATATATCTATATATATATATCTTTGCTTATATAATAACTTATCTCTTATATATATATATATCTATATATCTAATATAATATATATATTCTTTTAAATATAAATAGATAGTTTTCTCTAAAACTCTTTTTTTATTAATATATTACTTATATTTTTTAGAGATTCTTCTTTATATAATAAGATATATTTCTTATTTATAAAGTCTACCTTTTAGAACGTAGACTATATAGTATATTAATAGTAGATGTATTAGTATTAGTATCTCTAAGAGATAGTAACTCTTAAATATTTAAAAGCTAAGAAATTATATACTTTCTCTTATATAAATATTCTTTCTTAATACTACGTTTCTGTTTAATTTTCTTCTTCTTAATAGGTAAAAGACGTAGCTCTTTATCTTCTTTCTTAATCTTCTTCTTAACTAGCTTCTTTAAATAAATAGGTAGCTTTATAAGAGATAAAGTAGGTTCCTATATATATAATATATCTTCCTTTAGCTTAAGATTAAAGATTAGGAATATTAGAGTAATACCTTAGTTACTTTTCTTAAAGTAGCTACTTTCTAGTAGCTCCTTTACTATATAAACATCCTCTACACTTTTTAGAAAAAGTATAATACTATCTTTTCTAATATTAGAAGTAATATATAGTAGTATAAGTATAATCTTTTTAGGTTTAATTTATATAAGTTTAAGAAGAAGAATAGTTATAATAAGATTCTTTAGCTCTTTAATTAGGCTATTATATAATTAGATATTAATCTTAACTATTATATATAAGAATAGAATAATAGGTAATTATTATATTACTTATAAAGAACCTTAAAGTCTATAAACTTACGCCTAGACTAACTTTCTTTATTTATAACTTAGTATTATATAAGGTAGGCTTATAGAAGCAGAGGTAGTCTTAGAGGCCCTTAGTTTATAAGCTAAGAAGTCTTATAGATTAACTACTAGTAAGCACTTTCTGCTACTATATAAGCTAAAGCTCTTATTATAAGAATAAAGATTACTCTTTTTAGATTAGAGCTATTATTTAAGATAATAATATCTTTGCTTTTTACCTTTTATATAGGTATTAATAGCTAGAGTTTAGTATAGTAGCTTAAGTAGAATAGATAGTCTAGAAAAAGTTTAGAGTAAGCTTACCTAGTCTTAAGGTAGTACTTAAAAAAGGATATAATATTTATTATATTATATAATATAAACTAAAGTATAGAGATAAAGGTAGAAAGAAAGAATATTAAGAGAGTAGAAAGTAATATATAAAATAAAAGAGTAGTATATACAGATTAGTTATTATATATAAGTAAATAATAACTATATTATTTTAGAATCTACTAGTACTTTATCTTCTTATATATTAGTTTCTAAGTCTATAGCTTAAACTGTAGTAGAGCTAGGCTAAAAATATAATTAGTTTAGAAACTAAAATCTATTATATATAGTACTTACCTGCTAGTTCCTTACACTAACTAGAGCTTCTAGAAGAGATAGTATTAGGTATAGTTAGTACTAGAAGTAGAACTGTGCTTTTTTCTATAGTTATAGGTAAACTTTAAGATAAGAGCTTATATAACTAGTATCTTAAAGTTTAGCTGCTATAGATCTACTATTAAACCTAAAAGACTAAAGTACTTAGTTATACTAGTTAAGTATCTCTGTAGAAAGAAAGGTATTAATATCTTACTTACTAACTTCTACCTTTATTATATAAAGCTAGTTAAGATTAAAGGAAACTCCCTAGTTCTATATATAGCTACCTAAGTAGTAGTAAAGTATAAATAGCTTTCTAATAACAGCGTTTAGGCAGTTTTTCTACTTATAAATTAAATATATATTCTAGAGTTATATAAAATTATAAAGCTACTCTTAAAGAATTAGAAGGTATATTATATATAAATAAATCCTATCTATAAGCTAGTTAACTAAGAACAGCTCCTCCTTCTAAAGTTATCTAAAGAAATTCTATAGTATATTAAATAATATAGTTTATTATTAATTTAAGAACTTATATGCTAATAGAATAGAAGCCCTTTTAAAAGCTATATCTACTATACTTTAATATACTAATTTAAGGTACTTATACTATATAAATAGTAGTTCTAGAACTTAAGGTCTAGTTTATATAATATTTAGAAGTTATAGTAAGTATCTACTAGTATAACTATTTTAGTTCCTTTATCTAATTATATAAAATATAGCTAGATCTTAACTTCTTTTAATATCTAGAAGAACTAGTGTATATAGCTAACAGTAGTTAAAGCTAATATCTTAATATAAATCTAGATAATATACCTTAAGTAGGTATTAATATAAGTATATATTTTAATACTATATAGATAAAGTTTATAGTATCTATTAATAGACTAAACAAAATTAGGGCTAGAAATAATATACTTTCTATAATACCTTTAGAAGTTATATTTACGCTGCTTAACTACTTTAGGATTTATTATATAATAAGCCTAGAATAACTAATCTCTTATAATAATATAGCTACGCTACCTAAAGTGTGTATAGAAGTACCTTTATTTATAGCTATTAATTACTTCTTTCTTAAGCTCCTTAGCTATAAGCTGTTATATAAGCTAGTCTACCTTCTAGCACTGCTTAACTTCTTATATATAGTATTATAGGCTAAGCTTAAAATAGAGTTATATAAAAGTATACTTCCTAATCTAGAAACTTTCTTTCTATAATATAGTAAGTATTTCTGCATCCTTAAGCCTAACCTTAAAGAATAGCACTTATATTTACTTCTTAGTACTATTTTAAACTTTAGTAGGAAGCCTATACTATAAACTCTATATTTTAAAGTATTACTTTAGCATATAAATATTTACAGTAATATTGTAAGTCTCTAAAAGAAAGATAGCTATCTGCTTATATATAAAACCTTTATAAAAGAGCCTACAGAGCTTAACCTAATATAGAAAAAGATTAATTTAAAGGTAACTAGCTTTATACGTTAGTAATAGCATAATACAATATATTTACACTTACTAGGTATAATAAGAAGTTAGTAGGCTATATGTACAATAGTTGTGTTGTTGTTAGAAAGAGAAGAAGGTGCTAGGTTAAAAAGTTGGTGTGTGGGGAAATATTTAATTTTGTCACTACACCTACTAACCGGCCTCCGTACAGGTCCATCGTACCATTACCTCTGCAATCTTTTCCCGGCGGCAGGCGCTTATTGTCCAATCTCCAAACAGCGACCCTTGCCACAATGCTAAGATATTCCGACCCCGCATCTGACTGGAATGGAGCCGTGCCGCTAGGCAACGGTCGACTTGGCGCTATGCTCTATGGGGGTGTGTATATGGAAAGACTTTGTCTGAATGAGGAAAGCGTGTGGTATGGAGGAAAGCAGGACCGGACACCCGTTGGAGCGAAAGAGCATCTAGGACGACTGAGGGAATTGATCCGTGCAGGAAAACAGCATGATGCTGAAAATCTAATCAGGCAACGCTTCCTAGCGACACCCAAGACTGCGCGACATTACGAGCCACTTGGAAGTCTTGCTCTTACGTTCGAACATGGGCAGGCAGGAGCTGGTGGCCAAACCACACCAGCGATCGTGGAAAATTACGAGAGGAGGTTGGATCTCGGTAGAGCTGAGGCGTCAGTACAGTATTCTGTCAACAAAGTCACTGTGCGACGAGAGGTTATTGTGACACATGCGGACAACGTTATTGCCGTTCGGATTACAGCTTCCAAGGAGATCGTATTTACGATCAGCCTCACTCGCATGAGTGACATCGAATGGGAGACCAATGAGTTTCTGGACTCGATCACTATCGTCGATGGACGCATTGTTCTCAAGGCAACACCAGGCGGAAGTGATAGCAATAGTTTGTGTCTAGTCGCTGGAACTCGCGTTGAACACGGTGGCAAGGTTGAGATTGTCGGTCGAGAGCTCCGAGTCACAGCCAAAGAAGCCCTGTTGGTTATCGCGGCGTCAACACAGTATCGTCATGCTGATCCGCAAGCAGCAGCGATGGCAGATATCGATGCTGCCTTCAAGTACACCACAGATCAGCTTTGGAAGCGACATCTTGACGATTGGAAACTGCTTTACGACCGCATGAGTATCCAGCTCTACCCAGACGATACAAATCTTACAACTCCTCAACGTTTGGATAGCTGCCGAGACCCCGGCCTCATAGCTTTGTATTTCGCGTATGCGCGTTATCTCCTTCTTTCCTGCAGTCGACCAGACCCGGGAGCCCTTCCAGCGACTCTTCAAGGCGTATGGAATCAGAGGTGAGCAATTGAAAGTCCTTGACAAACAATGTTCTGGTATGTACCACGGGGTATATAAACCTATCATTTAGTCCACAGATATCCGACCGCGAAGGAGGTTTTGGTACTCGTTCGAGGTCTTCAGAGTGATACAAGGCTCTACGCGCATTGCATTTGCGTACAGATTGTCATTGATACCGAGGATGCATTTATATACACTAGTAATAGTCTGCTAATATTTGATAGCTTCCAACCCGCATGGGGCTCGAAATACACGATCAATATCAACCTGCAGATGAACTATTGGGCCGCCCACACGTCCAATCTCTCCGAGTGCGAGCTACCGTTATTCGACCTGCTTGAGCGCATGGCAATAAACGGTGCGCGAACTGCGGCAGAAGTCTATGGTTCCCGTGGATGGTGTGCCCACCACGGTACAGACATATTTGGCGATACTGAGACGCAGGATCGATGGATGCCCGCTACTCTGTGGCCCTTGGGCGGAGCTTGGCTTTGTACGCATATCTGGGAACACTACAGCTTTACGGGTAACCTAGGTCTCCTACAGCGTATGCTACCTGTGCTAGAGGGCTGCTGTCAGTTCCTCTTGGATTTTCTCATACCAGATTCAAGCGGCCAATATCTTGTAACAAGTCCGTCATTGTCCCCAGAAAATTCGTTTGACTGTGAGGGTGGCGAAACTGGTGTCTTCTGTGAAGGATCGACTATCGATATGGAGATAGTAAGGCAGGTCTTTCGACATTACATCCTTGCTACATCAGCATCCAAAGACGCTATATTCTCTACGGCCATAACCAAGGACGTACTAGATGCACTCTCCCGACTTCAACCGATGGTTATCAGCCCCGAAACTGCGACGATACAGGAGTGGGGATTGACTGATCATCGAGAAACTGAGCTCGGTCATCGCCACGTCTCACATCTATACGCTCTGCACCCAGGAGATACTATCACTCCAACGATAACACCAAAACTTACGATGGCAGCAGAGAAGACACTTCTCCGCCGTCTTGAGCATGGAGGTGGCCACACTGGATGGTCCAGAGCCTGGCTCATCAACTTCTGGGCACGACTTCGAAATCCTAGCCAGTGTGCTGAAAACATCCAAGCACTGTTGAGAGACAGCACACTTTCGAATATGCTAGACACTCATCCTCCGTTCCAGATTGATGGAAACTTTGGTGGTGCAGCGGGCATCATAGAATGCCTCGTGCAATCCCATGAGGTTTCAATAGCAGACCAGGGCTCTCCGGTTAATACTATTCAGTTGCTTCCGTCTTGCCCAATGGAATGGAACAAGGGCTCAGTAAAGGGCGTTAAGTGTCGTGGAGGTTTTGAGCTCGACTTTTCCTGGAATGACGGAAGAATACACGGCCCGGTAGTTGTAAGGTCACAATTTGGAAATGCTGCTCTGCTGGTTTTCCATGACGCTGGATCTCACGCATTCGACCTAAGCATCAAGGCCGCAGTTCCTGAATCTCGAGGAGAACACTTCGTCTCTCACTCAACATTTCCGCGTCCCAGCGAGGTCCATAGGTTCTGAAAACATGGTAGGTCAATGACCATCATTTGAGATATCGTGCGCGGATCATCAAGGCGGGGCAACTTCATCTGCTCACCAGAAGAACTCAAGGAACATGCGTAGTTGATTTGGGTAATGTTGTGAGCATTGTGATTCAAGTTGAGAATTCAATTCGCCTTCTGGAACAAGATACTTCATGCTATATGTTACCCATGTTTTTAACATTGAGAAGACTGGTATTATCGAATTCGCAAGCCGTTTTAAGACGGCTTGCAAAGATATAGCCAACTAGAGAAGTAGTTCCTGACTGTTGCAAGAATCTCGGAAGATCGGCGCGGAGAACCGAGATGACTCAATCCTACGCCGAGGCGGTTAAATTGATTACCTGGTTGATCATGCATATTTGGGGCATGTACAGCGGGGGCGGGGTAATGCAAACTGAGACACAATATCCATTTCAAAAGTGTCACGGGTTGTCAATTTCCATCCCCATAATGCACTTGACTCGGTTACAATCCATAGTCATATTGAAGGGTTCGACAATTAAAGTCATCATTTACTGTAAATGATGGTATGGTAACTTCTGTGGTATACACTTTTTTCAGTACATTTCTCAGGGTTGCATGTAAGTGGTGACCGTAGTAGAACACCTTGTAAGTATCCTCCAAGTTTTCAGTACGGGCAAGTTTTGCTTGGTTAGTAGGAGAACGCCGTAGCTGAATAGGGCGTTTGAGTATCATCGAGCTTAGACAACCCATCTGAATCAATTGCATACATTAGCAAAAAACTTCGGTGAAACTTAGCCCGGGAGTCAGCGAGGAGTGTTCCGCCAATAAGGGGTGTTGAATGGTGCGGTTGTATTACCTTCTTCAGACTCGTCTGATCTTGCTCTAATCGTGTACCACTCGGAAACTTGTGTTGACATGTCATCAGCGGCGCGAGATTTCTTAGCAAGTAATACCACAGTTTCAATCTTCCTGGGATCACGTTGCAACCACTCGCCAATTTTATTGTCTCTACTTTTCAAATGCCTTGGACACACACATTTGACTCATCCCCGGACGCAGAACTCAAGGGTGTCCTTCGCAAAGATTTCCACTGGGGTTATGCGACTGCTGCTTCACAAGTTGAAGGAGCCTGGGACTCAGATGGTAAAGGCCTTTCGATTTGGGACAAGTTCTGCCATACTCCCGGGAAGGTCAAAGACGGAAGCACAAACGAGGACGCTGTCCGCTCCTACGATCTGTATAAGGAAGATGTCGCCCTTATGAAGAGTTATGGCGTCACTGCGTACCGGTTCTCGTTATCGTGGAGCAGGATCATTCCTTTAGGGGGCGCAGATGACTCGGTCAACGAAAGAGGAATTCAGTATTATAACAACCTTATTGATGAGCTTATCACGAATGGTCTTACTCCATTTGTAACACTCTTCCATTGGGATACACCGCAAGAATTAGAAGAGCGATATGGCGGCATGCTTAATCAGGAAAAGTACACGCCAGATTTCCTTCGATATGCCCGGCTCTGCTTCGAGCGCTTTGGCGACCGTGTGAAACATTGGATTACCTACAACGAACCGGGAGTTTACACACTCGCCGGCTATGTAAGCTAGAAGCTCAACCCGCGTAGGGACATGTTAACAAAGGGCAGGCGGCAGGTGTTCACGCTCCAGGTCGCTCGTCTTTCCGTGACAGGAATGAAGAGGGCGACTCGTCAACTGAAACTTTCATCGTCGCACACACAGAAATTGTTACCCATGCGCGAGCAGCGAAGATCTATCGGGATGAGTTTAAAACTAAGCAGCGCGGCGAAATTGGTATTACCCTCCACGGAAACTACTCCGAACCATGGGATGCCGACGATCCTGAGGACATCACAGCGGCGGAGCGTGCGCGACAGTTTGAGATTGCGTGGTTGTAAGACATACTATCAAAACGCGAGCTCTTTGTACTCGTCTAATCAGGAAAACAGTGCGGATCCAATCTACGGTAGTGGCGATTACCCAACATGTATGCGCGAACAGCTGGGAAACAGACTACCGTCCTTCACAGATGAGGAGAAGATGCTGGTAAAAGGTAGTTCGGATTTCTATGGAATGAACACATACACGACCTTCTTCGTCAAACACCGTTCCGAGCCCGCCGATATCAACGACCATCTCGGCAATATTGAGAAGCTCGACACGAACAACAAAGGTGAATCGCGGGGCCCAGAATCAGGCACATACTGGCTTCGCACCGCACCCAAGGGTTTCGGAAAACTGCTTCGTTGGGTCTGGAATCGGTATCACGTTCCAATCTATATGACGGAAAACGGTACAACAGCAAAGGGCGAGACAGCACCGACAGATGAAGTCCTAAATGATACGTTTCGTATCGACTTCTTCCATGGCTATGTGCGTGAGCTAGCTCAGGCAGTACAAGACGGTGTTGATATCCGATCGTACTTTGCCTGGACGTTCACGGATAACTGGGAATGGGCAGCCGGATTCTCTGATCGTTTTGGAGTTACGTTTGTTGACTTTGAGACACGAGAAAAGAAGAGGTATCCAAAGCGGTCAGCGTACTTCTTACGCGATTACATAGGGCAACACCTGATAGCTCAAGACTAGGCAGGTTCGGAAATATTCTTGTAGTAACAGCAGAAACTGTGAAATAGATGGTGGACAAGACAGGTGTGGCCCCGAGTTTTGATCAAGTTGTGACGAGCAATCGTTATCGTCACTGACTGCCATGCTAGATCCACAAACTCTGAACAGTATCAGGGCAATATTGAAATACAGAAAACCCTTATAACGTCAATTCAGTCCTATCTGTGTGACATGTGATGGATGTATCACAATACTTATATCGCTGATTTTCTGAATGCACTCTACTTTTTGTATCCCACCAGATGATCAAACAGCATCTACTCGTACGTGTCCACGTACACATTTTACAGATCGACATGACACTCGCTACAAATCATCAACATATACTCTGCCATCCCTTCTCTGCGTCTTCTCGTTTGCACGTCTTTTTTCTGTTATCTTTCCATCATCGTTTTTACCACGCGCTATTCCACAGCGACGAAAAACCTCGACGCCAAGACTACATACTCCTCATGGAACAAACCTTGCCTTTCACCCTTGATCTGCCTTAAGATGCAGCTCGCGTTCTCCTTGTCCTCGCTCTCCGCAAATGCAATGACACAATCTCTGTTGAGAGGCGGATTGTCTGCTGTCTTGAACCGATCCGAGCTAGGAGGCTCCTTGGTAAACTTGCGCTTTCTTGCATCGAATAAAGGCGACGATTGTGGCGTGTCTGGAAACTGGCTCTGTAGTTGTCGGGCCGGGGTTGCAATGGACTCCGACGCGGAAGGGTTATTTAGCTTTCGGGGTGATGTCACGGCAGGAGTTCGTGTTTTGGGTGGAGATCTGGTTGGATTCCGGCGCTCGGGTGAACCATCTACTTGCGCGAATGGGTTGGTTAATCTTCGTAGCGAGGATCGTCTTTGTATATTGTCTTGTATGACGTTCTCTGGTTCAGGCTCTGGAGTAGAAGGTACGCTGGAAAGTGGAGACGAGGTAGTCTTTTTTGACACGTTCAACAGATTGTCGGCAAGAGGTGTCGCTATGGGACAGTGTGAATGAGAAGTTACAGGACACAGCTTCTTTGGGGACCTTGACCGTCGTAATCGCTTTGCTTGTCGTAGAACTTCCTCGGGGTCTTCGAACGCATATGTGGCCGCCTTTGGTCCCTGAACCCCGAGAATGCTATTCCTCAATGACGTGCGACGGGGATATAGTGTTGATCGGTTGGAGACTAGACATCTCATCGATTCACCCTGAACACGTGATTGAACGCCTTCGGTCTCACTTTCGTGTTTCTCAACGAGTGCTAAAGGCTCCGTTTCAACTCCAGCAGATAAGTGTGCAGGTATCATCTGACCATTATGGGTACTATCTCGCTTTCGCTTGTCTGGGCTCAAGCATACGCTAGATGAGATAGCGTTCTTGATTGACGACCTGGTCAACAAAGTTCCCATCTTTTCCGGACTCCTGCTTCGTCGACGAAGCCGTTGGCTGTGTGCCCCAGACCTCAGGAACTCACGATATCCGACCAAGAGTTCATCCACAGAATCATAGACGACCGAAGCTGTTTGCTGCGTACCAATACGTTGAGGAATAGGCCACCAATGATCTATCAGAGTGACGCCATGTTTACCTAGGATAACAAGTCGACTGATCAGAATACTCGGTTGGGACACGGTGGCATGCGTCGGTCTGAGATCCAGTGGTAACGACGTCTGCGAGGATTTCGATGGAGGGGCGCTGGATCGGGGCTTTTCAGGTACGCTGTAAAGCCCTGCGGGTGGTAATGATCCGGAATAGAGATGGTTGGGAGGCAGAGCATACGGGTAGACAGGCAAGTAATAGGGTCCATAGGATTCGCGAGGTAGGGAATGACGAGACAAAGAAGACGCGAATACTTCTGGGCAATAACTGTGGAGAATCTGATTTGGTGGAATGAATGGAACGACGGTGTGAGCGTTGACTGATCCACACAGCCCACGGTAGGTCTGATCAGGCCCGCACATGGCTGCAGTGGGAGTCACATATGGAATTGGGGCGCGGAGTGGTTCCAAAGGCCGTGTCGAATCATAGATGGGCTGCTGCAACCTTGCAGTCTTCTGACTGACAGTGCCCTGCTGCACTGGGCTCGATATCGACGCCGCGATGTTATAAGGATTGAGATCGATTGGACCATCGAGCGGGTCTTGCGTTAAGCCTGGATCAGAGAGTGGGAAGTTGTGAGGACTGTGGCTCATGACACAATGCTTGTCTTGTAGTGTGTTATTCAGTTCATCCTTGCTGTCCCAATAACGCCGTGTAGACACGTCCTGTGCGCTCCTATCGACAATGGTGAGGCCGCGCTTAGGATAAGATGAGCGCGAATGACCAATGTTGCGCTTCTGAGGAGAAAGGTTACTTGAGTTGACCAAACTTGCAGCTGGCGAAAGTAGACGCGAAGGCACACCTTGAGACGGTGGGGGTATGGAAGGTATAAGCTTTCCAGTGAACGGATGCGTAAAATCCAGCGTAGGAACAACACCAGATAAAGAAACTAAGCCTGGCTGTCCAGGCACAGGTGCGTAGTGTGGAGCAGTTTTAACTTTCTCGTCGACGGTGTGAATCGTACCCTTGACTTTCTTCTCGTTACTTGGGCCGGATCCGTTGGCTACGACCTCGGCCGCGATACCATCACGATCAAGACCGACAGTGAAATTGTCATCCCCCAGTCTCTGGGGTGCTTTCAGGTAATTTGTTCCGCTAGTAACCTTCCTGCCGAAGCCAGCAGTCACGATAACGTCGATGATTCCGAACTTCCTGCCGCCCGGCTTCTGCATGTTCCTGGTCTGGTCTGGTATCTGCATAATCGACACAGCGTGTAGGAACTCTGCACTTGGGGGAGCATTGCCGTTCTTGTCCGTGCCTCGCGCATCGGCTTCCTTCTGCAGCGCTAGGGAAATCTGATCCCAGCGCTCCTCGGCCGACGCAGTGTTCTGAACGAACGTTGAGCCGTTTTCTGTCGTTAAGCCAGGCGGTATGAGGACATATGGTCTCTCTGCCAAGTAATCGATCCTGTGGCCAGAGAAGATCTGATGGAAAGATTTAGCGCCGGACCGAATATCGTGATAGGGGACGAAGCGACAGCTGGAGAGCTGGCCGTTGAAGAGCACTTCGATCTTGAGCTGCAGTTGGTTGCCAGCGTCTAAGCCAGACACAAAGGACCTGCTGGACAGATTGACGTGGAGGACGAGCGCCTGAGGGACTGCAGCGTCTTGGACTCTTGCTCTTGATGCATCAGTGACCGCATAGGCAGACAAAGGGGCCTGAGTGCCGAACAGCCCTGTGCCCACCTGTACCTGCATGAACGGCGCACTTCCCAGCCAGTTGAGATCGAAGCCGTCTTCATCTCCCGGAAACGAGACACGCTCCTCACCCAAAAGCTTACTGCCTCTTAGCTTCTCCTCCGCTGCCTCACACTGCTGCTTGGCAACCTCGCCCTTCTTGAGAACGAGCTTGTGGGTGATCGTGTCGGAAAGAGGGGCGATTCCCAGGCGGAGCGTGATGCCACGCGCGTGGTAAGACGGCATGTTGACGAGATTCAACCTAAACAAATCGACGCATGTCTGGAGACCTGTGTCAAAGGCACAGTCGCTGTACGACAGCGTGATGCAAAATCTTGGCGAAGCGTTTGTGCGCGGTGGCCGGACGCGTTGCGTGACGTACGTAGAAACTCGTGGATTGCCCAGTTCAGCAAGAAGGGCTCGAGCGCACCTTCCTCCTCCGAGTTGCTCGCCTTTTTCTGGACATACCCAGATCCCGCGTGACTGGACGAACATGGCGCTGGCCATTAAGAGAGACTAAATCGCATACCATTCCTGCGGATTGGCGGCCTGAAACACATTGGAAGACCAACTGAGAGTAACCTAATAGTGGCTCTGCGACATACATGAAATTACTACAATCCAGGACATGTTAAAAGGGGCCGCCTGGTAACGATATAGGTCTGACCATATCTTACGCTCCCCGCGTATGTTTGATAAATATTCATCTTGAGTAGGAAGAGAAACACAAAATGATAAGTTTACCATGAAAAGTATGAAGTAGCGAGAGAAAGAGTGGAAATGGACCCTTTGTCTAATTTGCAACTCTTCCAGAAAGTTACCTTATCAAGCGCTGGAGATTGTTGTGTGCCACATGGTATGGTGCTTCGATTTCATCGTCAGAGCGTTGCATCATAGATCCATGTCTACTTCCGGCTCTACAAAGCCCTGGCCATACTTCGTGTTCCCCATACCTTGCGCACTCCAGTCATCAGTGATGATGCCAATTGGTGGACCACCCAACACATCGCCTAACTCTCCAATCGTCTTCTCATAGATGCCAACAATGTTTCGCTCCTCCCAGTCCTCATCTTCGTTATCCTCGTCGAAGCCCTCGAATTTGACCGTCCCTCTGTTGGCAGAATGTAACCTTTCCCCATCTGTCTCTGTATCGGTATCCATGGGTTCCCCAACATCCTCCTCGTCTCCGACAACGCTCTCTCCACTCATAACCCGGACCACGGTCAGTCTTGTGCGGTCGACAATGCCCTTCAAGCGAACTTTGTCTGTCGTGGAGATCTTGCGTCCGCTCTCAAAGCCCGGCAGCGATTCGCCGGTCGCGGTATCATGGCCGGTAAGCATGGAGCCGAAAGCGTAATCGAGTTTCGACAGTAAAGCAAAGGTGGCCTGGGTGGACCGGGTCGACGTGGGAAAGAGGGGAAGGAAGTCGGCGGTTAACATTGCGAGATTGAGAAGGTAAGGCGTTTGAAGGTTTGCTATGTCCACACATATCAGCAGAATGTTCTAGAAAAACAGCAGGCTGGGGAAATATGACATACGCGATCCAGACACCCATATCACGTCCACCAGCCCATCAATATGATTTGCGACCTCCCAGAAAGCACGAAACCCGTCATCTTCGCCTGGTGAAGACTTGGTCTTGCGGTTCGTGACGCGATTGTCGACGCGCTTCTGCATTTGGTTCACACCATGGTCCAAGTATCGGATCAGCTCGCTCTCTTTCGGACCGCCTGGCTGTAGGGGGTATCGTCGCGGCTGGGGAAGAGGTGATGCGTGTTGCGACGCTGCGGCGGATGAGGCAGGCGGGGTCGGTATCGTGGTCATAGTGCACAAGTGATTGTTCGAATACCCGGTGGCTTGTTACGCGCTGCTTGCTTGTTTGTCAAGGGGGAATAAACGAGAATCGTCTCATCGCTGTGAGTAAGCGGCGGGGTGCTGTCGTCGTGCTACGCTAGAATGACCTTGGGTCTTATTTTCCTCAAAGTATAGAAACGTGGCTTACGGCTCGCAATAATTCTACCGCTGGTTGAAAGGGCTGGGAGGTACAAAGGCTGGTCGATGACGGCATGACGTGTCGTGCGAAAACTACGACCTTCAGCCTTGACACAATCTCATGCCGACGCCAATGTCACTTTATCCCTGCAAGCATATACACTACCTGCAACTCGCTCTGACGTTCTTGAGAACTATGTCATTCTGCTGTTGCAATGAATCTGCAGTATCCTGCTCAGGTATTCTAAGATCCTTGTGTTCTAGAACATGGCTCAACCATGTTCTACCCTGCCATCGAAACGCGACACTCGCAGACTGCGGATCTAACAAAACAACATATCAACCAGTCAATTGATTGTGCGTCAACTTGATGAGAAACTTATACACATTAAATATTATGTTGGACGCATTCGCCGTGGTGTTGAAACAGACTCTCCCATCTCACGCCAACCCTCATCTAGCAATGTATCTCCCCGCGGCCGACGCGACAGCAGCATATTCCGGTAGCGACTCATTGATCTCACTCGCTCTCCCACCACTTCTCAATGTAGATAGATCCCCCGCCTCCCTAAGCTCTGTCTCCTCCACGCTCCTTGTTCGTGCGTTTCGAATGCCAGTATCACTTCCTGCGGCACAAACCTGAAACGGTACTTTCAAGTGTATGTTTGAGCCCGTACACGGGGAAAACCGCAACGAAAGAGTATAGGTGCGTGAGATAATGCATGTATGGAACGTGGGAATAAGGTTCGCGGTTACGGGGATTGTGATGGGAATAAGGATTTGTGCCGAGTAGAAAGCGCCTTGTTTGTAGGCTTTTGAGGGGTGGAGAATACCGCTTGCGAAGGCTGGTTCGGAAATACTGGCTGTAGAGCAGTCTGAAATGCCAGAATCACGGCGGAAGGGACTTGATGTGATGGGGTTGGATGCATATGAGTGTTTTTCCCAGTGTGCTGAGGCAATGCAAAGGTTGGATAGAGCGATACTCTCAGAGTATACACCTTGTGTAAGATCATAAGCGAGGGAGTCTCTTGATGGAAGACTTTGCCTTGGAGCTGAAGCATAGTGTGTTGAGACTTTGAGCTTAGGTGTCAAGGAGCCTAGGTTGGGTGGCGCATACGACTCCTCTAGAGGATCGAAGCGGAGGACCAATTTAGCCATCGTGGTAATTGGTTCGTTGTCACATGTGCGTGCCCCTGGGACTCTGAGAGCCTTTGGTTGCATAGTTTGTGCAGTCAATGTCCCTAGTTTCCCCTTGAACAGGCCCTTTCTGACAACCTTCTCTTGCCGTGACCGGTACTCATCGATACCATCAATGTTGAGCGGTGGCTGCTCCTCGAATGCAGGTTTTACACGAATTTTCTTCAGTTTTTCGCCCAGGATTGATATTGTATTGTCTGCGCCTCGTTGATGAGCTATTCTGACTTTGATACCGTACGTGATCTTTGACATCTCGGGAGCAAAGTCGTCGAGTAGTGAGCCTCCAAACCCAGCAAGATCTGGATCGCCTAGACTCGGCGGTGGCATCAAGTGGCAATCACGGACGTGATCCGAGACAACATCGTGTGGGCATGCCTTCGGGAGGAGCTGTGCTGGGATGGTAAACGTAAAGGGGAATTTGTAGGTCTTTCCTGCTTCAAAGACCCTTGGGGAAGGGAAGTCTGATTCTTTAAAAGGTTGTCTAAGCGCCAGAAAGCGATGTGTGGCTTCTGTCCGGCCTGTCACTGAAGGTGTGTTGCTGAGCCTGTCGACAAAGACCTGACTTGTGCCTGTAATCATGTTTAGTCGTTGCCATGAGCTAAGCGGAGATCTGCATGATGACATGCACGACTACCTACCTATGAATGCCACATCGATGTCTTCAAATCTTATGCTTTGAGTTGACGTGATATCGACGGTTCCTGCGATGGTGTCCATAGTTGAATAGCTAGTGGTCCAGGTACGGCGCGGTCCGTCTGTCTCTGCAAGATTGATCTCAATGTTCGGGCCATGGCTGCCAAAGTGGCGAACCTTGCATCCTATGTGATTGCTAACGGATTGCATCACACTGGTGTGCGAGTGCACCGTTGAGGCAGGCGAGAGGTCGACGCTGTGTGTCCCTTGGTTGAACGAGCGATCGAGCTTATGAACGAAACACGGACGTGTAAGCTCAGGGCTTGTTGCGATGTGAGAGCGTGAATGCGATGAAGCTAAACGCTGGGGTATATGTATAGAGCTTTAAACGATTAGACTTAATGTTGTCTGGTATGCATGCATGCAAAAGGAAGTGTTGGAGTTCAAGGATCGAACGGGAGTGGTCTTATATTATCACATGTTGGTGCTGAACACCTGAATTGACTCATCTCTAGAGGATTTGTGATGAATGGTCGCGACGTGCATGTAGATGCTGGTGGCTTGCTTGGCCGCCTCATGCGGGGCGCGCCCTTCACCCCAATCTAAACCCGAACCATCAGATTACTACAAGCCATCTCTTGATCCGCGGGTTTAGGCTGAGATAAGTCTTGAGCTTTGAGAAGATATTGATAAGGTTGAACCTCTACAGAGTATCATGATACAAACTCGGGAGCATATGGAAGACGATGTGTCGTTTTGTGCAGATTAGTAATTTACCAGGGTAGTGTTGAATATCCCCAACGCGCGCAGCAATTTGCCTTCGATTCGAAAGTCATCCCGACGCGATGTCTTGGTACAAAAAGCCACGATAAATCATGAGGCTTCACTACTATACACTTTCGGAAGCGCAAACCCATACACCTCCGCAATCCTAAAAGTCATCTAGAGATGATGAGTGGATATGACGTGTGCATGGTTCAACTGAAGAGATTTTACACACAAGCCCAACTCGGCCTCTAAATGGTAGAATCGACAAAACTCACACTTTAGAGTTTTCCTTTGAGTCGTAAATCTTATCCTATTCTCTCAGCTCTCATAGAGCACATGCCAACTACGGCTTACAAATACTTGTCGGTGCATGCGCGTCGCGACCTCGTTTTTTGACAAGTCGTCGCTGTAGGGCGTACGCCTGCAGCACAAAAAGCGCGCAACATGATCTAGCGCAACGGCTGAACATTGCTTGTGTATGTGGACGAATGAGTCACAAATGACAGTTTGGGCATGATTTCAAGCTCGTCGTTAACCCTTTGTTTAGCATCGAAGATGGATATCTCAAGAGGCAGGGAATGTTGGTGATGTGTGATGTGTTGCCGATGGGTGACGCGCAACGGAACGCGTATGACACGACCGCGACGGGACTTCTGAAGACAATTCTGCCTCGTTGATCAGACCTTGGAGCGCGATCCTATTGAGGAGTATATACGCACACAAATCTAGAACAATCCACAACAGCAACAAGTCTCCTGCACTGCTGATGTGTTCTATTACAGTAGCCTGTCGCACTTATTCAACATGTGCACGATATCCGTTGCCCACCAACATGGTAATCGCAACAGGACATGCAAAGATGTGAGTCTCTTGCCAACACCACCAACTTCGGAACCAGTACGTCAGCGACACGAAACCTCACACCACACTTTTTGACACAGCCGAACTGATCTTGCACACCCATCGCAACAATCTACAACGGTGCGCCATTGACCAACATGACATTGCGAGGCCTCGCATCACTCTTCATACTGGCTCAGTTCGCGCCTTTGACGAAACAGAACCCAGCTGCAAATGCTTCGCCATCAGACACCCAGAAAATTGTCCGCCGAACGTCTACACACATCCGCAATCTCGAGAACCTTATCGAGCCAGACTCGACGGTTGCGCAGGTGACGGAGATAGAGCACGAACTGAAGAAGGTACACCGGAAGCTGGAAAGACTGCATCTGTTGGCAGCCGCAAGGCACGATAGAGACAGCTCGCTACACTCAAGGCCATCGCTATGCTCGGAAGAAGTGGAGGAGTTGATCATAGATTCTATACAGGATGCATGGCGAAGCTATAGGAGAGTGGTTGGACTAGAGGCAGGGTTGAAAGGGGGCAAGGCTCGGGACGGCACGTTGAGAGAAGCGAGAAAGAGCAATGATAGGGAATTGGTCCCTGGCATCACTGTTGCACATAATATTGGAGAAGGAGACGAAAGAACGGATGTATACGTTCCGACAGGTGCAGAATGCATCAGGACAAGACGGGGGCTATATCGTGGAGCAGCTGGATCAAGAAGAGAATCTGGAGGAGGAGGAAGACCAGGGAGACGTAGAGAACAAGGAGCCAGACGAGTATGACATGTCTGGCGCATTACCAGTCGAAGATGTCGATGAGTACAACTCGGAAGAATAATTCCCCCAGCAAAAAGAGAGTGCTCCAGATTTCACAAAGGTGATACCAGGGAGGCGCGAGGAAGAAACGGGCAATGACATGAACATACCTGGTACAGACAGGCAGAGAAGGGACTCGGCCGTCGAGTTTACCAACCCAGAACAAATCCCGCAACCTCGCGACGAAGTACTCTGGCGTCTCGAGTTTGAAGAAGACAACGAGAACGTCTTCTTGCAAGGGCCGCATAGACAAAGACAGGGGAGTTGCAACGGCTTCATCCTGACAGACATGATCATGTGCAGCATGGCGGATCCGCGTTTCGTCATGCCGTGTTTGAACCACATCAAGTTTCACGAGGTGCGTGCGTTGAAAGCGTGGCTGTGTGGCGCCAACGATGGCGGAGTATGCTACATCTACAAGAATGGTACGGTCAGTCGAACAGAGAAGCTACTGCAGGGGCTGTGGATACTGCAGACAGGATACCGATTTGAGAGCGTCGCAGTGGTATTCTCGCGCACTCCCGTGCAGGTGCGCGAAGCGTGGATTGAAGTCATGGATGGTCTGCTCGAACTGCACTCTTTCACATGGGTAGGAAATTGACAATACTCTGACCTGTGGGGTGTGTGGACACAGTACAAAGAAGACGAGGATGCCACTACAGCAGAGCAGTATTACGGGAACAAACCATTGGACGTTGACAAGGTGCTGATAACGCCCAACTTGTGTATTGGGAGATGGAGGGCACAAGGGCGATTTTCGCTCATGGGTGGGAGCACGAAATGGGGGAAGACGTTCGCGGCAGAGGGGACGGGAAGGCTTCTACGGGCAGATGTCGGAAGAGAGTCGGAGGAATTGGCCTATGGTAGTGTGGTGGAAGAGGAGGCGGTGCATCCGGGGGAGGGAAACACAGGCAGTTCGGTGTATGGTGAAGAAGTGAACGAAGTGGCGGGCGGCGTCAACGAGAGCGAACTTAGTTGGTCATGGTGACGAATCAATGGTACAAGGAGACACGGATAGCTCACGATGCGACGCTCCAGGTCTGGAGACACGAAGGAATACGGATCTACGGACAGGCGGTCGAATCGGGCGCAAGGGTCTGCTGTCCAAGTCATGGCACCGGTTGTCACAAGCGGTGTTCCGTGGGAAACGGCGGCGATGGTGGGTTTCGCGATGGCTTGGCTCGTGAGGCGCAGGGGTCCTTTGTACCTTGCATAACCAGACTGCACAGCGTACCACGACACTTCTGCCAACGCGCGATTGGCGACGGTTCACGCCAGACTTTGGTTCAGAAACAGCGCGACAGTGAGGAGTGGCAGACGAGGATGGCTGACATGGCCAAGGTCGTGCTGCTCGTTGGTGGTGGTGGTCTCGGTGATCGACAAGCTTGTGTGTGTGGTTTAGTGCCAGTCCGCCAATGACGGTGTCCATTATTGGCAGCACCCACCCGATAATCTCCTGAATCTGCTCTCTCCTGGACCATTCGCTCTTTATCTCTCTCTGCGACCATTTTCTTATCTTTCCTTTCTCTCCCTGCGAGATTCCACTCATTCACCATACTAACACAGTCTCTCTTTCACCGCGACAGCGTGTCGGGCTACGCGCGACCACCACACTCCTTTTTCATAAAAAATTTCCCAACATACAACTATTTCATATATCTACCATCTTGACACCAACCGCCAGCATGAAGTCGTTTGCCGTCGCCGCCGCCGCGCTCTTCGCAGCCATGGGGCCCGTGACTATGGCGCAGACTCACACCAAGTGCAATCCTCTCACCACAAAGGGATGTCCCAGCATGCAAGCCCTCGGCTCCGAGGCGCACTTCTACTTCAACCGCACAGATCCGCCCTTCAGCGACAAGGTGTGGGACAAGGAGAACCAGGGCGACATTGTATGGGGTGAAAAGGGCGCGACTTTCATCATCCGAGAGTCGGGCGACGCCCCGTTGGTGCAGTCCAATTTCTATATGCTCTTCGGCCGCTTCGAGATGATCATGCGGGCTGCCAAGGGCACGGGGATTGTCTCGACGGGAATCCTGCAGTCGGAGGACCTGGACGAGGTGGACTGGGAGTTCCTGGGCCAGTCGAGCGAAGCCATGACCAACTACTTTGGCAAAGGCAACAACGAGACATACGACCGCGGCAAGGAGTACCCCATGGACCCCTCCCCGCAGGAAGGCTTTCACAACTACACGGTAGACTGGACCGTCGACCGCATACAGTGGTGGCTCGACGGCAACATGGTGCGCGAGCTCCTCCCCAAGGACGCGCTCAACGGCACAAACTACCCCCAGACGCCGATGAACATCCGCATTGGCATCTGGTCGGCTGGCGACACCAAGAACAACGCGCCCGGCGTGGTGCAGTGGGCGGGCGGAGAGACGGACTTTGCACAGGGCCCGTTCACCATGACGGTGCAGGAGATCTATGCCAAGGACTACACGAACGCGAAGGAGTACAGCTGGGACAACATGGACGCGTCGGGCGACTGGCAGAAGGTCAAGGTCATCACGTAAGTTCCCCCCGCCTGGCCGGCATGCACGCGATGGTCTGACAGGCGCTCTAGCGAGGGAAAGTCGGAGGTGACCAAGGAGATTGAGAACCCGTCGGGCATCAGCGCGCACTGGAAGGCGCTGTCGAGCGCGGCCAAGACGGGCATCATCGCGGGCTCGCTCGGCGCGCTGGCCCTCGGGCTGCTCGTCGTGGCCTTCTGCTGCATCAAGCAGCGGCGGGTGGGGCGCAAGGAGCACGAGCTGCTGCTGGCGCAGGAGCACAAGGAGGCCGAGGAGCTGCAGGAGTACAAGAAGCAGATGCAGGGCGGGCGGTTTGGGCTTGGGTCGCACCAGCGTGTGTAGGTAGGGGCGCGTGGGGGGGACATGTCAGACACGATTGCTTTTCTTCGTATACCCTTGCTGCGGTGCTCGCCCACCCGGCTGTAGTCCAATACCGATTCTTTAACTGGCAGCGCGTCGCGACCTGGCCTGGCGTGTTGCGCGCACATGTGACGACCCCGGATCTGGGGAAGGCGCGGCCTGCATCGGCTATGTGCCGTGCTGCTGTGCCAGCCGAGGCTGTGGCCGCATGCGGCAAGACATATAAGGGCGGCGGGCAGGTACACACGCACGCACACACACGTCACGTCACGCAGGCACACACGACCCGCACCATGGCCTCCATAGCAAAGACGCTGCGCCCACTCGCGCGCACGGCAGCCGCCTCGTCGCCAGCATCACGCCCACTGCGACCCGCCGCCGCCGCCCGCCGCCTCGCCCCGCAGCACACAGCCCGCCGCTGCCTCTCGACGACAGCAGCACGGCGCGAGGCGGTCGACATCTCGGACATCCCGCCGACGCCCATCACGCACCTCTCGGAGACGGAGGCGCTCATGGGCGAGACGGTGGCCAAGTTCGCCAACGAGGTGATCCTGCCCAAGGCGCGCGCCATGGACGAGGCCGAGGCCATGGACCCGGCCGTGGTCGAGCAGCTGTTCGAGCAGGGCCTGATGGGCATCGAGATCCCCGAGGAGTACGGTGGCTCGGGCATGAACTTCACCGCCGCCATCATCGCCATCGAGGAGCTGGCGCGCGTCGACCCCAGCGTCAGCGTCCTGTGCGACGTGCACAACACGCTCGTCAACACGGCCCTGCTCAAGTGGGGGTCGGCCCAGCTGAAGAAGGAGTGGCTGCCGCGCCTGGCCACCAACACCGTCGGCTCCTTCTGCCTGTCCGAGCCCGTCTCCGGCTCCGACGCCTTCGCCCTCGCCACCAAGGCCGTCCGCACCGACGGCGGCTACAAGATCAGCGGCAGCAAGATGTGGATCACCAACAGCGTCGAGGCCAACTTCTTCATCGTCTTCGCCAACCTGGACCCCAGCAAGAAGTACAAGGGCATCACGGCCTTTGTCGTCGAGAAGGGCACCCCGGGCTTCTCCATCGCGAAGAAGGAGAAGAAGCTGGGCATCAAGGCGAGCAGCACGTGCGTCATCAACTTCGACGACGTCGAGATACCCGCGGGGAACCTGCTGGGGAACGAGTTCGAGGGCTACAAGTACGCCATTGCGCTGCTCAACGAGGGGCGCATCGGCATCGCGGCGCAGATGACGGGCCTGGCGCTGGGTGCATGGGAGAATGCCGCTGGGTAAGCATGCCCCGCTCTGCACCCCACCCCACTCCGTCTCCCTCTCCACTGCTAACACGTCCGCAGCTACGCGTGGAACGACCGCAAGCAGTTCGGCCAGCTCATCGGCGAGTTCCAGGGCATGCAGCACCAGCTCGCCCAAGCCTACACCGACATTGCCGCTGCTCGCGCCCTTGTCTACAATGCCGCCCGCAAGAAGGAAGCGGGCGAGGACTTTGTCATGGACGCGGCCATGGCGAAACTGTACGCCTCGCAGGTCGCCGGGCGCGTGTCCAGCAGCGCTGTCGAGTGGATGGGCGGCATGGGATTCGTGAGGGAGGGCCTGGCAGAAAAGTACTTTAGGGACTCCAAGATTGGCGCCATTTACGAGGGCACGAGTAATATCCAGTTGCAGACCATCGCAAAGGCGTTGCAGAAAAAGTATACCAAGTAGTCACATACGAGAACGTTTAGCCGCAGATGGAGTGAAACAACAACTCACTCCGGAGAAGCACACTAAAAAAAGATTCCAAACTGACTATTGGTGCTTCGTCCCAATCAGCCGTCACATGCTAGACCCTGCTTCTGTGCCCAGCCATATTTCGAGGCGCGCTCGACCCCAGTGGCCAGTGTCAGTGAAAGCTCCACACCCCCGACCCACCGTCATGGCCACGATAATCTTGACGTGGCCACCACCATCCCCGTGCAGACGCGAGCACAAGCGTCGGGGAACCAAGGAATGGCCGATTTTGACATCCCAACACATCAAACAGCGTGTCTTCTCCACTTTGTTGACCGCTGTAACCGCCTATTCGCTTCTCGGCTGTCCTGACAACTACTCGCCACGACAACAGACGCACCTATCAGCATAGACCGCCATTCCCATTTCTTACCCTCCTCCTACACTCGTGACTGCCAGCGCGTCGCGCTGGTCACTTGTCCAGCGGTGTTTGGTTGTTGTTGAGTGTTATTCGCATGGCCATCTCGTGTTTTCTTTCCTGAGTACCGCGTTTGACGTCTGCGGCTCGGCTCGTCGTGTACCACGGCATTCCTCAGCCCTACCAGCAGGCCAAGAGGACCAACGCATCAATCGTGACGAGCGTCAAACCATCCCACTCTGCCCTCACCACCATTTCTAACAAACATCTACCATCTCATCTTTTTCTTGACAGAATCTCACCGTTCATGGTCCAGAATTACTCAACATGGTCTTTCGTATCCGTGCCTGGCTCATGGCGCCTGAGTCTAGTGCACACTCGGAACGATTGGCTGAGCAAAACCGCAGACGATCTGGTCTGAGGAACAAATCACCGCCAAGTGGCATTGAGCAAGAAAGCTCCATGTCCCGGACACAACCACAGCCACAGCCACAACCACAACCACCATCACAACCACAATCACAACAACAACCCTCATCACAACCACAACAAACTCCCTCCAAGAAACGCTCGTCATCATCCCTCTCATCCATGTCGTCGCTGTACTCAACAGCAGATAGTCTCATGCGAGAACAAGGTGGTAAACAACCTCATCCTCCACCCACTGGGACCGATGAAGCCGGTCCGTCCCTGTCAGATTGGACGTATCTTTCGCACATCGAAGCCCAGAACAACACTGCTCAAGCTGAACTCCAAACTCACAAGATGGCGAGTACGCAGACAAAGCAGTCGGTTGCTTCACTGCGACGAATGGCTCTCCGTATGGCGGTGAACATCTCCATCAAGGAAAAGCAGATTGCCACCACCGCGCAGAACTTGGAGAAAAGTAGAACGAACAGCTACCTCGAAGGAAAAGACGCGGAGAAGCGGATTGAAGAGCTCAAGAAAGCGTTGCTACTGGAAGAGGGCAGGAACAAAGAGATCCTTGAAGCCTTGGAAAGGGCTGCGATGCTGACGCTTCAATGTGAGTGTGATACCATATCCGTCAGAGCTCCACATACTCACCGTTTCAGATTCTGAGCCAAAGGTTCAAGGCCAACAACTCATCTCTCCACCCCCATCACCTTCGCGTAGAAGCTTGTCGCGGCAAACTTCGAAGCCATGGCAAGACACTGACAAGACTATCCCTACTCCCGACATGGAATCTTCTGCTGAGATACATACTATCGAAAGTCGTCTCATCCGAGCAAAACGTGAGTCTGACCGAGCGCTTGCTCTATGTCGAGGCCGAATCGAAGAGTTGCAAGCAGAATGTGCAAAGAGCAAGGAGAGTGGCAGAATCTCAGAAGCGAGGAGGGTCGACCTTGAACGGGACGTCCGGAGTCAACAGGCTCGCATCGCCGATCTCGAAGAGTCAAGAGACACGGTGGAAGAGATGATGAATGCAACAACGTCGATGTTGGAGGGCTCGATGCACACCGAGAAAAACTTCGAGTACGACCTCCGGGCAAAAGACGACGAGATTGCGAATCTTGAGAATAGCAACGAGAGACAAGAGCATATGATCGAGGCTCTCGGAAAAGAAAAGGAAGCGCTGGAAGAACGTGTCCAGACTTGCAACACCCGAATCCAGGAGCTGGAACTGCAATCGACTACACTCAATGAGCAAGTGCCCGTGTTGCAAACCAAGCTCGAGGCTGTCGAGCGCCAAGAATCTGCTCTTCGCGACCGTCTGGGCGACACGCAGAGTGAGCGGGATCAGTTGAAGCAACAGCTTGGTGGAGCGGAGCACAGTGTGACGCTTTTGCAACAAGAAATTGCGGGACATGACGCTCAGCTGTCGGAGAACGTGAAGAAGATCGAAGCTGGCGAAGGGTGCATTTCTGAACTTCGCGAGCAGTGTAGCCAGTCAGAGGAAGAGAGGAAGCACGCCCAGGATGCTCTGGCAACTCTGGGAACCCAAGTGGAGATCCTTCAATTCAATCTACAAAAGGAGGGCACCATGCGGGATGAACTGACAATGGAACTGGATTCTACACGAGATATGAAAGCAAAGATTGAGGAGGAACTGCTCTCCACCCAGGAAAGCTTGCGACAAGGAACCGACACCAAAGACCAGCTCCAGGCTGAGCTTGACACCTTGCGTTCGTCCAGTGCCAGTCTGGAAACCGACCTGCAAGCTGCTCGGGAACAAATCCAGGCACTAAAGCACACTGACTCTGAAAGTCAGGCTCAGCTGAAGTTGCTTCAGCACGAGAGAGCGGCGCTTGAAGGTAACCTTCAGGATGCTCAGCAAACGTCGTCCAAGCTTCGAGAAGATCTCCAGGCGAACCATGACAAGCTGGCTTCCCTAGAGTCCTCAATCTCACGTCTCGAAGAGGAACTGCATCACTCGAAAGACCGAGAATCAACTCTTCAGACCGAACTCGAGCACACTCAAAATACCTACTCCGAGGCCAAGAACCAGTTTCACGAAGAACTACAGAGAAGCAGTCTCCGGTTGCACGAATTTGAGGTTTCCGCCGGCAACCTTCAGCAAGCGCTAGATGGATCCGAGAAGCTCAAAGATGGGTTACAAGAAGAGCTGCGACAGGTTCAATCATCGAAGGACGAGGTCGAGGGGCAACTGAAGGGATCCGAGAAGCTCAAGGACACGCTACAAGAGGAGTTGCGTCAGACTCAGTCGTCGAAAGATGAGATCGAGGGACAACTGAGTAGTGTGCTCCGCTCGAAAGCAGATCTCGAGGATCAAGTCAACACTGTTCAATCGCGTCTAACTTCCACCGAAAGCGAAAGTCGAGATCTTGGCAACACAATCGTTCGACTCGAAACCGATCTGCACTCGAGTCAGACTTCGAAGAACGAGTTGGAAGAGTGTTTGGATTCTGCACGCGCCGAAAGCGAAACTCTGAAAAGTCACGTGAAAGAGCTAGAGGAGGCGCTTCAGAACAACAAGGATGCGCTGCAACATAGCCAGGATGCGCTTCAACACAGCCAGGCTACACTCCAGCATACTCAGGACGCGCTTCAAGAAAGCCATGACGCAAAGGCTAAGGTTGGAGAAGAACTTGCCCTTGCCCAAACCAATGGTCAGGCTTCTAATGCGAAGATTGACGAGTTGAAGGAAAAGCTGAGCGTGGCCCAAGCATCCAGCGTCGAGGAGGGTGACAAGCTTCGTACGGTCCGAGATCAAAACCAAGGTCTAGAAGATCAGCTTCGTACTGCGCGGGATCAAAACCAAGGTTTGGAAAGTCAGCTCCGTACAGCGCGGGACCAAAGTCAAGGTCTGGAAAGTCAACTTCGCACAGCGCGGGATCAGAACCAAAATCTTGAAAGTCAGCTTCGTGATACACAAGCAAGGCTGGATGACGTTGGACGCCAGACGGATAAGTTCCAATCCGAATTACGGTTCTTACAATATGCAAAGACACAGACCGAACAAGAAAAAGAGGCAGCCCAACAACGCCTCAACGTCCTGTACACGTCTTGCGATAAGATGGAGAAGAACCTCGAATCAACTCAGTCACGACTCTACGCCACAGAAAGAGAAGCAGAAGAGCTCAAGTTCAAACTTTCGGAGACCAAGAATGAACTTTTCACTATCCGCCAGAGCAAGGCCGAGGTTGACATCAGACTCGAGGAACTGTCCAACGCCAACGAGAACCTCAAAGGAGACCTTGACGTTATCCGACAAAGCAAGGTAGACATTGAGACTCGATTGGCTGGTGCGTTGAGTTCTAATGCCGAACTGGAGGGTAACAGAGCTGAACTGAGGTCGCACTTGAACGATTCTGAATCACTCAAAGCCGACTTGGCCACTAAGCTCGCAGAGACCAGCAAAGAGGCGGACACTCGGCGCGCCACTATCGCCAAGCTCGAGGACGAACTCAAAACCGCGTCGCTACGGAATAAGGATATTGAGGCTGAGGCACACGCGACTCAGATGCGGCTCGATATCGCCGATTCAGAGGGTCTGGTCCTCGTCTCTAATATGTTGACGTCCGAGAAGGAACTTGGTACGCTTCGCGATACAAATGCTGAGCTCGAAAAGTCCCAGAAAGCTCTACAGGATCGTCTTGTTGAGACAGACGGAGAGCTCAGTAGCGTACGAGAAACAAACTCCCGCCTAGAAGAGAGCCTCGCGCGAGTGGAAAGCGACATGAATGCTGCCCTCGAAGAAAGCGAGAAGCGGTTCCGAGAATTCACAGAAGAGTCTCAGGCGAAATTGGATGCGGCGAAGAGCTCAAAGCATACTCTCAAGAGAAGGCTAGAGGAGAGGCATGATGAGATCGAGACATTGAAGGTCGAGAAGGAAGTCATGCATCGCCAGATCAGCGAGAACCAAGTGGAATTTGGCGCTTTCAGGAGTGCCAAGAAGGAACTTGAGAATGCGCTGCAGGGAAAAACCAACCACATCAAGGAGCTTGAAGCAGGTCATCAGAAGCGACTGACGGATCTGTGTACTGCGTACGATGGGTTGAAGAGCAAGCATAGGAATGAGTTGCAAGAATATCAACGGAACGAAGAACTGCAACGAACCCAGTATACCAGACTTCATGCAGCAACGCAAGCGAAGAACGCCGCCCTGAGAGAAAGAGACGAGTTTGCGGCAAACATAACGAGCTTGGAGCATGAAGTACGTAACCTAGAGGCCGACAAAACGGCCTTCACGACATTGGTCGCGGAGCTTCAGGAGAAGATCCACCACCTTGAGTACCAGGACGAGGACGAATTCGGCAGCGCCGCTTCCTTCATGCCGTCTCCACGCGATATGTTCCAGTCTCAACGCTCACGACGCACTGTAAGCTTTAACGGCCCTACCGCCGAGCACCCATACGCTGGGCCAGCGACGCCAGGCAGTGTGACATCCTACGAGAACATTGGATCGGGAGAGGAGTTCGACCGCGTCCGTGCCCTGCGTGATGACACAGCCATGCAACTCAAGGAAACGAAAAACACAGAATACGAACTGAAAAAGAAACTGAAGGAGACCGAAGCCAGACTGTCCCAGTTTGAGAAACAGTATGTACCCCATCCACTCTCTCTGCCCATCACTTCTTCTTCCCGCATCGTACTAACGAGTCTGTTTGTAGACGTCCACGCACCCTTCTCCGCAAGAAAAGCCGCCCAGAAACACCGAATGCACGTCTGGACACGGAGCGTCCAACACTGGGCCAGCGAACGAGTTTCTTGAGCATGGCTAGCGTCGGCGAGGAGCTCCGCAAGAGCACGTTCACCCCGCGCGTAGATAGGAGGTGGTCTGGGCTGCCGAGGCCATCGACGAGTACTGGGGTAGATGAGGACAGGAAAGTGCAGAAGAAATGGAGTACTGGATTGAAGGGTATTTTCAAGAACGAGTCGTAAGGGCGTATGAGAGGCTTAGAATTTAGCGTTGCTATGACATGACATGACATGTATTTAGAAAGGGGTTACGGGGCGTTGGGTTTTTCCTTTGTTTGGTCTTTGAGGCGCATAAATTGCAAGCCGACTGAAACCCAGTCCCATGTTATATATCATCGAGGTTCGTGTTTGTCAACACCACTCAAGAATGCGCGTTTGTTTAACGATATACGAATTTTATTTGTCGTTCAAGCAGAGTTATTACCTTGAGTTAGTTATGCTCGCAAATTTCAATCCAGATCTAAGTTCGCACTGCGTATCCAGATCATCACAATCGCCGCGTGACGCTTCTGTGGCAGTAAAACTACGGAGATACTCAGTAACACGGTAAACTGATCTATAAGAAATTGCATTGCAGTCTATAGGATGAAAAGAATACTTACATCAAAGAAAAGTGTAGAAGGAGCTGAAGGAAGAGACGTCTGGCAGGGGGCGAACATCATGTAGTGATATCAAGAGTCGCGAACATTCCATGAATCTCATGTTTAATGTGATTCGCCATGGCCATGAAGCGAAATCACGTCTCTGTAGTGACTCTTGCTACGACGGGTTATTGCTGCCGCGAATACAGTGTTAACAAGGCGATGTTGACCTATAGTCTAGGACACAGCGTATAGGGTCTGGCTAATATGCTTTGACAGAAGAAGAAAGTCGACAGTGAAGCTACCAAAAACCGTCGTCTGTGTTCTCCCTGATACGGCCTAGCTGTGACTTAAAGCCGCGTTGGTTTGGATTCCTTGTCAGCTTCATGTTCAATGCCGCAATACCTTCCACGGACTTGCGCCTGGCACCCCTCGAAGCAATGGTGTTCTTTGTGCCATCCGACTCCTCACATCCACCCTTTGCTTTGCTACGAGCTGTGCCACGGGCGTCTTTACTACGCTTCTGTTCGATTACCTGCTCATGTCGATATACAGCCTGTTCGTCAGTCCACGACTCTACACCGTTCTCAGCTGCTGCTGCAAACCCTTCGTAACATCGCTTTTCTCGCTCTTTCTTGGTTAGATGTTTCTCCTCTTCTTGGATATGAGTATTCTTCAGCATTCCCCAATTGCCCTCCCGCCCATCAGCCATTAACTCCCAGATCTGGTTGGGGCCATCTTTGTGTAACGTCTTGCTATGTGTCGTGCACTGTTGTGATTTGACAGTGAACTGGTTCCCGCATCGAATCCAGGTTTTGCTATCTTCCTTACTCAAGACGAACTCGAGACAGAAGCCGAATTTGAATGACTTGAAGTCTGACGCTTTCTTTCCACCAGAACTTCCATGGTGACCTTTCTTGAATAGACTCCCCGTGAATGGGTTCTTGAGATTGGGATTGGATAGATCTAGGTCTGGAAAGAGTTCTTTCCATGGGAAGTTACTCGGCGTGATGATCTCAGAGGCATCATGCTCGATTGATATGGTCGATAACGGTACTACGAAATCGTTTTTCTTGTAGTTAGTGCTCTTCTTTGTGTTGGTAGCAGACTTGGACCTTGAAGACATGATGATCGCTATCACGCCCAGACAGTTGAATCAATTGCGGACGAGTTGGGTGCGCATACGTTGTTCCAGACAGGAATGGTCGAAGGCCGCGTCTTAGGGAAGTTAATCTGATTGAGTTCAAACTACTAGTGAATTTCGGTGTTGTGGTCACAGCAGAGTTGTCGTAGTAGCCGCTGTGATAAGGGTTGTTACTATCTGAGGGGAATTTGCTTCTCTCGTGTAATTCTTTCCAAGTAGGCCTAAGGTTGTTAATCACTAATGACCCTTGTCTGCCTGGTTGAACTGATGTTGTTTTCTGTGTAACTCAAAGGTTGAGGAGACTCATAGATGTTGGTATTTAAAGAAATATAGAGAACAATTCGCGTGTCACGTTTTCACACTGATAGGTTTGAGATTGATAGGGTATTGATTATGGACGTAGAGAGATATTCGGAGAACCTGAGGTGAAACGCTCAGTTACTCGTTTCTCCGGTGCTTCACTGTGTATTCACAACGCGCTACTGTCCCTATGGTCGTTGAGCGTTATGTTCCTCGTTCCCAATATGGGGATTTTCTAGCTTTCTTCAACACCCCTCTTGATTGTTATTTGATAATTTGAAAAACACCTTACTTATAGTCCCAGTCTTTCGAGTGACATCAGAAAAGATTTTCGACTTCAGGGATATCCATAGCCTCAGCCACATCAGTGACATGACTCGTGATAATGTCAAAAAGATGCGATCCCAAAGGGCTTGCCTCACCTTGCTAGTCGACTGCTACTGTGGAAAGCTTGGTGTAAGTCCTTCAATGTTCTAGCACATCTGGAGACATTGTGTGAACACAACAAGCTTTGATTTGCTGACCCCCACACCACACGCCTTTGTTCGTTGTTACACAATGTCTGGTGACAGGTTCATTCAATATCAACACCCATCCCATTGAATGTGAAACGCGTCTACCTTACAATCTAAAACGATGTGTTGTTCTACTTTACTCAAAACAAAGTGACATGTGCTCACTCAACCTCACAACTATCTAAATCAATTCTTCGACTATCCTTGTGGTACGTGATAGGGGGAACGTCCTCCATCAGAACCTGCTTGACCTATCAGTAGCACACTAAACCTCAGTAGACAACGCGTTGAAGCCCCTTCTGCACTACCAAATCCTAAACCTTCCAAAGTTGCGTTTCCAAGGCTCACCCAAAACATCTGAACAGATCACGGTTCTCGAATCTCGTAATCCTCACAATCACTCAAACAACCCCACTTTCTGTCTTTTCGAAAACTTGTGTGGAATGCAATATTCATTACAGCAAAAGTCACCGCGTGCCAACATCAATGTTGGCGCAAACGCTTCTTCTACCACCCCCTTCATCATCAGTTCCATTCAGGAACCCTCTGTTGTCAACCATCGTAGTGTTTGTCACGAAACACACAACAAACGATTATCTACCATCCACGAGAATAAATCGGTGGCTTCAATTCTCAACACTCGAAGTCTCACAGGCTCATCGATATCTAGGCCTTCTGGGAAGGGCTCCCAACATAATTCAGAGGAAGGATATCGACCCGCCGAACGTAGCATGAAGCTGAGCAGCAAGCTGCGCCAATTTGGCAACTTAATCAAAGCAGGATGTAGGAAAATATGGATTAATGCAGGCGCAACAATTGGAACCATTAAGGATACTGGAAGCAAGACCATAACTGAGGATGACGAAAAAGATGTCGACAAGGATGAACAGTCCTCGCAAACACCCAACAACGACAATGACGACTACACATTGGACGAAGACGATGAAAATCCCCGGTGCGACTGGAAAGTGATTGATGCCATCCCAGACTCTAAATACGAAGACCTTATCCGACTTCGTTGCGATCCTACCGGAACTTGGACAGACGCCCGTGTGCTTGGTCACTCAAAAGGTTCATATCATCGCGCTTCTTGTCTTGGTTTGCTGATTGGAAACAAAGTTCGTACGTATTATGTACGCGTCCCTGGTCATGGCACTCACGAACACTGGACACCAGAAGATGCATACATGCTGGAGCGAGAGGTCCAGATAATTGAGTACATCCGTACACATACGAAAGCTCCTGTTCCTGAGATCATCGACTACTCAACCAGTCATGATAACTTGCTTGGCCACCCGTATATTTTGATGACCAAGATAGACGGCCGAAATGCTTCCAGCATATGGAACGATAAATCCTATTTTGAGGATGGTCAAGCTCAATACAGCTGGCGTTTGGCTGACGACCCGCCAACTGAAGTCAAGCAGAAGCGTATTACCTTTTTGCGCTCACTAGCTCGTATCATGACAGACATTGGAACGCTCTCATTCGACCACATCGGTATGCCCATCGTTTCTGATCACGACGCTCCCCCACTTATCGGATCAACATACTATTGGGCCAATGACGGTACTGATGAAGCGGTCGAGCGCCGCCCGGTTAAATCCACACGAGACTACGCTCGAACGCAGTTGGACACAATGGATATGCCAGTGGGCGTCCGAAAGATTTTCGATATCGTCTTTGCACAACCTGCCTTTAATCCTTCTGAGCCCGAAACGTTCACGATCCATCACAACGATCTCGATCTTCAGAACATCCTGGTCGATGAGGACGGTAACATTACAGGTATCATTGATTGGGATAGAGCTATGGCCGCCCCCCGGTGTGCAGGTGCCGCTGCTGTTCCTCTGTTTCTACAAAAGGACTGGCTTCCAAACTACCTGAACACACTGGATATTTGGCCGCACATGGCTTGGAACACTCACCATTACCGTGAACTGTACGCCGCTGCCCTAGTTGAAGCTGGCAATCCTGACGCCAAGTACACGATCAAATCAGCCATCTACCAAGCTGCTCTTATGGCCATTTACGAGGGAGGCGATGTGTATGATTTTGTCAAGAAACTTCTCCAAGAGATCCCTCAATGTCGTGTTCAGGCTGGGGAGTTTTGCAAAGCTCTAGGATCATCGATAGGATGGCCAGCTGCTGAGAAGATGCTGACAGTCGAGTTGGCAAAGATCTTTGAACCTGAGCTTCCCCGCCAGGATCTCCTCCAGGATCTGTGTGATGAGCTCTCGCTTGAGGATTGGAAAGAAAAGTTCGGTGAATTCTTGCTGTACGACCCTGATTTCGATGCCGAACTCAACGCCGAGCCTTGACTAAAGGCAAGGATACCCTGGAACTATACAACTGAAAACCAACGCTGCTAGATCGTCGTACGTATTTGAAGGCATCGCTAACCTCAGGGGCCCCGTCAAAGCGAATCATGTGCTGGATCGGGCAAGGAACTGTGGAGAATGACTTGTGGATTCTAGAAGCTCTTAAGTTAGAAAAACACCACCACATCCGACTCCACAATCCCGCTTGCTTGGAAGAGTTTGTAAGAGATTTATAGGCGCTTACCAGCTAGAGATTATGAACTTGTATAAAACATCATATTTCCACATGTGATAAATAGTTTTTGCCCTCAATCGTGCTGCCTGTGACAATCGATTCGTACACGCAATCATCTGTATGTACGATCCCGCGGAGCTCTGCGAACTATGTTTGTCACTAGCTAGAATTGGCTGCGGCGCAGTAAATGAACCCTACTAGCGCTACCATGAGGTCGATTGGCTGCAATCCTAACTTGTCACAACCCTATCACGCTGAAGTATACAGTGTGTGTATCTGTGCAAGGCCATGATCCTACAGCCCCCTTCACTCTTTCATGATCGGCGAGTCATTCTCAGGATGGTACAGGGCTGCCTGTGCTTCTACCTCTACCATCGAGTCCACGTTATTCCAACAACCATTCACCAAATTCATTCTTCCAAACAGGATCATTGGAAGGCCCCGAACTAATTTGGATCGACTGGTCGCAGAGCACCTCACCTAACGTAGACTTTGCTGGCCGAAGCTTTGAACGCGCATGTGCAATCCCCGACCCCGCGTCACACGCGCACCAATCGCGCATATATGCTAGGTTAAACCTTAGCTGATTCGTTTTTGGCTGCCGATCGAACGATCTGAGAGGTAGTAACTTTATGTTATTTCCGGTCCAATGTGTATTGTGTGTGTTGAGATTAGATTGCCTGCCTTGGTTTTTGTACATGCCCACAACATGACAATGGCTTGTCGTCTGACCCGATTCTCTTCTTGTAACCCCTTTAGATATTGGCACTTGATTGACCAGAAATCTAACGTTTCAGCTTCGACATATGCGCTGTACGGGGGGCTGCAGATACTGGGTTGATAATTGCGACACTTGCCACATGCATTATGCTGAATCTGTCAACCTCGCTGATCCTGTTGGTTCCATATAGACCAAAATCAGGAGCTTTTAGCCCCGCGAACCAGTCTCAACAATCTTTTACGCATTCAAAAGACATCAACATGGAGAACCACACTGATATGGACGCTTTTCCAGAGCTTGGGAGCAGCTTCATCGTCATTGCTATTGTGATACCATCGGTCGTATTGATCGCGCTTGTCACGTTGATCATAATGTTAGTTTAGATATCTTCCTATGACTGTCGCTCTCCATACGCGTGCTAATGAACAGACTCCGTCGCAGAGTTCTCGCTCTATCTGGCACTGTCCGCAACGACGGTATCACTCTGAAACAAGAGCGAGTGAGCAAGCGGAAAGAGGAGCTAGAACGAAACGTCAAGACGCATAAGTTCGATGACTGGCTTATGGGTCAGAAAGAGAAACATCCAGGATTTCTCACAACAGATTCTATTTGGTGAGCTATCTCTACGGGTCACGCAACAAAGGTAGAAATGAGCTAACAGCATGTAGCGCGATATGTCTCGATGGGCTCACTGGCAATGCGCAGATTCGAGGCCTCCAATGCTCTCACGCCTTCCATAAGCAGTGCCTCGACGAGTACTACTGTGCGTTTGTATATGAGTATTGCCCTCTGTGTCATCGAACGATCATCCCAGGGGCGAGCCCGGCAAGCCAGAAAAAAGGCGAAACTTCAGACTCTATTACAGAGGTGGTCGTAGTATGAAGAAGCCGAGACAGCGCTCGAGAACGTACTGAAATTCCGAAGCTGAATGTGCTTCACGCTGAAGAAACTACAACATTGAGAGTCAGGAGGGAAAGACCTACGTAGCGGTCCACACACAACACAGCACGTTGTCTCTGAAGCCCCACTTCCCGCAACTAAGGAACAAGTTGGCTTTTTGGCTTCTTGGCATGCACTGTTGGCGGCGGGTGTACCCTTGCTACGCTTTATGTGCTCCACACAAACAGTACAGCATAGTCGATTGGTCGAGTCACTATAACAATAGAAAGAGAACTAAAGCTAGTGTGAAGAAAGATACCACCATGGTCTCGAAAGCGCCGTCGATCAGAGCTGATATCTGTTTCCTCGACTTCGCCCTTTTCGCCAAGTCACACATCGCAATCAGTTACAAGACAACTCGCATGTTCGAAGGCGCTCAGTATGGCAGAAAACGTTTGGAGTAGGGGTTGCCAGCTTCTAGGAAAATTCAAGAACCTCAACATACCTATTTAGCAGATACGCAAGGCTGGTTGATACAAATTGATCTAGCTTCTTCAATCAAGTTTGGAGCTACGACGAGAAAATTGTTGTTTTCGGAAATCAGACTTAGACACGCCACTGATGGCCGAGCCAGTGGTTTTAAGCATCTCTACAAGCGTGTGTACGATGTAAAGAAAGCTGTAACATTTAGGCAATTTATTCTGTGTAACAGCCTTAGCTATTCTTATAAGATTCATGTCGTAGGACAGTATCTGATTACAGTATTGGCTGCTCTGGACATGAAATTCGGGGAAGAGTCACGTGAGGTTGTCTTGAGATGCAAAGAATACCCGTTGGGGAAATTTGATACTGATACTACAGAGGAAGCGCTACATGCCGATATTGACCTTGGGCTTATTGAAGAAAGACCGGTGTGGACTTGTAAACCCAGGGAAAAGAAGGGGCCGTCGGCACTAGTGCGGACGCGGGAACGCTTCCAGACTACAGCGTAACGCGGCTTCGATTGATCTTCATACCTCACGACCTCAATACCGAATGAAACAGAAATTCTAGAGATTGCGTTTATTATGGTCGTTGGCAAGGAAGCTATGCCGCTGTCTCACCTCGATGATCGCACAGAACCGGCGCACATCCCCGTTGCCAAGATGGACCTGCTCAAGGGACAAGCGAGATGTCACGCCACCCAGAAGGTGGCCTGATATCCTTTTGGACGGCGGACCCGCTCTGCACTGCGTCCTTCGTGGCACCGAGACGGCCGTTCAAGCGACAAGAGAATTCTTCGGTCCTGGTGTTCTTTGCAGCCGCAACATTCGATTCTGCACTTCCGCGCTCCTGATCAGTCGGTGACCTAGCACGACACCAAACACAAACTGCAGTTTGCTCATAGGTCGTCTGCAATAGCCGCCAGCTTCCGCGACGTGTGTACCTTACTCGCCGTCTGAGGTAGCGGCGATCTCAATTCACACAAGAACACCGGTTGCCGTGCGCTTAGATCCCGTCTCTACTCTTCACACCACCTCGAGCGAGTCAATTGTGCTCGCAAAGATCCGACGGGTACAGAGGAAACGCCGGTTTATATTCTCGACTCCAGCCCCTGCACCCAGTACCTAGGCATACGTCTGGGCTTGGCCAGGTCACGTTAGCAGGCCTCGTGCGTTTGTATCTCCTGATCAACGCGTGAGATCTTTCGTGCCACAGCCCACCCATTGCCTGCCAAAATGGCTCTCAATTGGGATGAATTCCTCGATGCCGAGAATTACAACATATCAAACGACCAATGGTCCGATCTCCCACCACCACAATCAGCCCCTCCCACATCTGAGATGCCCAAGTCAATATCGTCTCACACTTCAGGGTCAACGCCTGAGGACGTCACCAACTTCGAGAGTCTTCTCAATAACACATCAGGCGATCCATACTTTGACGACTCTTTGTTCATAGCAAACGACTATTTCCTGGGCGACCTTGACGTCCTGCAGCCCTTCGGCAACACCGTTGGTGGTGACGTGTCGGCTACGGAATCGTCTCCTGAGCCCACCACTGGCCCTACCAACTTCTCTACATCTCACACGTCGCCCTCGATGTCAACCCACTCAACACAAATGACACCATCTCAAGGAGAAGCAATTCGCCGGGCTAAGTTATTTCCCAATCCCGCCTTCGAGTCGTTGTTTCCAAATGGCCTGGAAGCAGGATTTGAAGGAGGGGACCTTGCCTTCCCAAACGGACCAGAAGCGTCATCGAGTTCGATGAGACCTGTCACCGACAAGATCAATTCTTCAGCACACAAATCCGCCAAGCGAACCAAGAATAAGCCGGACATTCTCTCCGCGTGCTGGACATCGCCACTATGTCCCAACCATGATCAAGATGGACCACCACCCAATCCATCAAGCTGCGGGGGAGGATGTGCGCCTTTCCTGTTTGCCAACCACGACGCTCTTCCGTCTATCAGCAACCTACTTACCGAGCCGCAAGAAGTCATGGCCGACGATGGCATAGTAGAGATCCAACCACGACGTAAGAAGCGATCAGAAAGCGTCTCCTCAATGAATGAGCCGTCAGGCCGCCAATATCCAAATCACAATACTCCCATTGACGTTAGAGAACGATTGAAAAGCGAAACATCGGAGGACTCGCCAATCAAAGACTCGCCCCAGGCTTCAGAGGATGCGAAACCAAAGTCTCGTCGCCGACTACCACACAATCAAGTTGAGCGTAAATATCGCGAATCCCTGAACACCCAACTTGAATCGCTTCGACGTGTCGTCCCGTCTCTCCAGCAAGGACAAGGAGTCTGCGACGGCGCAGACATTGAAGATCTACCAACGCCATCGAAGCCTAGTAAAGCTGTCATCCTAGCGTCTGCGACAGCGCATATCAAACAGCTGGAGAAGGAAAAGAAGCAAGTGGCGGACGAGAATCTACTGTTACGAACGAGGATAAAGGCACTGCAAGCGCTTGTGAAGTGCGAGGACTGCAATTTGATGCAGTACGTCATGAACCTTAAGATTAACCAAGCGAAGTGATTTTGGTATGAGTCAGTTCATCGTTCACTCTGTCCTTTCGGCAAGAAAAGCCCATATCTGGTTTTCACTCATAGCTCGGTTTCGATCCAAATCCAATACTCGAGATTTACAAGCATACACTGGGCGTTAAGAGAAGTTTTGGGGGTTTCATTTGGCCAGTGTAGACACCTTTGATCCTTTCCCATGGAACAAATCGAATTTGTTTTATGATGAGGTTCATGAAACAGTGTCGTGGTACTTGGGACTGTTTGATTTGCGGTTCATAGCCGCTGTATAGCATTATAGGATGGCAGGTGTGATAGGAATGGGCACTCATGTTAGGTGCCCAGACAACGGCGTTTTAAGGCGTTGAATTGGAGATCACGTTGCTTGTACGCGACTGTAGACACTCTTCTCCATAGACGACTTTATGAATTCAACCTTTTCAATTCAGCCCTGCATAGAACGTAGCTGCCTGTATTGACAGATGTAGGTTTCTATATTTTCGATCGCGCATGCCCAGCTCTCACTCTTTCGGACGTAGTTTTAGCCAAGTCATAACGATGATACAAAAGATTTGCTTTTTCTTCTTTACAGTCATGCAAATTCGCCCTTGCATATCTGGTGGTGAGAGCGGCGGGAAGCGAGCTCGATCACACCACACGTCTCTCCACCCGCCTAGGGTCCTGAACGTCATATCCAAGAACTATTGTTACACGGAAAACCATACCCAGATCTTGGGGTATGCAGATCGCTTCCTTCTCGGTTGTGTAGTAACGCTTTGGTGCGAGGCTTTGAATGTCACATCATGATAACGGCAGGCGGCGGAGGGGCCGTCTTGAACCTGTGGAGGCTTATAGGCAGGTGGGTAAGCAATGATAAGAAATGGGCCAACTTATATGTGATCTGTTATACTTCATTGACGCTGCCATCTACACTGCAAACTCCATATATTTACATTCTATAAATCTGCACTTTATATAATCACACGACAACCCGACAACACGACGACATCGACACTCAGTCTTAGGCACACCACTTTCAACCCACTTTGTTGCCACAAGACATCAACACAATGTCGCTTTTCTCCCATGTCGTCGTTCCTCACCACCGCGCCAGACAAAACATACTACACCACGCACAACCACACCCCCAACACCACCAATTCATATTCAATCGCTACCACCTCTCGGACATATTCGTCAACTTCTTTACACATATGCTCGCGCCGACAGCGTGCGTGTCCTGCACGTGTACCACACCGTGTTGGGCACCGGACGCCCCGAGTGCAGAACAGCAGTGTGCGGCTAGCGTCGATGATGAATGCGCGATTGTGGAAGACGAGAGCGGATTGGATGGCGGACCGTTGTGTCGGGAGGCTACGATTGCATCATGGAAGACCAAGGGAGGGAGGAGGGGGAGTGTGGAATAATCGGGGAGTCATGTGTGAGAAGTCCCGAGGTGGTCAACTGGCTTGATGGACTCGGACGTGTAAAGAGCAAAGAGGGGCAACACCAATACCGATGTGGGGTTGGAGTAGCGGACGATATGGAAGGCGACAGTTGACGTAAGGTTGGGGTGAAGACGGTGGAAAGTGAGCTATATGCAGGGCGTGTTTGGGCGAATTTGGCTCACAAGAGGGCACTGCGGCTAGAGTCAGACAACTATGTGTGCGTAAGAGGTAATACAGACAGGTACTTGGTGGAACAGGATCTTAAGAGAGAATCGTTTGCGAGTCTGTCTGATCGTGGACCTGTCACTGCGAATCGTTGTGGTAGACCTCAACCCGATGGCAATCGAGGTCGTCGTGTTTCCTTCTCATGTTCAGTAGTTTCTGTCACTTCGATGTACTTAGTCACTCTATAAAACCCGTGTGGCAGGAAGTATTCATGTAAGCCACAAACTGTTTGTCAAGGTGAGGAGATTCGCGTTTGGTCATAGGCAGATATCGGAACCCTGGATGCGAGGTTTCACATGAAAAATAATTGTCAAAGATGCATCAGCTATGTGTATTGAAGCAGCATCTATCAGGTATTACTAGCCCAGCCATCCATGTTCCCAATGTGCTAACCCGCATCAAGCGACAATGTCAGTCACCAATAATTCCACCCCATCGTTAGGTATCGTCTTCAAACTAGCCGTGTGTCTGTCTGGATACTCGAGAAACCTGCCTTTCAGACAACGGCGTGCGGTGCCGTAGTCGACTGGTTGGTGATGGGAGCCATCTCGCGCTTGCCCTTGAAGCGGTTGATGTCCCACAGTCTGCCCTCGAGGAGAGTACCGATGAGGTTGGTGAGGCTGTAGCGAGGTTAGTAAGGCTCAATCAATATGAGAACTGATGAATGAAGTACGTACAAGGCCAGGAAAGCAAAAGCCTCGAGTGTCTTCTTCAAGGAGCACTTGTTGACAAAGGGACCGGGAGAATTGTACTCGCAGTTGTTGTAGTTGTAGTCCTGCGCCGCGAAGATGAAGGCTGTGAGCCAGAGGTACGAGAAGATCCAGTGGAGGGGAGCGAGGTAGCCCTTGTACGACTTCATGGCAGGGAGCAGCAGTGCTGGGAGGAAGAGGATGGCATCGATGGCAGCCTGTGGGTTGACAGTCAGAATTGCTCGACCAAACGAGGTGAAGGTGATGGATACGTACGATGGAGACCCAGTACACCAAGTGCGTGTTGTTCCTGTAGTTGCGGATAAAGTACGCGGCGATGCTCATGACGATGAGGGAGGAGATCCAGTGCAACACATGGGTGGCCGTGAGGGCAGGACGGTGAAGGCTGTTCGAGCGTGCAGCCGGTGCACCATGGCCGTTGGTGGCTACAGCGGAGGAGCGTCCGAAAGCCATTGCGTTCGTACCGTCGAAGTGATGCTGTTGGTAAGTGGGGTGATAAGCAGCTGCGCGTTGGACGGAAAATACTCGAGTGGAGTAGATGGTGTTGCGAGGATGGAGGCGGGAGCGCAGCAAGGTTTTATGTGACGACAAGCACAGGAAGGCAACTGCGTGTCAAGCCTACGTACGTCGTGGTACCTGCAAAACTTGCCCAACGCGACTTCTATTTTGGCCATTGTCTGCGCCCTCTGCAAACAGTCATGACCACGTCTTGCCGAACCCTTCCTTCTCTTTGTCTGCCTATCGAGCCTCTCTCCATGTTATTGTCACAACAGAGTGGCTGCCACGATCCTTCTGTTTGTTCGCAGCCGCCGCAAACAGAAACGGGATACGCACGGATACTTCCACGACGTCACCGTGATATGTATCTCAAGCAAAAACGAAAGGCGACGACATATGCGCAAATCTTTCATGTCGTGTCTGTTGTCGAACGCTGGTCGCGACACCCGGCCAGAAACCACCTACTCCTTGCTTCCCTCTGCATCATCAGTCCTCACATGCCACTCAACTTGCCTCTTCATCATAGCGCTATCCGTTTAGTCTTCCAATCTGCAGTCGCCTGGATGTCGCCTGCTTCTTCTCAAGACCTGCGGTTCCAGTGCTCAAATACTCACGCCACGAGTGTTTTCGAGTCTTTACACTACCACTGAACTCCGATATACGTCTCTTCCTCACTTTGGACTCACTGTACATGACAAAGCTCTATAACTGCTTCTTAGAAAGTACAAATCCGTTGCTCCACAACATTATTCGAACTTACCCCGGGGATCCAGAGTGATCTGAGCCATAACAGTGCTCAGATAGAGTGCCATTAACCATAAATTCTCTGCCAATCCTGTGACGCCAAAGATCTCGTGGACGGCTTCGAACTAGGTGGGCGGGTACAAGGCAAGTGGTGCAACCGTTGTCCGGTAATACGTGGAGGGGTATCGCCACGTCGCTAGCGAGAACGAAAACTCTCACACGCTGAATGTATTGTGCAACTCTTCCAGTCCTGAGGGTCTCTAGCACCGCGGCATCTATGCATGGCAATAAAGTCCATACATTTAACATAGTGCCAATGTCTCGAAGACCAAGTAGGCCCGTGAGTTCTAAACGATCCAGAACCGTCCATGGAGATACAACGTGAATCTGTATTGCCTAGCCGAACATATCGAACATGACGACAACAACTCGAGAATATCGTATGCAGCATATGGATAAAAAAGATGATGTAATTTGAAGCCTTGGCGTCTGCTTACCGCCCGTGAGTTCTGCCATCTAGCGCCTCAGATACAAAATGTCACTGTCGAACGCTGATTGGTCTGCTACATGGCGAAACTTTATACATAAAATCAGTGACGGCGCAACATGTCGCAGTAGCAACTACAAATTCGAAAAATATCTAGGAAAGTATGAACACAATCGAGCGTGGCGCAATAGCAAACGAAAAAGATGGAAGAGGAAGAGCCGGCGAAGACGATGTCGAGAAGGGAATAGACAGTTGTGCGACAGGTATGTTCAATATCCTTTTCTGCATCATCTCCCCCCAGCAATGAACACTGACCCCATCGTTCAGGGAACTGCGACAAGAACCAAGATGTCCCGCCGCTGAGGGGTCTCTCGTTCCTGGACCGTTTCCTTGTAGTATGGATTATCCTCGCCATGGGCATCGGTATCGCAATCGGAAATACAGTTGATTCTGTTGGGCCTGCGTTACAAAAGGGTGAATTTGTAGGTGTCAGTATTCCAATCGGTACGTTCGATAATGCCTACGTAGCAAGTTATACGCTGACAGGAGACAGCCGTTGGGTTGTTGGTGATGATGTATCCCATCCTCTGCAAAGTCCGGTACGAGACACTGCACCTATTGCTACGGGAGAAGGCCCTCTGGATACAGATTCTCATCTCATTCGTGCTGAACTGGATCATCGCGCCGCTCTTCATGGTCGGCCTGGCCTGGGCTTTTCTTCCAGACCGCCAGGATTTGCGCGAAGGCTTGATTTTCGTCGGCATTGCGCGCTGCATCGCCATGGTACTCATCTGGACAGACCTTGCGGGAGGAGATGGCGACTACTGCGCTGTATTGGTTGCGTTCAACTCGATTCTACAGATCGTTTTGTTCGCCCCATTCGCCATCTTCTACGTACAGATTGTCAGTCACGGTGGGAAGACGAACGTCTCATATGAGAACGTCGCACAGAGCGTAGGCGTCTTCCTGGGTCTTCCACTGGGGGCAGCAGTCATTACACGGCTGGTTTTGAAAACCTGGGTCGGGGAAGACAAGTACCAGCAGTATTTCATCCGGTACATCGCACCGTTTTCACTCATCGGCCTCCTATACACCATCATTGTCTTATTCGCCAGTCAGGGAGCGCACGTAGTTCGGCAAATAACGGATGTCCTTCGTGTGTGTGCACCACTACTCGTATACTTCCTCGTCATCTTCACCAGTGTCATCTGGTTCTGCTGGAAAATGGGATTCGGATACAAGATCAGTGCTGTGCAGGGTTTTACCGCTGCGAGCAACAACTTCGAGCTCGCTATCGCTGTGACAGTCGCTGTCTATGGCGCGCAAAGTGGACAAGCCTTGGCAAGTACAGTGGGCCCGCTCATCGAGGTGCCGGTACTTGTAGCCCTGGTATATGTGCTGAAATGGTTTAAGAAAAGATGGCAATGGGTCTAGTAGCGGTTGGAAGTGTTCCGATTGACTACACACTTCACTGATGATTCATCAGATGGTGGTTCACAATATCCATGCGCATAGATTTGGAATGGCTATGGTAGAACATGCATATTCATAGATACGGTTTACGTACCCGAGCCGTGTACTCAAGCAGATATCTGTCCGGTACTCGCTCTCGAATGCCGGCCGTGTCGAAAATATGTAGCTCCTAATCCATGTCGTACCAAGATGGAAAGGTGTACCGAAGACTTCTCAGCCTATGGTAATAAGTAATCACATCAACTAGTCTATCCACATGGTTGCATAATCAAAGCTATGCACGGGACACGTGCATAGAAACCCGTGATAATGGACTCGCGCTGCTCAGGCAGTCCTTGATTGGACAAGCGCTTAACAGCTGAAAATAGGTAAGCGATGCGGTTACCAAGTTCGGGTGTTTCTGGTATTGTGCCGCTGCGGGATGGCGAAGTTAGTACCATCTGGGAGTTTGAAAAATGCCGGGGCCAGCGATCGTCGGAGAAGGTACCGAAAGATATTAGAGGTCCTCTGCGGGGGTTGACATGTTTAACAAGCATCTGGGAAGCAGGACAACCAATCTTTTGTCTCGGAATCTGATGCCGAGTATTCATGGAGCACGGTCCAAAGGCTTATCAACCACTTAGCCCACAGGCTGTTTCTAGTGGGTAAATATGCCTGATGTCTGCTCAAGGATCGAAGGAAAGGCGGCAGGAATAGCGTGAAACGAATTGGCGATAGCTTGTACGTATGATGACGACAAGCCTTGATCTCTCGTGTTTGCAAACGCTCAAGGTACATGCTTAAGCTGTACGTATCTTCACGCCTACTCGATCGTACTTCTAGCGGGGCTTAGAACATTCCTTCCGTTTTCGTAACTGAAAAAATCGACATTGTTCATGAATCAGGGGCCAGTGCTAGTTTGTGGTTAGTAAATTCTAGTTAAGGGCATCAAGTCCTCGCCGAATATCCTCTGCCATGTCCAAAGTAATTATGAGATGCGCATCCTTCATGACTATAACTAAAGTCTTTAGGAAGCGATTCGCATACGGAGGAAGGAACCGATTGATATAATGATAGATCTTCCGGTTGATGCAGCTGCAGAAGTTCTGCAAGACAAAACTTGGAACATGTTGCCAACAGCTTCCATGCAGATTTCTACGCAATGGCCCATCATCTAACACGTTACCCTGCAGTTACAAGTGCGGATCTACGGCCAATCTTGTGTTGCCGTTGCAGCCCACCGGAAGCATCGATACCGCAGCCGGATGCTGATCCTTGACGAGCTACAGATCGATGAGTATCGTTCTACGTGCTTACTTGATCAGGGACTCCTGTGTCGATACTACTCAGCCTTACAAAGTCTTCAAGCATCCAAGTGAATACACGTACGTCATATATGCATTACTGCTCGTGATCGTGCTGAGACTGCGCGGCCTTTGCTGTTCATGCAAGTCTACCGACTGAGATAGGAAACTAGGGCGATTGGAGTGTAGCAGTTAAGCAACGATCAGCCGGTACAATACATTACGCTCCGTTCGGCGGTTCTATCAGTCACTGTGTTACAAAAAGCTCTGAAGACGGAGTTGTTATAAGAAGTCTTTGAATCCTGCCCGCATAGACAGCCAGCATACTACGCAAAATAAACCAGACTTTTTGGAACTCATTTTTGACAAAGTGAAATATCAACGAGTGTACTTAGGAAGGTGGTAGGTGTCTGCTTACAGAACACGCCGATGCTGGTATAATTCAACTCTCCCGATAAACCTACCACGGCGGCTCGGTCGCGGAGATTGGGGAACTTGTACCTGGAGATGGTGATTTGGTTCAGGGTTGACAGGTTCTCTGTTTGTTGCTCTAGCTTGTCGCACTAGATCACTAGGAGTAACTTTGCGAATAGACCCTCTCGCTACACGGTCGCTTGAGCCTCTATCCGTTCGGTCGTGACTAGGATTTGTTCCGCGACTCACAAGAGATTTACTTGCTGGCCTCGGCGTTCAACCCTCCTCATCGCCCATTAGCATCCTACGACGCCATGCGGTGAACTAAACCAGGAAAGCTAGACTGCTTGTCTGGACAGGATAGCGCTCCCACCCATTCTCCGCAAGCGTCCGTAAGGCTCTGTGGTTGACGTGATCATGCTGTCTGTGCGCACAAGTGGGCAGCCTCGTAACCCGGCAGATTGGTAACTAGCGAACCGCGGCTCGTTTCATCTCTCAAAATTTACACTCTCTTTGCTCTTCACACCCCCGCAGACCCGTCCTCACACGTTCACATCAGCTCTGTAGCCCCATAGCGCAATGCTGCGAAAGATGAAAGCCTGCTCGATGATCGCCAGGAAAACGATGTGTACGTCGACGATGACGCTCGTTGCAGTGATCTCACTACGAGGGCATGCAGTCATCTTCGTCGGTAACCCTAGCGTTCAGTCCAGGCCCGCCTCACAGCTTGTCCGGTTCCTAGCTCGGCATGGCTTTTCATGTCCAATCTTCTACTGATCTTCGCAAAATGCGGCATGTCATAATCATAGGTACACGTGCGCAGGCTTGTTGTCGTCCAGGAACGCAGCGTCTTGTGCTCTCCATTCAAACGTCAACGTTTCAACGGTGTCCACAGTGTCTCAAATGCCAGGGAATCCCCGTCAATCGCTACGTGTTTGCAGGCCATGTGGATTCGCAAAACCTCCTTACTTTACCAGTGCCGTATGGGGTAGACCGAAAGCATGATTCATGCATGCGAACCAGCCTGCTGGGATTGGTCACATCTTCGCAGCGTGGGTTTTCACGTCACCGTTCAGGACGTTTATGTGGTCGTTCAACTCTCTGATGCCCGGCTTGTTCCGCTGAAAACAATCTTATCAGCAGTCTAAAATAAGTCTTGAGCCACTGCGATGGCCATCGACAGAGCATTTTCCCCATGCAGACATCCCTGGTGACAGTAGACTTGTGTCATGCACAGTCGTCTCTCACCTTTATACAAGCGACAAGATCTTGCTTTTTGTCAATTTTCACTCATGTTTCAGGTTAGCTCGACGCATCCATCACGCCTCTCGATCTCTTGTCGACCAACTGGACGAAGCAAGTTATGCAGATGTACATACTCAGTAATTGCACATATGAAGCCACGACACGTTGTTCGTCAACAAGACAATGCTACCTACCAACAACTTCCAGTTTGTATGTGTCAAGGTAGCGATCCAATAACTCGGTAGCGGAACGGCACGCGTCGTTGCAACAAAGTCGGCATACGAACTGAAGTGATGAAACGGCGACCGTGCTTCCTGAAGCAAGCCATTTAGCCTGTGGTTCGGGGTAAAGACGATTCGTGCAGGCCATACAGGGCAATCGGATCATCAATACGGTTCTGCAGGAGATAGAGGAGAGACTCGCGAGATTAGCGGCTCGAGATATGTGATTGAGCCACGGCATTTTGCTCGGCCTCACAACGCGGTGAGTTGTATGAGAGTGCTCACCTGGCAACCGGCGCACATGTACCGGTTGCTGGAGGATCAGTTCCTTTGCAAGTTCAACGCATAGACTGAATCAAGATGAGTCTTCACGAGCATGTAAGTGTAGGACGCGATGGTAGGACATGCTCGAGTGTAGGGGGCGTTTGAGACGTGCAAAGTGAGATGGGGTCGGGGACGGATGACGGCGACTGGTGTGATGAGAAGTTGCAAGGCTTGCTCTAGTCGGAACCGAGCAGGCGGTGGTTGGGTAGTGAAGCAGGAGGTGATTGGGCGTTTGAGGCAGCATATTTTGGCGCATTGTGAGGAAGACGAGGGGCAGGGCAAAGGTGTTGTCTTGGGCGCAGGCGTGGTGGAAGTGCATCACCTTGCACTGGGATTATCGTGCGCCCCGCTTCTCCGAGCGGTGAGAACGGGCGTTATTGCGACAGGGCGCGCACATGCGTGTTGCTGTGGGCAGGCTAGACGTGGTTTCAGGCGCTGAGTGAATGTCGCTGGCCGCTCACGGCCTGACAGGGGCCATTGCCCTTTGTGGCGAGAGCATGGGGGAACGAGACTACACCCGCCAATTTGGCTACTCGCAGCAACCAGGTTCCAGCTGGCCGGGCCGCGCTAGGCTGCAGCAGGCCCAGCTCCGAAATGGTAGGTTTTGGACGGCGGGCCAAATCAATAGCGGTGGTGCTAAGGGCCTAAACTTGCGGGCGGCTCCCAGACACCCACCAAAGGGTGGAGCCGCGACGCCTCGGTCGACGAGAAGCAGCAGCGTCAGCGCTGCTGGATGCGCCTGGGGTCCTGCTGGGCTTCGTGCCGTGCTACGTCTGCAGGGGTTTCGTGTTAAATATCCCGCGTCGCTCCTGTCCTGATGACTTGCGAGACCCCGGCCCTGCCTTGCTGCTTCCTGTCCGTCTGCCCGCAAACCGCGAGACCCAGCAGCGTGTCGACTAGCAGAGCCAGCACGCCCCGTCCCTCCCTTCGCACCTGGATCCTCGTCGTCGGTCGCATACGCCCTCTCTGCCCGGCTGCGTCGCTCCGGCCGCTGCTGCTGCCGCTGCTGCTCCTGCTCGCCCTGCTCCTTCCGCCGTCGACAGCAGCCCTCGCCAGCGCGCCCCAGGACCATTGCCCGCGACACGGCTCGACACTCGCCGCCCAGCTGAAGGCACCCTCCGGCCGTGCGTGCTAGTCGCCGTCCCCGGCCGCGAGGCAATCCCTCGAACCGCGGTTGCCCTCATGGTTACGATGGCATCGACTGGGTGAGTGCCCGCTCTGTGCCACCTTCCCTTTGTGCTGGCGCGCCTGCCTGCCTTCCCGCCGCTCCCGCCTCCCCTGCCCACGCTACCCGCGGCCCTTTGCTCCTGCCAAATGGCCGACCGACTGACAGTGGCTGCAGGCTGCCCGTACCCGCTCACAACAGCAACTACATGGAGAACGGCCGGTGGTATCATGGCTTCCGGCGGGGCATCTACATGTTCCCGTGCGACGAGCCGGAAAAAGACCGCATGGACATCTACCACAAATTGTTTGCCGTGGCACGGAGGGACCAGCTGCACCAGGCGCCCATTCCCCAACACGGCGCGCCCCGCATCCTCGACGTGGGCTGTGGCACGGGCATCTGGGCCATAGACATGGCCGAGTAAGTTGGCCCCCAGCCCTGCACAACGTGCTGCGCCAGGCTAACCGCTCTCGTGTGCAGCAAGTACTTGAACGCCGAGGTGCGCCGACCCGGACCGCTCCCCTGTTTCGCGGGGCCCGATCGCTGACGTGAAGTGCTGCAGGTGCTAGGTTTGGACTTGGTCAACATCCAGCCAGAGAAGTATGCCGCCCGCCCCGCCCCCGCTGGCCCAGACACTGACGTGCCCCCGTGCAGGATCCCCCCGAACCTGCGCTTCCGTGTCCCACGCGACCACGAGAGCCCGTGGCTGCTGGGCGAGGACTCGTGGGACCTGGTCCACCTGCAGATGCTCGGCGGCAGCGTCACGAGCTGGCCAGAGCTCTACCAAAAAGTCTTCTCGTATGCGCCGCCGCTTGTGTGTGCTTATTCTCGGCTGACCCTGCCAGACATCTGCGGCCCGGCAGCGGCTGGATAGAGCACGTTGAAATCGACATGGAGCCACGATGCGACGACTACACGCTGAACCCCGAGAGCGACCTCGTCAAGTGGTACCAATGGCTGGCGGATGCCACCTACCGCGCTACACGCCCAATTGCCTACGAGCACCGGACGCGCCAGCTGTTGCAAGCAGCCGGCTTCATCGACATCCAAGAAACCGTCATCCGTGTCCCCTACAACTCGTGGCCCAATGACCCGCACCAGAAGGACATTGGCAGGTGGTACAACCTGGGCATAACCGAGGGCCTGGACGCGCTGACCTTCGCGCCCTTGACGAGAATGTACAGGTGGGAGCTGATCGAGCACATCAGGCCGCTGCTGGACAGCGTCAAGAGGGAGATCTGCAACCGCAAGATCCATGCTTACAACAACATGTATGTCACATCTGCTCTCGCTGTTGCACCAATTAATTGACGTTACCCGCCAATGCTGACACCTTGCTCAACAGACACATTTGGACGGCCCGTCGTCCTCAGCAATAGTGTTCTGGGTCTGACCCATCTCAGCCTGCGAGATCCTATCCACCAGTGTCGTCTTCGGCCTTGTTTGCCTGCCACGACTGCGACCCAGTTCTACTCATATGACGTGCTAGCCTCTGCTTAGCATTAGTCTCAACGTTGCAACGACCGAATCTGGCACAACGGCCTCCTCATACGCTTCGGTCTCAAACTTCTCTTTCTGGACTTCTATGACTACACGATTGATTTCTCCTGTCCAATGGCGCGAGGCTCGGATGGATGCATGGCCACGGTACCTTACGGCGGCTGTCTGATACAACCATCTTTTGCCTTTCTCGACTTTGTCTCCCGCCTGACGGTGCGTTCCTCGAGCGGGGGAATGGAGTTCTTTGACGATACCACCCTTTCCGGCGTTCTGGCTCTCTTTGGAAATATGATACCTTGTTTTGATTGCGGCAAACTGTCGCTTGTACACTTGGGAAGAGGGAGACGCTTCGGGCGAATTGAGCGTTCATTGAGTTTTTTTTCAGTGTGTTCAAGACAACTTCTGGTGGCGGCAATAAGCGTTGAAACATTTCTTGGGGTTCCAGTCTCTTGTTCATCGTTTTGAATGGTGTATCCGCGCTGTAACGGTTTCAGTGCGCCGACGATGTGCGTTATCAACACTCCATCTTTTCAGTGAGCGTTCTGTCATGACCAAAACCACTCAGTGGATGGAAGTTTTTTGGTGGGAATATTGTTATTTGGGAATACCCTGCTTCAAAACCACGTTGCAGCAGCAAAACGATAGTAAAATTGATATAATTCCTAATGAGCCTCTTCCTGCAATCCTTAATCCCCGGGCACAGCAGTCGAGTGCAGCTGAATGCTGTAGATGTGGAAGTGTATTCTATGTTTGGGTCTACATTCTGCATCCATGGTCACATTCGCGCCCGACCAATATATATGAACCTCCGTGTACATTAGGCGGCGAAGTCAACTGCCTGCCTAACGTCTGATGTGGCGAATCGTTTGATGACTGCCATACTGGGGTCACCTTGCAATGAGGGGAGTGTGGGATGGATCATCACGCACGAGCATGGCCGGACGCGCATGACTCAAATTACCGGGGAACCGACACTTTGGAACGACCGAGTGCTCGTTCTTCCTTCCCTTCCCTTCCTTCCCTCCCCTTCCCTTCCGTCGCCTCCCCCAGTGCTCCTCTTCACTCCTCGGAGCTTAGTTTTTTTTCCAACGCCGCTGGATGCTCGTACGCGACGCAACACCCTCTCAACACGCCGGGAAAGCCCTGTAGCGCAGCCACAGCAGTGAGGCATGCAGCCGTACATGCAGCGAATGGCGTACCGGCCGGTATCCGATATGCTCGTCCTCGTCCAACCACCTCACTTCCCCAACGGCGACGCCTCGCGACGGTCATCACGCGGTGGATTTCGGCGAACCCAACCTCGCTTGCACAGGCGGACGGGAGAGGCCTGGATACATTGTTTAGATTAATATACAGCACATTATGGCGGTTAGAATGACAAGGAGCCACGGTGTCCTTTCCTGGCCATGCTTCCGCGACTTGCGAGAAATCAGTCACTTTGCTCGTAGTCAGGATCCCATGGCCTGTCAGAGAAAAAGGATCGCGCGCGCGCTCTCTCCCGCCACCGTGACGAACTCACCCTGTGGATGGGTTCCCTGCCATGTAAGTATGCCAAGCTTGCGCTCCCCCCGCGTTTGTAAAAGTCGCACATCTACTCGTCGTCACATGAATGGGTTGCAGCACTCTTTTGCTGCTCGCACGCGCTTTCGGTTCATTGTCCCGTCCCCACGCCTTACGCCACTATCACGACGCGCTGCTTTCTGAATGCACTAGATGCCAGACATTGGGTATCCCGTCAGCTGGGGATTCCGATCTCCCGGAACCTGGTCCCCGAAGGATTTCATGTAGTGGCGTGGCGTTGCGTGATGCTGGAGCCTTGCCGTACGGTTGCAGGACGCGACTTTCAGCCTGCTGAGCTCTCATAGGCGCGGACTTCGGCTTGGACGGCTGCGATTTCGCTTATGGAAAGTAAGGGGGGGCGGAGTAAGTATCGCTTGGGTTCAACAGTGTTTAGAAACGAACGGTCGCCGATCATGCATGACTGGGCGCTTTTCTCGTCTAAGCATCTCTGCCCAGACTTCACTGTCCGAGAAGTCAGGAGATGGATGCAAGCTGACTATCCAACGCGCTGTGAAAGGCAATCCCTTGCTTTTACTGCCACCACTCGCTCGGTACGTACCAACCCCGCATTCTCGTTTCGCATCTTTATTCTACACGCGTTACATGATGACAAACGCTGGGGCCATATGAATCCTCCTCCATGTTCACTTCGGTGGATGTGGAGTTGTAGGATAATGCTTTCAATACCAGCATTCATATCTTCTCATTTATTCTGATATGTACTCTACTGGCTTTTCGTGTCTTTCATATTTGGGAAGGGCTATGCTAATGTTTTGCTCAGACCATACGACATCCGCTGCGCCGAGCAAGGTACATCGGCTCCGTATAGTGACATACTGAAACAAATGGACCGAGTGGGTGGTCGGATAAGCCAGGTAATGCATGTCGTCGTGACAAGTAAACAACAAACCCTTGAACCTTTTTTGTTCTAGTGGAGAGTGGTCCCATTCAGCTCCACGGCTCGTCACCCTTCCGAGCTCATGTGTAACAGTGGCGTCAGTAGGTCCTTGGATAGTAAAATTACTCACGAAAGCCCCCTTGAGTAATTTGCTTCAGCCCATAGAACTTCCATGGTAGTTGTTGTCGATGTCCCTGTGAAGACCGGGAAGTATTTGCTACATGTGCTCCATGTCCCGGAAGTTTATGCACGTCTGGCGCAGGTGTCCAAGCACATGAGCGAGCACGCTATTTTCCTAGTTGTTGCTCCAGTGCTCTCGAAATCTGCTCGCAGTCCAGTTCTACTCGAGTTCCTTGCAGCCGCCCCTCCACTTCATGGCGCACGGTCGCGATATCAGTGCTGTTGTTCCGATTGTGAACTATTTCTCTTGTAGCAGTATCGTTCGTGTGAGGCAGCAAAGACGGGAGTTTCTTGCCCGTCAATGGTCGAATGCCTATGATTCCGCAATATCGAGATAGACGTCAGACAGGAAGAGGAAACTGCGCTCCACTATTTCCCCAAGAGTCGTAGCAGTAAAGTCCACTTCAAGCCGTTCGACGTTTTCAGTGTTGCGCAGCTGGAACTCGACGGGTGTGAACTTGGGGAGGCGTGTCTTCTGTTGGACGAAACCCAACAAGCTTATCATGACGTCGGGAAGCAACGATGTACTTTTGGTGTAGGATTGTCCGACGATAGTTGGTGGATTGCGACGAACTTAGGACGTTTAGCCGAGAGAAAATCCGTACCTGAAGCTCGGACGTTGATAGTCTCTGTAGTTTATCTGACAGTTGCGCAGTTTCTTGAGCTCAGAGAAGTTTGTACCGCGGAAGCGCGGTTTGAGTAGCAGCCTGAGTGGGCAATTTCTCAAGACCATGTCAGTCTGTATGACGTCCTTGATGAGCCTATATAATCGCAGCACATTGCTCTCAAATCCGATAGTTGCTACGCTGTTGAGATTGTACGTGACTCGGTGAGAACGAAATATTTCAACGAAGATGTGGCGAAGTATGTGGTGTGGCATATCGAAAAGGTTGTGAAGTTTGACCGGCCCAAGTTTCTGCAACGCCATGCCATCGTCTAACACCGCGAGTCGAAACGTGTTCCAGCCGCACTGTACACCGCTTGTCTCGCGGTAAATCTGGCAGCATGTTTGAAGAAAGGCGATATTTCTGCTTAGCTCACTGAGAGGGTTGTCGATCATGTCCAAGCCCTTGAAAACTCTGGGGCACAAGACAGATACAGGCTCAGAGAAATGATACGTTGTCCCATAGATTTTGTTGCGGATCTCAGGGCAAGGTTGAGAATTGAGTTGGCGTGAGTGCGTGCCCGTGCAACCCGTTGTGTTATGACAACTTGACTCAATTTCAATCTTCTGAATCCCCTGCGTCGATGTCAGTGCTACTCGCCGGTCATACAATGATTGAACTCACCCTGTGGAAACTTCTCTAGCTGGTAGCATCAAAGTGAGCATTGATGTTCTAGTGGAGACCAGAGGCTTGTGGTGAGGGTACTGGCCCCAGAAATCGAATTGAGTGCCACCGCCTACCAGGAGAAATCTCGACCTAATGCTGTATATTGCGGAAAGCCAGGGCGAGAGAATATCGTACATAGGAGTTACGCAGAGAAACAAGCTTGAGCACATAGAAAATGGCGAGTTGGCTTTACTGCTCTTCAGTGCTCCTTCCTAACTAATTTCCGACTGTAAATAGCAGGATTTTTACGCTCCCGCACCCCCACACAGACAACACATTAAGGCCAGGACTCATCTATTGGAGGAGAATGTATGTTTGCATCCAGACGGGTTACACAGAAAGTCATGGCTCCCTATCAACACTATTCGGTAATCATTACCAGGTACTACTTGATTGAATAACGGAGGTGTTGTTTCAATCCATCATACGGACACCTTAATCAGATTTGCTTCTTCTTATCCTTGAACGGCATTTGCTTGTCCTTCGTTGCCGTTGCAGACTCATTCACTTCCTTAATCGCATCACTTGCACCATTCCATAACTTTCTCTTCCCTTGGAACACACGGTGAATGTGCGGACTCCAAATCCCGTCCATCAGCAATCCGCAAAACTTCCTTTCCTGGAACCAAAAGCTCCAACCCTTCCACCCATACCCAAGATACTCATTGACACCTGTACCAGCCATTTCGTCCATAGCGTGTATCCAGGACCCCGGGTTTACCATGCCGGGCGATACATTGGTGCTGCGTTGTGCACAATCAGCAAGCCAGGCGTGGTGCTCACCTACAGCTTGGTTCATGACTGAAAGTGAGGGGAGACTCGTGGCGCCTTTCCAGACCTGTGCGATGGCCATACTCGCCATGTCGAAGACCTGGAATCCGCCCAGTGGAATCTGCACATTACCCAGGAAAGCGAGACTATCGGGTTTCTCAAGCGAGAAGATATTATGGTATAGTCGCGCAAGCGATTTGCCATTGGAACCGCTAGCTGTGGACCATGTGGGTGTGGAGTGGGTTGTGGGATCGAAACGCGGTTCGAGCATGCTGAAGTCGGATTTGTAGCCGGTGCACCATATGATTGCATCGACATCGACCTTTCGCCCATCTTCAAGCTCGACCTGTGTTTCGCTGAGGATGCGACGTATGCCCTTGACAGAGTCTATGGTGCCTTTTTCGAGACAAGGTACTAGATTGTCGGAGACGACTGGCGAGGCTTGTGCAGGCTCAAACCCCCACTCTGGTCGAATTGTGAAGCATTTCTCCTGGAAGTCTTTCAATAGCTTAGCAAAGATTATGGAGCCAAGCTTGGGAAAGTAACCGATGATAAAGTTTTGTATGCTGAAAAGTCGCAGGGTGTGCGTGTGGTCTATTGGCCGCCCATTGACCAGGTGAGGAAGCTATTCAAAATTCAGCCTGGAGAAAAAAATCGAAACGGTGGGATTAACCTACTACATGTGCCCCATGCCTGTGCGCAAGATAGACTTTCTCTGCGACCCCGGCCAACTGCGTCGCAGTGTCTACTGCAGTATTCCCAAACCCTACGACCATAACCCTCTTCCCTTTAAAATTTCCAGGTCTTTTGAACGCTCTTGAATGTACGCTTACGCCGCCGAACTTTTCTGTCCCTTCAATGAGCGGAAGATTTGGAAGACTGGTGACACCTCCGATTGCAATTACGACCTTGTCGAAGAACTCTTCACTCTCGCCCTCCAATCCAACAACCCATTTCTGGCGATCGTCATCATAGGTGAATCTACGAATTGTAGTGTTCAATCGAATACGTGGTTGCAAATTGAAGTGTTCGCAATAAGTAGTCAGGTATGTCGCAACTTGTGCGCCAGTGGGGAAGGACGAGACATCTACGATAGCGATCAATCAGTGTTGCTCACCAATACAGGAAGTAAATATACATACCTTGGGGAAACGGAAAGTCCGTAAAACATCCCTAACCTGTGTTAGTAGTTGTACGCTGACGAGAGGTGAAATTCTTGCCCTTTCTTTCGAAATATTCACGGTTGTGGTCTCCAGTACGGAGGTCTTGTCCTCTTCCGTATATTGCCACAAGCCTCCCACATAGCTGTTACGTTCAAAGCCTGTTACCTCAAAGCCTTCCTCGGTGAGATTCTTGAGCGCTGCTAGTCCAGCCGATCCTACCTTCATGAGCGTGACGCCAATCAACCCGCTGTACACTGCACTCACCAAGTCCTATGACCGCCACAGTGGTTTTCTGAGTAGTCATTGTAACGTCTTGCTAGATATCTTGAAGCTTGAAACAGGGCGCGTCGTTGTTGTTAAACGTATTTTCTCCTTGAGCTTCGACAGGCCTCAGCAGGATGTGGAGATAAGGGCATGCAGCAGCAGCTCAATCGCAAGGGGTCTCGGAGAGTTTTAGTATTTAAAAAAAACTCCGATGCAGGAATCGTCAGGGGCGCCATGTGGTGAGTTTACACAGTTGTAACAAACAATAGCAAGAACCCACGCCACACGGCCCTTGTAAGAATATAGTTAGGGGCTTTCGCGGTTTCCCTTGCTAATTTGGTAGCTCATCCAATCAGATGGGCTTATGTAAGTGTAATTCATAGTGCTTATGTTGCTCGTTATGGAGGGTAGAGGTGGTCGGTCGGTACTATTGATCAACAAGGTCGGAGTGGGACGGGAGGCTATCTGGGGTAGAGGCCACCTGGGGTCGAGGCGGGCACAGTCGATTGACCACCACGGAGCATGACATTTCAGGAACCAACATGAACATGTTTTTCTCACATACAAAGTAAAGACTCTCAAAAGATGTCGTCATGAAATGATACGCGAAACTGTTGTGCTTGTGAGGCTATGCCCCGTTTCCGGTGGGTCTCCCCGCACTTGCAGTCAGCACTCACAATTATTTCCAGCACGACATCTGCACAGCATTTCATGTCTTCTCTAGGACATGGAAACTAAGGTTATTATTTCCCGATTAATACCCAAGCAGTTTCTTTTAAAACAGATCGTTCGTGTCAAACAGCGAGCTACTGCGACAGTTGCATCTGCGACCCAACATGTGAAGTAAGCAAACGGCCCACTTTATATCCAGTCTCTACAACTAGAGGAACAGCTCATTGCTTATGCATAAAAGACGCGTGGCTATATTTGGGCGCCTGCACATTGTAGAAGCCTTTACTGTGTTCGATTGCATCATCGCAAGACTGCGGCGCAGTAACTAAGCCTCGGTGGCTTGCTTACCCGCCGAGTATGTGATTGGCCACTGTTTTCTTTAGCGGTGTTGCCATTGCATGCAACGCACGAGGCAGCAGCAGGTAAGCACTATAAGAAGATCTATCTATGTAGCCACTTGGCAGATACAAACCTCCTGCCCCAACTGAGTACTCTGCTACATCACTATTTTCACCAACGTCTATCAATCACCTTTTTGTCACTAAAGAGATTCTACCACGCCACGATGGCAGGACAACGATCAGGCACCAACGATCCGCCCCCAGCGTTCACACCTCCCGCATACGCATCCGTAGTTGATTCGGACGACGAGACTGATACCACATATCCGACGCCTACACACAGTCCTGGTGGACCACAATATGAGGATTTGCCTCCCTCTTATGGTGAAGCGCAGCAGCAAGCCAGGGATAACGTGCGCGACGGAATTCCAGCGCTGGATCCTAACCAGATTGAAGCACATCGCTTGACACTAAATGAAGGACCTAATGAACCCGAGATCTGGGAGTATCGGATTAGAGGGGAAGAGCTGGACACGGCGAACGAGCACGAGCAGGCACCTGCATACGAACGGCACGTTAGTGGTTCCGGTGTCAACGTGCCTGTCCAACATGTCTCAAGCAGCGAAAACATTCCAGTAGGAAGAGTGGGAAACCAAAGAACTGCATCGGCGCCTATTTCCGATCCGACTTTAGCACTCCTTAACCAAGCGTTGCAATTTGCATCTCATAAGCCGGATTCTGATGTGCAGCATGCACCACGCTGGACACGTTGCATTGCCATTCCACAGGAGACAGTGCCCAAACATAAGGGCAAGATGATTTCGAGTAGCTACGATACCGCCAACAAGTCGGCCCAATTTGTAAGAGCGTACGCAAAACCTCTGCACATCCGCAGCATTCGACCAGCAGAGTTTGTCGAGTTTTTGGATGGTCTTAGCATGATGTGTGAGGCATCTGGTGCTTCTGACGGTGACCTGCTCCCTGGATCATCAGGAATGAACACGAACCAAAGTATAGTTGATGATTACATCAAAAGGGCTAACGATACTTTCTTCGCACCTCGTGGACTGAAAGCTTCACTCCGCTCTTTTTCTACCCTCATCACAACATTGAGTATCCCAGTTGAGAAAGGTCAGCGAGACGGTGCCATTACCAGTGTTCTGGACGAAGCCAGCACGGGAATCAAGAGAGCGTGGTCGTTGTATCCATGGATTGAGGCACTGGACGTCAACGTGCCAGCTTTAAGCACTCATACACTCATGTTGCGTGACATGGCTGAACGTTGGAGAGAAAGTCAGGGTCACGCACTTGAGGAACCCCTGCATACAGTTGAAAGCTCTGCTGGAGAATCAACTCAGACTAGTCCGCGTTCAAACAGGGGACGTAGCCGCGGTCCTCGAGGCCTTGGAGGGAGGGGTGCTCATCGCGGGCCTTCCGAGCATAGTTTTCACAGTCCATCAGGTTCAAACGCATCTGGCGCAACTCATCGTAGGCGAGGTGGCCATGGTGGTCGCCGGACTGGACGAGGACTTGTGAATGTACAGAGTGATCGCGCTCCTTTTGGCTCTGGCCCAGAGGAATTCGCAGGTCAGGAAATGGGGGTCCATCGAGAAGAGAGTCAAGTCGATGTTGACAAAGCAAAGATCCATGAGCCCGACGAGAAGCGAAAAACCAAGGTTATGGATTACGACGATACATCTTCCCTGTCATCAGATTCCTCAGACTCTTCGGATTCGGAGTCTGACTCTGACTCCGACTCTGACTCCTACCCTGACACTCAAGCTACCTTTCTCGCACGTATTCGCTCCATCAACGCGCGTGCCGAAAGCTCAGCCACAAAAGGTAAAAAGACCCCAGAGGAAGTCGCTCACGACCGCGCACTCGCTATTGAACAGGCACAGAACGAGAGGATTGCTATGAATTCCGACATCAAAGACAACATTTCCAAGCGAGCCGTGAAACAAGAGTTGAAGCAAAGGAGACGCGAGTTGAGGAAGCAGTATCGCTTGAAAAGAAGAGAGATGCGTGACACACACAAAGGAAAAGGAAAGGGGAAGGCGAAAAAGACGAGCGAGTGGAAAGAAGAGAAGAAAGCTTATAGAGATGCGATGAAGGAAATACGTAAGGAAAAGAAGAATGCGAGGAGAGAATGGAAAAAGGGAAAGGGTAGTAAGAGGATTGCAAGGAAGGAAGAGGTCCATGTCGATGCCGGCCAACAGGAACTGATGGACATGATGGTGTGGGTGGTGATCGAAGATATGGGACTTTGAGTGTGTGCGCATCCAGAAATCCTGCGATTAATGAGACGCGAGGGCAATTCTCACTGGAGAGTGTGGAGTAGTGTTCATGGTTCAGTCAAACAAATGCGATCAATATCAGGAGTTTGGCCTACACTGCATTGGTCACTTGACTGGGAGAGTGCAGCTCCGTTGTAATAAAACTTGGAAAAATCCCTAGGCCTTCTCTTGTCGACATAAATCCTCTACCTTTTGTTCTACGCCGACTGTCACCTTGGCGGCGACGACAGAGTCGTGGTTCTCCCACAAAAATCAAATCTGATTGATTGGATCTTTGACAAATGTGACCAATTGGAAGCGACAGACTGAAATTCAATTTGGAACATTACTCACTGACAGCTGTTGAATTAATGCAATAGTCCCCATACTTTGATGTTGTGTAGAGACATAGACACGCTGCGTCATCGGATCCACCGCACTAGTCGATAGTGGCAATTCATCGTAAACTTTTGGTCGACAACACAGCTATGTTTTGTAACACGACAGAGATAAATGTCTGAAAAGTCATGGTCTCCGGGTCCCTACCGTATTTGACTGTTTTCTCTCATATCCCCAACAACTTGAACAATGTCGTTGATGACGTGCCATGACGTGACGTCAGGTGCTGCCTGTACGTCAAGGTAGCCTTGGAAGTGCAAAGTGATACTATTACGCTTCGATTATTCACCCTTACATGATTCACCCTAACACATCTACCTCACATAAAGTTCGGCTTCTTATCACATCACTAATACCTAGCCTAAATCTTCATCTGCTTCTCTATCGATAGGCATACTTCCAATGGCGGACGTGCAACGGCTTCCGGAGGCGGAGCATGTGCTAATAGACGAGCTCAGTATTGGACTTGATCGGTCAGCCATCAATTCCAAAGGACAGATTCAACTCCCCGATCAAAATTCTAGAAGGGAGGAACATGTGGCTCGCCAGGACACAGGCAGATATGCCGAATCTGAGTCTCCGTCATCGTCATCGTCTCACCATTTCGTCAATTCGATCAAACAGCGCAAACATCATGCTGCTGTCAAAATCAGGAAATCCCTCCACATCAGCAAGGACTCTGACCTTATCGAATCCAACTCGCCGGTACTTGCGAGAGATACAGATGAACAGTCTGATGCACGCCTCATGAACAGACCACCGGAGCCAGAAAAGCCAACCCTGAAAGATTTCATGCACAACCCAGTCGATGTGGTAAAGACAAAAGTCTCAGGCCAAGGCAGTCATCAGGTGGCAGCGAATATTGCCGCGAAAGAGATTCCTCATGGCCAGGACGTTGACATCGTCAATGCTTCCCTTGCAGTCGATAATGCGCGGACAGACGTGGAGAGGTTGCTTGCCATAGAGGATCTGTCCAGGTTGATGACAGAACGACAAAACACGTACGCTCGATGGACACTCGATCGTCATGTCACTAAGGTCAGAGTATTACCCCGGGATACTGTTGTGAGAAAGCCCCGGGAAGCTTTTGAGACAGTAAACGACCAGGAAGGACTTGTCATAGACTGGAAGGCGTACGGACAGCACGTAAGTCTTATCACCAACTGTAGGGCAACAATGATCTTGCTAACCTTCATCAGCTGGTGGAATTCTACGCGCAACAATATGGAGGGCAGTATATTGGTTATGGCTCCAGTCCACCAAAACCCTCCAAAGAAACAGTGATGCCCAATGTTGAGCGGCTACTCGTTGCTACATCCCCCTTCCAGGAGTTTGGTATGACGACCAGACGTGTTTACCGATGGGAAGAACCGGCAGAAACGGCGAAATACCTGGTGATATACCTTACGTTGTGGTTTTTCAACCTGCTCCTTCCGGGCGTGGTGAGTCAGATTATAATTCGTGTCCCCGCATGATGAATAGGAATCATTAACGCTTTCTCAGATTAGTGCCATTATGTATCTCGTGATTCAGCGTCATATCCACGGCAACACTCTGGACGATCTCCGCGAAGATATTAAGCGCCGGGAAGATGCAGCACTAACGGCTCTCTCGATCACCGAGCTCGTGGTGAAGAAAGGAGACAAACAGTGGGCTGATGACCTGCTTGAAGGCCTAGGTCCATGGGCAATGATTCAGCTGGCTGACCTGGCAGATTTATTTGAGAGTGTGCGCAAGTTAGTATCCCGCTCTTTGTTCTCATACAATGTAAGGCTTACGAATTTCCAGCTTCTATGAATGGCGCAAACCTTACAGGACGAAAGGCGCACTTGCAGTCATGGGTGTCGGTGTGTTCATCACCTCGTTCTTGCCACTTTGGCTATTGGTCAAATCTATGACCTTCGGTGCTGGCTTTACTTTCTTTGCGCTGTTTCCTCTCTCCGCCAATTTCCCAGAATACCGACTCCTGGTGTCACCTACCAAACGACTCTTGTGGAACATACCTACCCATGGTGAGTTTAGCTTGCATGATAACAGCATGATACAGCGCACATACTGACGGTGATCTCTACAGCTGAGTGGGCAATACAATATATCCAAGCTGAAGGCTCCTTGATCCAAGATCACACTGCTCCCCAACCACTCAACCCAGCTATAAATGGCACCCCGGTCGACAAAGATGCACATGACTATGGCTACTACACTGCACATCACGAGGGTAAGACAGGCCAGTTGGTCATCGGCACTCTATCGATACGCTTCGTCTCAAACAAGTCACACGACGTGTATTTCGTACTTCCCTACGATCAGATCCAGAGGTTTGAGAAGCAAGACCGGATTATGCACAAGGGGGTTCCTGAAAAACTAAAGAGAGACTCGGGGAAGGATCTGCTGCTTGTTAGCAGAACAGGGCAGGAGTTGGTGCTGAAGGATATGGAGCAGAGGGATGAGGCGTTCTCCCAAATTGTGGGGTTCAGCAAGGTTGAGTGGCAGGTCGTTTGGTAGGAGAGGCGGGGCGATTCGACCTTGATGAAACGACGGAGTTAGCATATCACATGGTGTTGCAAGGAATGCAAAGGCATGAATCTTGTCATGAGAAATGCAAATCCATTTGCGACAGGACTGCAAGGTGGAGCTAGCTAAAACGGTGATGCCAGTCTTGTAGGGCTGAACGTGCAGCCAATCAAAGCACAGACAGCTAAGGATGGAAGTCGCGAGCTGGATCGTCGAATTTCCAAATTCTTCCACAACGTCACTTTGCGATGAATCTACCTGTCTAAATAATGCGCTCTTGATCTCTACTCACCTCAACTTTTCCTTTAGCTAGACAGCCACTCACCCTCACCCTATCTCTCCCTACGCGACACCAACATGGCGACGCAGACGTTGCACGGCGCCTGCGCGTGTGGTAGGAATCGATACGTGGTCGAGATGCCTTCGCAGCAGATACAGCAAGCCGAGCTCCGATACGACAACACGTCGGCGTCACGTAAGTCTTCGCGCCTGGTTTCCATATCGACGTGACACAGTGCTGATGAACCGACTAGGACACCACTCGGCGAGCCCGTTAGCCCTCTGGCTACGCGTCCCCCTCTCCTGGTATACGTCGGCGACCTTTGCACAGTTCCCCGACGAGACACGATCGAGCATCCAGCGCGCCTTCACCTCGCCCTTTGCGTCCAACACACGCCGCCAGTTCTGCGGATACTGCGGCACCCAACTCTCATCGTGGAACGAGCACACGCGGGACGAGGCCGAGCACATTTGCCTGACCATTGGCAGTCTGATGGACGAGGATCAGGCCTTGTTGGGTGACTTGGGCCTTCTTCCCAGCAGCGAGAGCAGTGACGACGACGCGACTCTCGCAGGCCCGTCGCGGTCAACACAGGCGCGGCCCGCTGCTCGCTCAGAACTTCAGGCGCGCGGGGCCCCCTGGTTTGAGGAGATTGTGCAGAACACGCGCCTTGGGCGATTCAAGCAGCAGCGCGGCGGACACTCAGGCAGCGGCGTCCGTGTCGAGTGGGAAGTCATGGAATGGACCGAGGCCGATGATGCAGACGACGAAGGCGGTCGCGCAACGCCGAGCAAGAGGAAAATTGGCGATGTTGACGATGGAGATGCAGAGATGCGAAGCGCCTAAGTCTGCGTGAGACTGTATGTGTTTGTTATTATTAGAACTGGTTTGCTCACGCTCTACGAGGTCGAAACGAAGGCCATAATTGTGTACATGGACGAAGCAATGGATCAACTGGATAGTGCAATATACCGACTGCACACGAACCGAGGTGTTCGACTACACCATGTGCAGCTCTTTCTGTTTGAAATAGCCGACCCCCATCACATTCGAACGCGTTCTTGCGATGCTATGCTTCACCAAAAATACTCCGGACATTATGTCTAATCGTAATTCTCGCGTTAGCAGCTCCGTCATTATATCTCCAATCAGCGGCATCGGAGCGCATGCTCACAAACGTGGGGGCATAGTAGCGCGAAACGGCTCGCTCGCCGCGTGGGCCCATTATGCAACTCGGACCCTGGCTAAACGGGACGGGAGGCACGCCGTATGGACTACGCCGAGAGAGGTCAATCACAGTGTGGAGTCCCCATTTCGGCGCGTGAGGGGGTTTTCTACAGACATTCTCACGACCAGTTCCGCTGCTGCAGCGCTTTGTGTGCAACGAGGTTTCTGCGCCAGATAATACGATTAAGTCTCCTTGTCATGCACGGCGGGTATGATTGGACAAGACGCGACCCAGTGCATGCATGGTCCCTATCTATACCCTTGACATGCTCGCCTCCGCTCGGGCTGATAAGCGTAGACTGTCATTCGCACCTCACCTTACTCAGATTGGTCTTGCATTCACAACTCCTGCAGCAATCAGCCACCCCCGAGGTAGTGCCTGGCATCTCCCTGCGATCTATGCTGCGAGCATGTCTCCACACGATCGTTCCGGCGGTTATCTGCGGTGGCGCTTACATAGGACTTTACGTTCATTCTATGCAGCTTTCGATAAGCGTTCGAACATGCTGTGTTCGGTTCCAACAGAGTGGGTGGTCCTTGTGGCACGTATTAAGCTGATGGACATGTCTTGATTTTCTCTCTGATAATTGCCGAACCTTATTCATTCTTCTTCCATCTTGTCTTTGAAGCTTCAAAAGCTTTTCAATTGTTCTGTTTCGCTTCTTCGTTTGACACGAAGATCTCCGGTCGGTTCGGCATCACAACAATTACCCGAGTTGTGCCATTCCCCACGTCCCCCCATTCCACATCAGCTAAGGATCACGCGTGGCTTTTACAACCATGGGGAAAGACAGTATGGAGAAGCCTCCGTCGGAGGTAGACGATCATGTGGGTGTGGGCGAGGTCTTCAACGCGTCTGGTCATAAGCAGGAGCTGGACCGACAGTTCAGTCTGTTATCTGTCTGTTCTGTTGGAATCACTACTGGCAATGTGTGGGCTGCCTTGGGCGGTTCAATTGTATGTGTTCTTCCCTTCTCTCCCCTCTTTGACCCTTAAACAACTCACTATCACTTGATGCATGAAAGATACATGGATGTGCTAACATCTAGTAGGTCATTGCACTTTACAATGGCGGCCCCGCGGGCGTCATCTACGAGTTCATTGCAGTATCAATCTTCTACTTCATGATTGCAGCTTGCATTGCTGAGATGTCTTCTGCAATTCCCTCGGCGGCTGGTGTCTACACCTGGGCCAACATTACAGCTGGGTAATACAACTCTATTGCTCTATTGTTAGTGCAACATACTAATCAATACCTCTAGTGAGAAATATGGAAGGATTGTTGGGTATTTCGCTGGATGGTACGTTGATCCCTCTGCTCCACTACACACAGTCTTTCTCCAAACAAGCCCTCACATCCTCACAAAATCAATACTAACACCCAATTCCAGGTGGAACTTCTTCGGCTGGATCTTCGGCACCGCGTCCATGTCCTCGATTCTCGCCAACCAGATAATCAGCATGTACGGCCTCTTCCACCCCGGATACGAATACGAACGCTGGCACGTCTTCATCGTATACCTCATCATCACCTGGATGGCATGTTTCACCGTCATGTTCGCCAACCGCGCACTACCTCTCTTGACGACCATTGGCCTGATCCTCATCCTCGGGGGTTGCTTCATCACCATCATGGTATGCGCCATCATGCCCAGTAGAACAGGAAAAGGGTACGCGAGCAACAGCTTCGTCTGGCGGGAGTGGCAGAACCAAACCGGCTGGAGCAGCGACGGCTTCGTATTTTGCGCCGGCATGCTCAACGGCGCATACGCCGTTGGCACACCCGACTGCGTGTCGCATCTGGCCGAAGAAATCCCCAACCCGCGCCGCAACGTGCCCAAAGCCATCCTCGCCCAATACGTCGTCGGCTTCCTAACCGCGTTCCTCTACGTAATCACAATCTTCTACTCGGTAAACGACCTCGACTCCCTCTTCTCAAACCCCTGGCCCTTCCCCCTCGCCGAACTCTACCGCCAGTCGACAAACTCAACCGCCGGTTCCCTCGGCCTCCTCATCGTCATCTTCCTCCCCACCTTCTGCACAAACATCGGTTGCTATCTAACCTCAGGCCGCATGCTGTGGACGCTCGGCCGAGACGGCGCCTCGCCCTTCTCCGCCTGGATCGGCAAGATCTCCCCGCGGTACCAGAATCCGTGGAACGCGACGCTCGTGTGCGGTGTCATCGACACGATCCTAGGGTGCATATACATCGGCTCCTCGACGGCGTTCTCCGCCTTCGTCGGGTCCTTCATCGTCATGTCATCGTTCAGCTACCTCGCCTTCATCCTGCCCAACATCCTTTCCCGCCGCCGCCACGTCGTCCCCGGCCCCTTCAGCATGCCCAACCCCGTCTTCTACACCATCGGCGGCCTGGCGTGCGCGTACATGTGCGTCTGGATCGTGGTGTACTGCTTTCCCTACGCCGTGCCATTTGACTCCACGACGATGAACTACAGCTGTGTGTTGGTGGGCGGGCTGACGATTATCATGGGCGCGTGGTATGCGTGGATCCGGAAGCGTGGGTATGAGGGCCCCAGGGGCGCGCTGTTGAAGGCGTTGAATGGGCTGGCAGATGGGGATGATGGGCCTGCTGTGTTGGATTTGGGGAGCGGGGAGAAGGCGTAGCAGGGGTGGGGTGAGGGGGTGGAGTTGGTAAATTTGATGGGCAGGCGTGATTCGAGCGCCGAGTATATATATACTGATAGATAGATGGAGTATATGTTTTTTCTGTTCACTGTTTGTTGTAAATTTGAGGGCTGTCTTTGATAATTTTTCCTTTGCCTCAAGTAGCTCATCGTGCACGAACATCTAAAGTGTGCTGTGCGATGAGATGACTGACCATGGATGATTTACACGAGATATCCTGAGTGTTGAGAACGAACGGGACAGGCTTGTTGGTGTGGATTTCTGAATCCATCTCGTGGCTATTTCGCTGCGATGTGAGATATTGCGTCTTGCATTCATGAAGAAGAACACGGCGAATACACGACTGCTACTTCTATACTCTTTCATTGCGTCGTCACTACATCTGGACATACGCAAAAAAGCACGCTACTCCTTGAACCTCCCCCCCTCACTAACATCAGGATAAACATCAAACCGTCTCTGCGTATAAAGCGGAATCCCCTTACGCACCTCCTCAATCCTACCCGCCTTGAGCTCCTGCACCACGACCCCCTCATCCTCGCCCAACTGCTGCAGCACCTCCGCATTCGGATCAACAACCATACTGTGCCCCCACGCGTTGTAATCCGCCTTCATATCCCGCGCGGGACTGCACAGGCCGACATACACCTGGTTATCCGTTGCGCGCGCCCGCGCCAGCAGTTCCCAGTGCAGTGCGCCGGTGGTGAGGTTGAATGCGCCGGGGTAGACAAGCAGAAAGGCGCCTTTGCGCGCGGCGATGGTGGCGAGCTCGGGGAAGCGGATGTCGTAGCAGATGGCGATTGCGATGGTGCCGTACTCGGGTAGGTCGACGAGCGTGATCTTGTTCCCTGGGGAGAGCACCTCGGACTCCTTGAATTTGATTTTCCCGGGTATGTCGATGTCGAAGAGGTGCACTTTGCGGTGGGTGGCGAGCAGGGCCCCGCTCGGCGCGAACGTCAGACTCGTGTTGAACAGCGTTTTTGCGTCCGAGGCGTCGCGCTCCGGGATGCTGCCGCCGACGAGGTAGACGCCTGCTTCCTTTGCAAGCTGCGAGAGGGTGTGGAAGGTGGGGGATTGGGCCTCGGACGGCGGCGAGGGGAGGAGCGTCTCGGCGTAGCTGTCGAAGTACTTTGTGCCGTAGGGCGAGTTGAAGCATTCTGGGAGGACGACGAGGTTTGCGCCTGCGCGCGCGGCTTCGAGGACTTTTGTGCGCGCGTTGGCGAGGTTGTGCGTTTTCGAGGAGCCCGAGGCGAGCTGGACGAGGGCGAGTTTGAGCGATTTCTTGAGGAGGGACGCCATTGTGAGGGGGTTGTGTGGGTGTTGTTGTTGGAGGAGGGAGAGTGTTTATCTGCGTGTTGGAGGGGAGTGGGGAGCTCGAGGTGGGATATGGCCGATGCTAACGCCGACGTCGGCAGGACATGCTCAATCACTAAACCCACATCCCCGGCAAACCTCACTCACGTCATTCAGGGTAACAAATACGTTAACATGATTCATTCACAACTCGTGCAGTTTACTAAACCACACATGGTATCATCTACGAGTCCTTCTCCAAATCCGCAATCTGCAGCACCGCCTTGCCAAAGTTGTGCCCCTTGAGCATCCCCAAGAAGCCATCCACAGCATTATCAATCCCCTCTGTTACGCTAACCTTGGCCTTGAATGACCCGTCTGCCAGCCACTTCTGCAGCTTCTCCTGGTGCTCCTTGCCGTGCTTGGGGCCCATGTTCTCGTCGCCGACAATGAAGCCGCGGATGGTAAGGCGCTTGGTGACGAACTGCATGGTGCCGTACAGCGGGACCTGCTCCTCAGGCTTGAGGTTGTACTGCGAGATCATGCCGCACGCGATGACGCGACCGAAGCTGTTCATGGCGTTGATGGCCGCTTGCAGCTGCTCGCCGCCCACGTTCTCGTAGTAGATGTCGATTCCGTTGGGGGCGAGGCGCGCCAGTGCGTCGGCTGGCTTCTCCGTCTTGTAGTTGAATCCGGCGTCGAAGCCAAGCTCCTTCTGGATGTACTCGAGCTTCTTGTCGTCGCCGACGCTGCCAATGACCTTCAGGCCCTCGTGCTTGGCCAATTGGCCCACGAGCTGTCCGACAGCACCACTGGCGGCCGAGATGAAGATGGTCTCGCCCTTCTTCGGCTGGCCAATCTCGTAAAACGACGACCACGCCGTCAGACCGGGCATGCCCAGTGCACCGAGGAAGTACTTGGGGTCGAGGTTGTGCGGGTTCTCGAGTTTCTCAACCTGCTTAGCCGCGGCCTGGTCGAAGAGGGAGTACTCCTCGATGGGTGTTACGCCGGCCGAGATGAGCACATCTCCCTTCTGGAACTTGCTGTTGTTTGACTTGACCACCTTGAAGATGGAACGGTTGGTGATGGGCTTCCCCAGCTCAAAGGGAGGCGAGTATGATTTGCTCTCTGGGTTTCGCATGCGTCCGCGCTGGTATGGGTCGAACGAGGCATAGAAGTTCTTGACAATCAGTCCGCCCTCGGGGATCTGCTGCTCGAGGTCGAACTCGCGAGCCTCGACGGCAAGGTGCTCTCCCTCGACTGGCCAGCCCTCGGGGACCTTCTTGAAGATGACGCCCTTGTTCTGAACCATGATGGATGTGTGTGTGTATGCTTTGTTGGTAGTAGGGGTAGTGTGGATGGAAGGTAGGAGTATAAGAGGTGTTTTTGTTTCTGTAGTTTGAATTGGCAGACTACGACATGGGACCGGCAGCTACGTATATATATACTCACCACCCTCTGCAGATTACAAATATGAAAAACCTCCGCCGAACCAAACTTGCGATTGCATCATACGGTGTGAGCTTTTTGCGGCCATTATGCGGCCAAACAACGGCGGGCGACGGACACGAGCAGAAAAGGGAGCAGAACGGACCAGAGCTCTTAGTGCGACTCGCCTTTTCTCTGCCAGCGACGGTGCATGTTGCGGAGGTGTGCTCAAAGCAGCGACTTCCACGAGCTGTCGAAACACGTAGAAGGGATGACGTTCCAGTCTGCCGGACGTCGCCAGGTTCAGGTCAAGTTCTCGCAAAGCCGAGCCGAGGGAAGTGGGGCAAGGTGGGGTCGAGGGACAGCTCAGAAAGGAACATTGTTGACAAAGCAGCTTGCTTGACTCAAAACACTCAACACCCATCGTAGCTACAGGCGGTGTGTGAGCTCGCCAGGCGTGGTAGGAGAGGTATGTACGTGTACTTCTACAACCACAACAGTGCCACCAGCATGAATTGCAGTAGACTTCAACAAGCTCCCAGAGAGTACATGTTATTCTAATCGCAAAGTCTAAAACACTATCATATATCAGTCTATTATTCCAAGACCATCCAAAGCTTTGCGCTCACCTCATGCCACCGCTTCGACAAATGAAGTACATCCTGCCCATCCCTCATGTTTCACGCGTCTCACATCAAGACGGCCTTGGCGGTGTCGTGTCCTACTCCTCATCGCTCACATCCAACTCCTCCTCCGGCTCCATCACCTTCTCAATCAACCTGAGCGTATGTCTCAACGGCAACCCAACAACATTATCATAACTCCCCTCAATCTTCTCGATAAGAATCGACCCAGCGGTTTGTATCCCATACCCACCCGCCTTATCATTCCCATCCCTCGTCCGTACGTATGCGAGAATAAGCCCATCAGTGACTACCCATCATTAGCGCCTCCCCAATGCCCCACACACAGTGCGCAACATACCAGTAGGATCAAACTTGACCGTTGTCTCCTCAACATGCGTCTCCATCCTGTACCCAGGATCTATCGCGCTTTCCAGCGGCTTCATGACCGCCACCGCAGTCATAACCTTGTGCTCTCCCTGATCCCTCAACAGTTTCAGCATAGCAATGTGGTCCGCCTCGCCGCGCGGCTTCTCCAGTATCCTCCCATCGTGGCTGACAATGATCGTGTCGGCGGCGATGATAAGCGCCGGTTCTCCGCGCTCCGTGTTGTCGATCTCGCGACGGTACACGTCCGATGCTTTCGCGGACGCGGTTTCGAGCACGTAGTTTAGCGCGCCCATGTCATGAGAGAGGTCTTCGGCGAACTTCGAGGGACAGATGTCGATGTTTGTGAGGCCGATCTGGAGAGAAGTTAGCGATTGATTGGACGTGCAGAGGCGAAAGGGTACGCGCCTGTGCGAGGAGCTGTTTCCGCCGTGGCGAGGCGGATGCGAGCACTATTCTCTTCCGCCTCAGCTCGTTCAGTGCTGGGAGGTTTAATGGCGGTGGCGGCCCTGGCGGTGGTCTCCTGCCTGTTGGCGTGCTTGATCCTGAGGACTTGTCTAGGAGAGGTACTTTTTGCGCATCGTCGTATGGCGGTGGGGGTTCAGTAGGTGCGCCCATGGTGGCGGAAAGACAGCAGTTGGAGATAAGGTGTAAATGGGTAGGTGGCGAGCCTTCCAGCAACAAAATGCGTCGAAAAGATTATGTAACGAGGGAATCTAATGGCTGACTCGGAACAATGCACTTAACAATTGAGGTAGATATTGGCCGTCAGGGTGTCCGATACATGCCTTGGCGAAAGGGGAAGGAAGGGCCCGAGCTCTACATGCGATTCGTCTTCCATTACCAGTACAAAGCTTCTTTCTTCACACTTGTGCAAGATGCGATGGAAAATCCTGCGTTTTACCTGGAGGCGTAAACATTGTGTGTACTTTGTTTACACCAGATTGAAATTGAACTGTGTGAAGGATATTGTAATGAGCATGATGACGTCATATCGACATGTCTCTCAGCCTCAACGGCATTACAAACCTCCTATTCGTGTTGATCAGGCAATAATTCTCCGTTCTCAGAATTACGAGACACTACCATGCAGCCTTATCCGCCATCAAATAAAGAAGAAAAAAGCCTAGCTGCTGACATTTTGCAGGCGGGGAAAAAGTCTCAAATACCAATCCGTGAAGATGTGTCTGCATCCATCTAACCCAATATGCAACCAAAAAGAGACTAGAGTGCCTCAACGCCGAACAGACGCCATGCCATGCAACGCAAAGAAAATGAAACAAAGGAAATCGCTAAAGGAAAGTAGTAGAAGTGCCAGTAGTTGGCATTACGGCTCGCAAAATACGACTGCGCGAAGGTTGAACAGGAACAGCAAGGTCGCCACATCGATAACAACTACTACCCCTCAACATTCTCACAACGCCTTCAAGGCATGCGCCACAAGGATTGGGACTAAGATTCCAGTGACCAGTATAACGTTAACAGCGATACCGGCGATGAGCGCAGCTCGGTGGGATTGCGGAGTGCAGTGGCCAAGATGACCTTTTGTGCACCACACCATGATCGAGTTTCCGTAAAACCGATGGAGGATGATGCAAGGAGGGAAGAGACAGAAAGCGGCGAATATAAACCACGACAACTGACGCCGGCGAGCCTCATCCTCAGGGTCACTCTTGCGTTCTGGACAGAGTAGATGTGGTGAGTGATGATGGGCGACAGCAGATTGAACCGTAGCATGAGTATCAACGCTAAAGCAAGGACGCAACGGCGTGTTGGTGTCGCTTGTTGACGGACGTTCAGTAGTCCTTGTAGCCAGGAAACGCGAGTGGTTGGAGTCTTGGCTAGAAAGTGTTGCCCTAGAATCGGGCGCAAGGAACATGTGTCGCAACTTCGTCTGTCCAGGGACGGCAGCACGGCTTGTTCGACGTGCACGCTGGAATTCGGTGGAGTTTCGCAAACTTTGTCGATGGCCCACTCCAGTAAGTGGAGAAGTTTCTTGAACCGACTGAGAGTTGTATGTATGGGGAGAAGTTGTTGTTCGTGATGGGGTTTGCTCATGGTCCGGTTCAGGGGCTGGCAGAGAAGTGCGAATCCGGGTAACGCTGCCCGTAGCTGGAAATGGAGATGCGTAGAAGCCATGATAATCGGAACGAACGCTTGAACGTCCAACACTTGAACTTAGCCTCGCACCAGGACTACTTGTATCTGCAATACTGCTACCTGTTTCATGCATACCGGTTCCTTTTGGAGTGCCTGTAAGATTGCCTTTTGGACCGACGACCGAGAACTTCTCGAACGAGTTCTCGCGGTCGTGCTTGGTGTTTCCATATCTGCTGTCTGGAGAGCTAGACATAAGTGCTTGATCGTGCAAATACGGGTTCATGAGGTGTTGTGACCGGCGCGATGCGTTGAGCTCGTCTTGTATGATTATGTCGTCATTGGGACCTGAAGCAAGCAACTCTTGAGTTTCCTTATCACTGAACGCATACGGATCCACCCATGGGGTAAATGCATACGGCTCTTCGACGGCACCTTTGCCCACTGTATTCGCAGATCGGGTGAGGGAACGAAACGCGGGTACTGTCGAGGATCCTGGAGGACTAGAACCCATCGGAGAAGTTGGAGCTTCAGGCGCAGTTCGGACTGCACTACGAGCCATTAGACTTGGTGGCGACGAACTGAATGGATGGGCATGCTCTGCTCGGAGAGGGCTTGGATGGCTGTAATGCGATGGTCCTCGCGAGTGACTTTGCTTAGCCCAAGATGGCGGAGAGCCATCTGAGTTTAAACTCAGGCTGTTGCGGGAACCCTCGCTACTACTGTAGTCCGCAATACTATCCAAAGATGTCCGTCCTCGCTGACTGGTCCCAGCAATGGTCTCCCAATCCGCTCTTTCTTCGGCGACGCTATTGCTAAACCCAGCACCCAATCCGGATTCTCGCTTGTCTCCAGGATGGTCGTTGCTATGTTTTCTATGTAACAGTAAATTGCCTGAGGTGCGCCTAGTCCACATCAACGGTATACCCTGCTCGTTCTGCTTGCGATCAGTGACCGCGTTCTGGAAGATTTGCTCGGCTTGATCAAGCGCTGCTTGTGGAGTCTGAGGGCTGGCTTCACCGTCCGCTTGAGAATATGACGACGACGGTTCAAGCGCTCTGGCCTCTGCCTGGGAATATGACGAAGATGGCTGAAGACCTTGGCGTGATACTTGTGGGACCTCCACATCTGATTGTGAAATTTGCAGCAAGTTGCGAGTATCCCCATACGATTTGAAGGATCCGTTCGAGAACATTTCAGAGAATTCTGGACGTGGAAGGACATAAGTCGGTGCATGGTGCTCTGGTGTTGGAGGAACCGGTGCTTGTGGGGGTAATCCCGGCTCTTGAGTGACCGTAGGCCTCGTTGCAGGCACAACGTGTACAGAACTGACAGTGCCATCTGAGTATTGATCTTGGACGTTGTGGCTCAGACCAAATTCATAATGGTTAACACCAGAGACAGACCTTATCGGCTGAGGTTGGTAGTCGGATGACACATCCTCGAACGCACCGGACCCCGACTTATCTGGGCCATATGCGTCTACAAAACGTTCTTTTGTAGACAAGGAATTGCTCGTTATGTCGCCTGGATCATACCGGTCGATAAATTTGCTGATAGTATCCGTCTTATCATCCGCCTGGACAACCGACCGATGAAACATCTCCTGCGCCAAAGGCCGAGATACACGACGACTGGTCCGCCGAGGGCTACTGTAACCGTATAGGCTATCACGATTGTATTCGTCTGCAAAACTGTTCGCGTCCGCACCACTGTAGTGTATGTAAGGATTGCTTTGTTGGTTGCTGTAAGAACTTTGCTGGTAGTTTGATCTTCGTCGGTCATCTCCAGTGTAGACGGACGAGCTTGCATAAATAGACGTCTCGTAATATGGTTTCGAATACAGATCTCCATCAGAGATAGAGGCACGCTGATCATCCATCCGCCCCATCTGAGTCGAAGGATTATCCGGAACCATTGACATCAGAGGCTCGGAATCGTAATACTGCGGTGAAAACCGTCGAGGGAATTCGATCTCGCCATCCTCGTCTGGAAGTACTCCCAAGTCTTGAAGAGATTCCGGACTAGTAGGACTAATTGGTGATGTCGGGCCTATGGGAAAATACGAGGCCTGCGGCGTGGTAACGTAGGTGTGGTTGAAGGCCCGATGGAAGTCGCCATCCACAGACGTTGATGCTATATCCACCCTCGGTTCAAAGTCTTGCAGTTCCTCCCCATTCTGCTTGTCAGAACTCCTACCCAGTTTCTTGGTGAGGGAACGTGTAAGTTGCTTGAGAGAGAATCGAGATTCATTTGGAACCTTCTTGACAGCCAACGCAGAAGGAGCAAAGTTTGACTCTGGGCTGTAGAGCGGAGAATATGACGACGAACCTGGGCTAACTGCCACAGGAACCGGAGGAAGTGGAAGGTCGAGGTTGGACGCGCCCAAGGAATCCTCGGTGCACTTTCTGATACTCGCATGTGCGGAATTGAGATCACGGTACAAAGCTCGTCTAGGTGCCATCTGTTCGCTAGTTAGTCAAAGTTCGGTTCAAATGATCGGAGATGTTACAACCTCTGGAGATAATGCAAGCGACTCGTCGGGCGATTGCACAAGCAGGAATTCGCTTGATTCAAAGTCTCTTGACGGAGTGACGATGTCGTGAAGCAGCAGTGATTCGCGGGGGTTGACAAGGTCGAAAGACGCACCGCGATAGTGAATCACGGCGGGGGTTGCGGGTGGTGTTGCTGGCGCAGTTGACGCGAAACTGAGTGCGTTCAGTCGTGTGGGTCCATTCTCCTCGGGCGGAGGAGAAAAAGAAGGGTCCTGCAAGTGTGGTGGGTGTGGAAATTTTGACAGTGAGAACGTCGAAGGCGTAGGTGTGGTGAGCGCGTCGCTAGAGTATGTATTCTCCTTTGAAAAGCTTGAAGTTGCCGGTAGCACCGAGCGTCGCGGTTGCGTCGTACACACAATTGCGAGAGGGGGAGGGTAAAGGTTAGAACCGCCCTTGGCTTCGAGCGGTCTCGGGAGCCTCTTCCTAGAACCAAAGTTATGTACTCTAAGTGGCAGGTTGGTGTTTAGTGTGCTTGGTATTCCGTAGCTCTGCGCACTCGGTTCAGCAGATTGTGACCGAAAAGCTTGGTCGAGCAGCACCTGCCGAGACGGTGCTGGGTGTGAGAACAGCTGCTGCGCCGATTGAGACGCCTGCAAGGGCCGTGAAGATGAAGGAGGCCCTGAACGTCTTGAATGTGTAACGGAAGGAGCGCGCTCAATTTCGTTCAAAGCGGGCGCGGCAGCCTTTCTCCGAAGAGTCTTTCCCGCTGGTGTCCCTGTCCGCGACTCGGGTGTGTTTTGCTGCTTGCGATATTCGTGCAAGGAGAGGGTATGGAGAGAAGCTCGAAGAGACACCGACGAGTGGACGGAATGGTGTGGGGAGTGGATTGGCGTGATGGGATCTGGCGAATACATTTGCGGTGAAGGCGAGTCGTTCCCCCGTGGTGAAGGCAAGTGGGGGAAATAAGCCGCCATATCTGTTCGATCCATAGCTCCAGTCTCTTTCACCGCTTGGAAGTAGTGTTGATTCGTCCTCCAAGGCCCTAATGCTCCCGTCTTGTTGATTATGCGACGGGCTTTGCCAGTCACAGACGTTTGCTGCTGTCAATCAGGTATCGCATGAGGTTGAGTGAGTGCTTCCAGCGCGTGCATTACATTATTCTCGCCATGGGTTCTGATGGGAAGACGTATGATTCAGGAACTGATGAACGTCTCTAGTGGCGTCTAAGCTGTGGTCGTATACCACACGGTGAGAACCGACCAGTAGCGATCTAGACGCAAACCTGTTTTGCTGGCATAGAACAGTATCCGAGATTAGTTCCCGAGGACGTCTTGTTTGGTTGAGCTGAGTTGCGACTGCTGTAGTCTAGGAACGAGCGGAGTATATGTGAGGCCGAGCAACTTGTAAAGACTTGTAGACGTAGAAGCAGGATTCGGCAGAGCGAAAGGAACGTGAAGATGTTACAATTAGAAGTGATAGAAGAGACAAAGATGCTACGACACCTAGCTCGCTGGAACTGGAAAGGAAGTGACGCTGCACGACGGCGGAAACGCGCCAGAGGAGGAAGGCACAGTGTGCTCGCTGGGTACACAGGAGATGAGCGTGACAACGGAGAACAACAGAAATACATTCTTAGAAGACGGCTACGCCCTGGCTCACGGGCTGGCCCCATCTCAGCAGCCCATACAATTCCATCGTCTTCACATTTGCTTCCACGGCTTATTACAGCTGCTAGGTTGCTGTGTTCGAGAAAAGAGCGATGCAGCTTCGTGTGTGGGTGTCGTTTTAAGGTGCCCCTGCTTAGCCCCGTTCGTGTTCGGCCAATCAGACATCACAAGCTGCCATAACGCTGACGGCTCCCTAACACAAGAGTGCACCGCGCTGAGGCGACTGAAAAGCCTCCGCCACTCATCAGACTCGCTAATATCCATCATCTCGTTTCGTTCCTGTCAACAGAGGCGGCGAAAGATGTGCGGATCCAATCGGCCATCACCGACCTATTGCCACTACTTTCATGACTGGGATTACGTGATAGTAGAGATGAAGTCTTACTCCAGCTGTCGTTGCTAGGGGAGCAAGAGCAGAGCCCAGCTCCGATGCTCCCTAGTTAAAATAGAAAACGAAAAAGAGCCATATCTTACAGCATACTGGTTCTTGCACACGATTGTCATGATCTGCGTTTGTGGATGGATGGATGAATGCATCGCGCGTCTTGAAACAGACGAGCTGATTTAGCGGGCCACGCCTCCAGACCTGCCTACTAAGTTCTCGAACGATGGGTCATTGCTTTAAGTCGAGGCCTTGACAGGTTAGACGTGACTGCTGAGACTAATAAATGCATTCCGCTGACAGGTACTACGATAATTCAATAGACAAAGTACCCTTGCGTCAGCGGTAAGTTTTCTGCCGGCTCTGCTGTGCACACCATCCCATCCGCTTCCACTGTATACCTCTCTGGATCGACCTTCATCTTCGGTCGCGTATCGTTAAACTTCATATCCCTTTTGCCGATCTTTCTGCAATTCTTGACAGCCTCAACCCTCTTCCGCAGACCATAGGACTTGACGACACCTGAAGAGACGGATGCTTGAGAGACAAATGTGATACTGGTTTGGGGCACGAGAGTGGCGAACATGGGTCGCATTATGATGGGTTCGACAGTGGGGATCGAAGCATTGGGGTCGCCCTGAGAGTGTTAGAATGCGTGTGCAACGTGTGTCAGGATGACGGGAAACGAACCATCTGAGCGTATGAGCACATTCCGCTCTTGATCACCAATTTTGGCTTGACACCAAAGTTCGCGGGTGTCCAAAGAACGAGATCTGCGAGTTTTCCAACTTCGACACTTCCAATGATATGGCTCATACCCTGGGCGATAGCGGGGTTCACGGTGTACTTGCTGATGTATCGCTTTACTCGGAAATTGTCTGCACCGGTGCCTTCGTCTTCCTTGAGTGTTCCGCGCTGGACCTTGTTTTTGTGTGCCGTGTTCCATGTTCGCAGAATCACTTCACCACATCTGCCCATGGCCTGAGAATCCGACGACATCATGGAGATAGCGCCGAGATCGTGTAGAACGTCTTCTGCTGCGATAGTCTCGGCGCGAATACGAGACTCGGCGAAAGCGACATCTTCGGGGATGTTTTTCGACAGATGGTGACACACCATCAGCATGTCAAGATGCTCATCCAGTGTGTTCCGGGTGTATGGTCTGGTCGGGTTTGTCGAAGAAGGAAGCACGTTGTCGTGCTCGACAACGCTGATGATATCTGGCGCATGGCCGCCGCCAGCTCCTTCAGTGTGGTACGTATGGATCGTCCTATTCTTGAACGCGCCGATGGTGGACTCGACAAAACCCGATTCGTTGAGAGTATCTGTGTGAATAAGCGTCTGGACGTCGTATTCGTCGCATACTGTCAGACAAGCGTCGATGGCTGCTGGAGTTGTTCCCCAATCTTCATGTAATTTCAGACCACAGACACCGGCCTCAACCTGTTCCCGGAGGGGAGGAAGTTCCGAGTCGTTTCCTTTACCAGTGATACCGTAGTTAAGAGGGAGCTGGTCAATGGCTTGGAGCATCTGTCTGATATGCGTCTTCCCGGGCGTACACGTCGTCGCGTTTGTGCCAGTGCTTGGTCCCGTACCACCACCGAGCATTGTCGTAATACCAGAAGCAATCGCTTCCTCTGCTTGTTGGGGGCAGATGAAATGAATATGGGTGTCAAATCCACCTGCTGTGATAATACTATGCTCTCCAGCAATCACATCCGTGTTCGATCCAACAACCAAGTTTGGGTCGACTCCATCCATGACATCTGGGTTGCCGGCCTTTCCGATACCGACGATAACCCCATCCTTGATTCCAATATCAGCTTTGAAGACCCCCGTCCAATCAACGATCAACGCATTTGTGATGACAGTGTCCAAGGATTCTGAGTCTGATCTGCCTCCCGCTTGGCCCATACCGTCTCTCAGGGTCTTTCCACCTCCAAACGCACACTCATCGCCGTACTTTGTCATATCTTTCTCTACTTTCACCCAAAGATCTGTAGATCCTAGCCTAACCAAGTCGCCAGTGGTGGGACCGAACATTGAAACGTATGTTTGTCGTTCCATGGTGCAGAAGTCGATGTGTGCGGCGTCGCTGGTCGGTTCGGGCTCGTGCAAGAAACCTCCCTCCTTCAATCTTCCTAAGATGCCCTTCGCAAGTGACGCGTCTTCGATCGAGCCCGACGCGATTCGATTTCCGCCCTTGATTACTTGATTGCCGGCAATCTGCACCATTGTGACGGTCTTGGTGTCGCCAGGTTCGAAACGTACGGAGGTACCGGCGGGGATGTCGAGTCGATAGCCATGGGCACGGATACGGTCGAACTGGAGCTGCGGGTTTGTTTCGATGAAGTGGTAGTGCGATCCAACCTGTACAACAATGTTAAGCCGCGTATATAACGGTATGCATGTACTGAGCGTACCTGAATTGGTCTGTCGCCCATGCTCTTGACTTTGAGTTTAATCCGCTTGCGCCCTTCATTAAGCTTGATAGTTCCTGCCTCTCCCTGTACGACTACTATCGCGCCAGGCTGTTTCGAAGCCTCGTATACGCTCGTCTCGGGCAGCGGGAACATGTCGTTCGAAGGGACAGGCAAGAATGATCCATACAGAGCCTTCTCGAGGTCGCCATCGTCAGAAGCGATCGGGTGGTGGACGGTTACGAGGTATGTGCCTGTCGGAAAAGTGCCTTCGACCATCAACTCGCCAAGCGATGAGACCACCGAGGGCTGGACATGGCGACGACCGAGCATGGTCGTGCCAATGGCCATGAGGTCTGCGACTGTGTGGTTTCCATCACGTATGAGCTGTATGCGTTCAGCATGGTCGTAACGGAAGCGCGTTTGGCTGGGGCCGGTACTTCTTGCAAGTTATTCGCGATCAGAGCCTATGGCTGTCAATAGAGCACTTTGCGCGTGAGTGCTATGCTTACAGTTGCCTCGGGATGGTTCAGCTTCACGCCCCTCGCTAGACGACGTTGTGCGAGTAGGCCAAGCTGAGAGATGACGAGCTTGTCGAGCTGTCGCGACTGGTTAGCGTTGGAAAACAACCAAATGCGTCAACACATACCTCCTTGGGACACAACTGCATCTTGTATCGATGTCAAGGTGAGTATGAAACACTACAGCCAAGACAGAAGCAATTGAAGTCGACTTCAAGCTTCCTCACGAGTCAACTTCGCGGCCCAGCTTACTTCGGACGACTCCGCTTTCCAGCCATGTGGTGGTGCACACTGCGGGGTTCGCGATAAGAAACGCCCGATAAGCAATGTAAGCCGCACCAAATCGACTCTATTCAGGTGCTGAAATCTTAAACAGTCCGACTTGCACGTTTTACATCTATCAAGGGATCAACCCGGCCTGAGTCCATTCTCGAACTACCGAATTGGGCCTAGAGGAGATGTTAAAGTTGTGCCAGCGCTCAACAACAGAAAGAGAAGACAGCTTCAGATCATGACACGAACAAACGAAGTATTTTGTGGGCAACACGTCCCAAGTTGAGATTAAAACGCGATGTCTTCCACGACATTATCTCTATGAGGACCTTTCACGACGGAGATAACCCATAACTAGGCATTTGATCGTAAGGATCACTTAAGCTCTCGTTATATACTGTAGAGACTGTACACAGCGAACAACAAGTGTGACCGGTTTCCATCAGTAAAAACTACAATACAACTTGACGATTTCCACCTCGACATCTGAGTCAGTTCAGTAAACCCTTCACCAGGCTCAACGTTTACAAGAACGATCCGTAACCTCCGCAAATCAATACGACCGCAAGGCCAAACAAGGGTAGGAAAAGGCCAGGCAGTAAGTTTGCCGCCGCAGATTTGGCGTCTAGACGTTCAAGGCAGTACGTGACCGTGTAACTCGAGTTTCCGCCGCCACAGACATTAGGTGCTGAATACGAATAATCATTCGTGTCACAGATCTTTTGATTCTGGTTGAGACTGTTGAGGGTATCTGGAGTGTAGATGGCGTTGCCGACGACGACAGCACCAGCACAGTCGAGCAATTCTTCGAAGAAGTCGCCAATGAAGCCGAGGAACGTGCCTAGGACATCCGCTGCTAGACCCAGTATCCCAGGGGCTTTTCCCGCAACTCCGGCTATACTTTCTAAGAATTCTTGAGAGATGTTAGCTTTCGTTCAGCTAGTAAACTTGATCTGCTTACGACTAGTTGTCTCTACTGCGCTAGCCGCATCATCGTCCGGGTTGTTCATAATGCCAATTGCCACAGACAAGTTAGATACACTAGCCGGCAGGACCTGGATTTCTTGAGTGAGGTTGGTCCACTTGATCGTCTGGTTCTGTACAACTGCAGTGAGCGGCCAAGTCTTGTTGTTAGTACTAGAACCCGTAGTGGATGCGATGGCTAGGATCAAATAGTCCTCGCCCCGACCGCGAGTCTCTCCAACGCTTATCTCTTGGATGCTGAAACTGAACAGGCCGGCAAAAGCCAAGTTGGCCAAGAGTAGGAAACTAAGCAACTGCAGTTGTAGATGGACGACAGGCATGATGAGCAAAGGATTTCCTAGGAGCAGAAAGATATGAATACAAAGTTAGGGCAAATTGTTTGAAGTTTATTTTGCTTTAGACGAGTTGTTCTGTTGTGTCATGAAGGAAGATGAACTGAGAGGCACACTTGACTTAAGTATCAAGAGAAGCAAGCGACGAGAAAGGTTGTATGGGATTATTGCGAAGACCTTACCACCTCCGTTCTGCAGGATACACAACTTCATGTGTAATAGAGAAGCAAGATAGCCACCAACTCGAACCTGCTTCCACCGTTTCCACCGTTCAATTGAGATCTGCGCATAGTTTACCCAATAATATTACTGTTTAATCCACAGTCTACCATGCCTTGAACAAGGGCAATGATAAAACTCTCAGCCCAGTCCGCCACAGAGCATCCTCCATAACACAATGAGGGGATTCAAGATGTCGACCGTGCAAAGGTTCTCCATGCAAAGGTTCTCCATACGCGAAACCTTCCCCAGAATAAACGTGCAGCCCCTAGCGCGCAAAGGTTCTTACGCGTAACGGCTGTGGAACAACATCGGCATGGCTATAGTTTTGCGCACGCAAATAACAATCTACAAGGCGACAGGCTGGGACAACATATCATTGCCTTCGCCTGCCCTAGTTTATAACACTGCTCAACCCATTGACAAGTGTAGGGAGCTGTAGCGAAACAACTTCACCAACAGCAAAGTTACGCTCAGTTGCAATGCCCGCAGCGAAGATGCCCTCTTAATTTGCTGTACTGTTAGAATGAGGATTCTGCATCTTCCCCGCTCGAACTGTTCGCGTTGATCTCGATCAATCTTCAGCCTTACTGCACGGCGCTCAATTGTAACGCAAATCTCATTGTGACAGTGGCTGCATACTACTCAACCGACCACGTAAGGCAGACTTCGGCAAGTGCAAACATTTCAAGCGTCAGGTCGCTTGCCGTAAATCTAACCTGGTCAAGGATACAAGCAGTACAGGTGCCGGACGTTCAAATCTACAAGCTTGAGGCCTTACATTACCTATACCACGATTGAAAGATTTTACAGGTGGAGGAAGTGTAAAAGTTTATAACGAAGACTCTCCGCTGAAGTTATATCAGACCAAACGTATAAGGCATCAACAACTCTATACTCAAGTTAAGAGAATACATCCTTTCATACCGCAGCTGAGCACGAGTTGAAGCTAGCCGGGCATCTCACTTCCTCGAAGACTCGAGCCGAGCCTAACGAACCGCCCCCAAACGCCAAACCTGGCTTTGCTACCGGTGTAAACAATGAACAGTACTTCGCAGATGCTCTCGATCAAGTACTGCTACAAAAATCCTCCCTATGCCAAGAGACTACTCCCAAAAGTTGGGTTATACCAATCAATCTCGTCCATGTGTCTATGTGGATGCTTCCAGCACAATGGACTCAAGATCGTGCTGAGCCTCCGACTCCATCTCGACAGTCAGCCTATCGATCCGCCGCGCCTCACTCATAGCAAGCCTACAATACTGTGCCGCGAGATCCAACTTCCCACTACGCCAACACCACCGCCAACGACGCTGCGCCATATTCCACCAATGCTGTACATTCTGTTCGGAGATCTGATACCCATCCAGCGCACACGCCCAGATCCTCACCTGCGCATCCACACTCTGCTCCCTCTGCAGATGGCGCAACACCACGGTCATCGGACATCTCGGTCCCAGGACCTCGAGCGCAGCATTAGCCATGAACTCTGCGAATTTGCGAAACACCAGCTCGCGCTCCGCACCCCATAGGATGGAGCTGATACAATACGTTATCCGCGATACCGACACCTCAGTGCCTTGGAGATCTTCTACCGTCCTTTGAGCCGCTTGTCCGAACGAGATGCGTGCGGCTGCGAACGCGTTGTTGCGCCAGAGCGACATGCCTTTTGAGAGTGCGCTGAATATCGCATCTGGGGAAGTTTGCCACCCTGTCAACCATTCGCGGCGCTCTCGTTCTATCAGTGCTTGCATGGCGCGGAGGAACACGTCGAAGCCGGCGAACTGGCCTGGGAGTGCTAGAGAGCGTGGCATGGACGACATCTCGGTCGCAGCATGGCGATAACCGCTTACTACAATGTGCCGCCTCGTCAAGCTCCGCAGATGATGGCTATCCAGCGCTCCAGACTTGACACGAGACTTTGCATATCGAACGAGCTTGTCGTGCCGGACGGGGACATGATCACTTGTGAAGGTTTCATTTTGGAGGATCCTCGCCAGAGCCTTTTCCTTCTCGTCGGATTTGACCTGTTTCGAGAGCCCCCATGCTTTGAGCCGCTTCTTGTACATTTGCTCACTAGGTGGACGCTTAGACAACTGATATCACTCAGCCCATGTTAGAACGATAACACTTACGTGGCGTAGAAGTTGTGTTCTGTGCCGATCTTCTGCATGGCGTCTCCAAGCGTCATGTCCAGGTCTATGTAGTAGTATTGGAGGCTTGATTGTATCTTCGCCCATGTCATGGGAGCGTGAGACCGTCGTCTCCTTTGGGCGACTATGCTCGAAGGCGGAGACGTCTCCGGGTTATCCATGTCTCACTGACCAATAGTGGTTGGTTGTGGTGGTATTTTTATCTTGTTACAATCAACAATCAGCAAGGATTTGGGGTTCAACAAGTTGTGACTAGTTTGACGTTGACCAAGGGTTTCTTGAGCTTCGGTTCTGGTGTTCTTGAGATGCCGCGCCATGGCGCCCTCCTATTGGCTGAAATCCTAGGGCAACAATGGACAAAGGGAAAGCCCGTGATTGAGTGTAGAAGCTGGAACCGAGTTGCTGACAACTACACCCAAGTTCAGTGTACAACTTGCGTGCCTCAATCCCTAGCAGTGTATGCCAGGTAAAAACTCTTGTAAACTTTGTTCTTGTTTGTTCAGGTTCTACAAGGAAACGCAGCTTACTTCCTGTCCTTGCACCCTACTGAGAAAGAGGAAGTTACTTACAATTACCAGTGGTAGCACGTACAATACTACGTTGGTTCATCTATTGTAAAATCGCATACGGCGAGCGAGCATCTTTTGTTACTGTTATCTTTGGAAGCACGATGGTACTGTTTGTTCATACTTATGTACGGATTACTTGAGGGAATCAGGACCAAAAGACAAGAATATACAATGTGATACTTAAGATGAGGAAGTATATCGAGACTTGAAATGTCTATACCCCAAAATCGCGTTGCATAGGATGCTAGTAGTGGTTGAGATTGCAGTCCCCAAACGGGCTCGGCTTGTTGTTCCGTCAATGTTGGAGGCGTGATGTTGCAAGGTAAAGGAAAACGGAGTGTGTGAAAGCATCTTTTGCAGGTTGTGGTTGAGCATTGTTGCCATGTGCAGAAGCAGTTGTTCGAAAATAAATGAAACGGCATGAAAGTGGGCACATATCTGTTGATGAGGGGATATTTGGATGCGAGAAGTTGAATTGGAAAGTCGACGTGAAGAGACGCAAAACCTCCAAAGGCGCATGGAGGAGCCAACTTCGGCCGTTGTACCCGGTGCAAGTACGAACTACTTGTTGAACTTCGAAGACTATGCGAGACTGTCACTTTGGTAGTTTGACGGATACGTGAACGTGAAAACCGTTAATTATTATGGTAGAGTAGAGTATGCATCACAGTGCAGGTCCGCAGTAAAGGTTGAGAGGGCAGGGAGGCGCCCACGAAAGGCAGGGTGAACAGGGAAGCAGGGCAGTCGCGTCCCTGTTTTGGCGGTGACTTTCGGCGGGTCTCAGGCGGTCGGGTCGCTCTTCCCTTACGGGGCTCAGGCGGTCGATGCGTCAGCTCCAACATGCACAAAGTTTCTGCTAGCAAAGTATGCAATCTTGTGCACTGTGGGCAACAATAACGTTGCCTTTAGCAGGAAACTGTAGCTTCAGTTCCATGTGAATAAAGTAAGGATGCAAAAAGCATGCGCAGGACGCGCGTGGAATAATAGCTCATTGCAGCTTGGGAACACGAAAAGTAAACATGCGGCGCCTTGGGGCACTTTGCAGGCTCTGGGGGCGCTGTTCAGCGTGTCCCGTTGCGTAGTGGGGGCACTTTGGCGATGGGGCAGCCCAAAAGTGTGGCAGGCTCGCGGCTGGCTCGTGGGCTCGGCGGGCGTTTGGCTGTCACAAATAGCCGGTTGTCCCCCAGCCTGCTGCCCAAGCTTGCCTGTCGCGTCTCAACCACGCCCGCCCTCCCACAACCTCACCTCACCACACTCCCAAGGACAACGCGTCCTTGCTTTCATCTCTCAGGTAAGTGCTCACCACGTGAAGTCTAAATCTAGTGTTTGTAGTACTAATTCGAGTAGTTCATATCATTTCGTGTCTCGTTCACGACGCGCCTACACCTACAATGGTCAAACGCGCCACAAAGAAAGACGCCGAAGATGGCGGCGCAGAGCTGATGGTCTCGATCGATCAGTATGTCAAGACCAGAGATCAGGTTCGTTTGCTTTCTGTTCTTCTGCAATGCGCCTGCCTCAACGACCGGGCTCATGTCGCGCGCTCTCTACAACCAACATCACCATCATTACTCTTCCATCCTATATTTTCTTGATCGCCTCATCTGCGCGACTCCGGAATGGTGCATTGGCCGAAGCATGTCCTTGCGCTGAGCCAATGCCGAGCCGGGTCGCATGACGAGACGCGTCCATGCCGACGTGTAGTCGAAACACGAAGCGCGCACATACAAAAATATGGCCTCTCTTTTGCGATCGCGAAGCTGACTCGTACTGCTAGGTTATCGTTTCTCTGACGAACCTACAAGCCGGCCTTGCTCACGTCCAAAATGGACTGAACGACTTGTTGCGCTCGTACATGCAACACACTGCGTCAGTCATCGCCGGCGAAGACGTCGACATCGAGAAGCTTCAGCTCCCTGCCAGCGTCACTGCGAGCGCAAATGCCGCCATTGAGGCTGCGAGCACTGCTGCCACTGGCGTAGCGCAGGCCGTCACCGCCGCCACTGCCGTTGAAGGAACTGCAGAGCCAGGCGCGACAAAGAAGCGCAAGCGCGAGAAGAAGGAAAAGAAAGAAAAGGATCCCAATGCGCCTAAGCGACCACTGACGGCTGCGTTCTTGTACCACCAACACGCACGCGCCGTCGTTCGCGCCGATCTCGAGGCCTCGCTAGCTCCAGGCGCAAAGCTCGAGCCGAATGCCGTCAACCTCGAGGTGAACAAGCGATGGAACGAGATGAGTGATGAGGCCAAGGAGGTTAGTATTCGTCAAGACACTGGAGCAGCAGAAGCTAACGTCGATACAGGAGTGGAGAGATTCCTACCGCAAGTCCATGGAAGAATACAAGGAGAAGATGATCGAATATGAAGCCAATGGTGGCGCCGCGGGAGCCGCTGCCAGGGTTGCTCAGGTCCACGAGGACGAGGAGGCATCTGACGAAGACATGGTTGACATCGAAGCTGACGCCGAAGCCGAAGTCGAGGCCGACCACGAAGCTGGCGCCGCAGACTCTGATGCATCGTCAGACGAGGACGAGATCCCAGCGAAGGCGCCCACCCCTCCTCCCCCCGCGAAGACTCCCCGCGCCAACAAGCGCCAGAAGACGACAGCCCAGGCCCCTGCAGTTAACGGCAACTCAGTACCCACCCACGTCGCACCCACCGCATCCGTCGCGTCGCCTGTCCCCCTCCCTCGCCAGAACCAAGTCGTCATCCCTGTCTCCAGCGCCGCCGAAGTACCCGCCGCGACGCCCGTGAAAGAGAAGAAGGAACGCAAGAAGAAGGAGAAGTCTGCCATCCCCCAACCCATCGCCCCAGCCCCTGCTTCCTCCCAGCACGAGCCCAGCCCCGAGGAACCCAGCAAGAAGAAGCCCAAGAGTAGCCGCAGCACGCGCGCCACCGAGGCCGCAGAAGACGCCCAGGATAAGGAGAACGTCGCCGCGCCAGAGAAGAAGAAGGAGAAGCGCGATCGCTCGAAGAGGAAGAGTGAGGTCACTGCCGCGTAGACCTTGATCTGAGAATTCGACAGAGCCTGGATTGGTTCATTTGTTCATTAGTCTTGGTACACTGGCTTGCGGACGCAGTTGGATCGCCCTACTGAAAGCGAATCATCGGATCGAGACGCAGAGGTGGTTTGCCACGTGCGTTTGTATGTCTTACCGCGCTTCCTTCCCAACTATTTACGGGCGTTTTCGCAAATGTTTTGTTTTGTGCTATGCGGATTTGGGGGAGAAGAAAAAAGGTTCTCAGGAGAGGGGAAGCGTGTGTTTACCCCCTTGGATGAGCTTCGCACTTCCTACGCGCAGCTTCGGTGGAGTGGTTGGTCGTTTTCTTCTTCATATGTATCTTGCTGTACATTACAATTGATTGGTTATCTGCGATGGGTTGGCCCTTGAGGTGCGTGATGGGATGTGATGTGCTCATGTGGAGGTGATTTCGAATAGGTGTGCCTTGGTAGGTTGGCATGTAAGAAGGTGGATGTTTGGATAGAGTGTGAGATATGGACACTGGTCACTGACTGGGGCGTGGGATCAAGTAGTGTAGCCCTGTATGTTCGTAAGTCCTTAAAATGCCATTTCGCAATATCCAAACGCCACGCAATGCAATTCAAGCAATGGCAAGAGATGAGAAAAAATAGACATCCAGATTCTTCTCAACCCAACCCAAATAGTCCATCTAAACCAAGTCAAGTCTCAACCTCCTCCATAGCATCCTCAAACGCATCCTCATCCTCATCCACAACCACCTCCCTCTTCTTCCTAACCGCCTCCGCCTCACCCTCAAGCGCCGTCCCCACCGCGCCATCCCTTGCACTCTCCGCCCCACGAATCCCCTGCATCATCTTCATCCCGTAGTCAACCCGCTGCTGCATGACCTCCTCAAGATACTCGAGCGTCAAGCGCGCACACTCCTCCTTCGCCTTCTTCTTGCCGAAGACATTGCGCACCTCGCCAATCGGGCCCTTGTGTTGGCCGCTGTGGCGGAACACACAAACCACGTTGTGGAAATCTTTGTGCGCGGGGTTCGGCGAGGCCGTGTAGATCCACTCTGGGGTTGGCAGGGAGAGGTCTGCGGCGAGTTGTGCGACGCGCTGGGCGTAGGAGGTTTGGCCTGAGGTTGTTGTTGAGAGGGGGATGGGGCCGGAGGTTTTGTTGTCGTTGGCGGGAGAGGAGGAGGATGGGGTTTTGCTGGGTATGATTTGTGGGGTGGTGGATTGCGCTTTTTTCTTCTTGATGCCGCCGACGTCTGTGAAGGATTCGGGCCAGAGCCCTTGGGCTTTGAAGTGGTCGACGGCGTGGCGGGCGGCTTCTTGTCGAGCGGCTTTCTTAGTGCTGTGCGTCGATTCTAGGGAGCCGAACTCGTCCGCGTGGGAGCTGAGGCTTAGGAGGCAGGCGAAGCGGGTGCCGACTGCGTAGTCGGTGTATGTTGGTTGGGGGGCAGATCTTGCGCGCTGGAATTCTATGTCACATCTATCAGTCTACACATCTCCGTCGCAAATGGTCAGTATCATAGGAGAAACATACCCAAGAGCTGTCCAACATAGTTTGGGCCCTGCTCCACTTTCTGTCCCTCCCCCAGCTGCGACACCGACGCCGTCACACCCGCCTTCCCCTTCTTAGCCTTCTCCGGCTTCGTGACTTTGCCCTCGTTCTCCAACGCCAAGATAAGCTCCAACGCACTCTTACTGATGGCCTCCTTAGCCTCCGGCTTACTGTTGAACATCCCTTCCTCTTTCAACCCGTTCTGCAGCTCCGCGACGTCCATACCAGGGAAGCTGACCTCGACTGTCCAGCCTAAATCGCTGCGTCCGGCGAATGTGAAGATGGGCTGCGGGATGCCCAACTTCTGGAACTTATCATGCAGTGCAACCATATGGTCCGAGGATCTCGCACCGACAGCAACAGGCTGGAGGGGAGTGTTGTTCTCGCTAGTCTTGGGTTTCTTCGTCGGCGGCATTTGTTTATTTGTCTCGCGAGCGGCCAACCGAGCTACATGTTCAGCTTCATTCGCCCTCATGTAGTCCTCGATACTGAACACGTCGTTGAGCTGTCCTGACATGGCGGTGGGCTGATCAATTTCCATCATGGTGTCAGCCTTGTCCTTCACGTTCTCGTCGAATCTGCTAAGTAAGTTGACAGCCGGACTTGAAGAAGAAGAATGAGGGGGAGATTGAGAAGAAGGCACTATCAGATATTTCCGCAAATCGTCTCCTGTCATACCCATGGTAAGGTCGAGAGCAGGCGCTTGCTTGCTGCTGAGGAGGTGGGGTAAGGCTGGCGGTTGTTTGGCGGGGCTTGCATGTGATTGCGCGACGACGCGTTTGTTTGGACGCGGCAAGCGACCCATGCGGTGACATCAGTCCATCGATCTACACTCACCATCCAACCGCCGTGAGAGAGTCTTAATCCATCTTCAATCGTTACCACGGACATCTCATACTCCGCAATGTTGAAACACAAACGTTCCATCTATTTCCGTCGTCGGCATGCAAGGAGCGCCCTTCCCCTCCATCCTGCACGCACACAGCCCAGCGGTTCCCCGCTGACGCAATCCCGCATCTGACCGCTTGACAGGCGGCTAAATAAAGTTTCCGTTTGCGGGTTCCGTCGTGATGCGCAGAGCAAAGCAAGGATGTGGTGGTGTTTCAGAAATTATGAGACGCGGTGAGGATGGAAAGAACGAGCGTGACCTGATCTGGATTCTGGTAGATGATCTTGGCGCTATTTTTTCCGATTGTGGAAGGACAGCGGTTGCGAGAAGAATGCTAGGTAACCGCCACATAATTTTATTACTATGAAAATCTCTGACTATCTAATTCATATTCCAACGTTCATGTCATGATACATGTCTAATCCTACACTTCATATCCCATCATAAACCATCAAGCCCATGAACAACAAAGCAAATCATGAAACCATTAACCGTCAAACTCGCATACACCGTCTCGACATCCATCTCCAGTCCCTTTCCATCCCGCGATACCTCTTAAAACGGACTCGCCAAGTTCCAAAGCCCAGAATCCACATCCACATGTCCACCCATCCCCTCATCGTGATACACCCCATCCCCACGCACCACCTGTCCATACACTTGCGGCAAAAAATCCATCTGAAGCCAAGGAGCCTTCACAGGGTAGCACGCCGAATCCGGTGTATCCGGCACGCTGCCATGTATCAACCCCGTATCAACACTGCATGCCATGCCCAGCCCAGGAAACCTGTCTTGTTCGAATCCCTGCCCAGCGAGCGCATGCGAGCCAAAACTGTCGTATGATGCCATGTTTATGACCGGTTCGAAGGCCTCAGGCCCTGAAATGGCCATGTGGCGAGCACTAAAGTCGTATATTTCTGAAGGAAAGGAGTGGTCTGTTGCGGTGCTGGGGGCGAGGGATGGGTGCGAGTAGTCGGTTGCGGTACTTGGTGCGGCGGAGGCGTTGGGGTCGAAGTCTGGTACGCACATCGATGCGAGAGTGTTGAGAGATAGCTGCGGGGGGTGGGGGTGCTGAACAGGGTAGGCGTAGTGGGTGGGGAAGTCTAGGGGGAGTTGTTGGTAGAGTACAGGTGTAGAAGTTGGGTCGAGGTCTTCGTGGTGGCTGACAATTGTCTGAGGTTCCTCTTCCCATTTTCGCTCAGCAGGCGTGAAGGTCACGGCTCGCCACTTCACACTGCCCACTTCGGTGGTATCTGAGGTCTGTCTGAAGTGCCAGAGTATGGTCAAAATCCGCTCGACTTTTCCAGAGCTTTGCTGGATGCCATAGACATTCTGCGTAGCAGTGAGTTGCATCAATGAGCTATCAACTTCGCTTTCGCTCATCGCCTGGTACTGGCTCATACGGTCGACCCAGAACGCGGAGCCGAAGGCGAGTTGTAAGCTGCCACTCTCGGGGTCGAATTCGCAACATGTGTTTTGCTTGCTCAAGCCGTTGTCAGGCGTTGTGTCCATGTCATCGTAAAACCGTGTAGAGCACTGCAGCGCCTTAAATCCGGATAGATCACACTGAGAGTGCAGGTCGAAAGTGATGGAGAGTTGTGCGTTTGCTCGATTCTCCACCACTGTGTTGAGACTCGCATCACACACCAGAATCTTCTCATCCTGTCTCGCCCACTCCTGTATTTGCGGGCTCAGAAAGTCGAACTCGGGGTATTGTATTTGCCAGGCCGCCGAATCTGCAATCTCCAGATCTGGCAATCGTCCACTGGGATGTAGCTCTGAGATGGTACACACGGTGTGTTCTCCATCCTCAACAACCATGGCGAAATGCGTAATGGAAAACTTGTTTGGACTGGGAGCCAGGTTCAAGGATGGCGCGTAAGGCCAAGTCGCAACGTTTGCGCTGTAATTAGAAGCGGGAGCACCACGTTGCGGCTGCGCATGGCAGTGGGTCAAGTGATATGCGCTCGAGGATTCGTTCCCGCGATGGCGTCTTCTCTCGTTGCCCAATGTAGCCATGTGAATAAGCACTATCAAAAATCGTCAGTCTGGTTCGAGGAAGCCCTGGCGTAACCCTTGCACAGTAAACCACCAAACCACACCAATCGAGCAAGAATGGGTCGTCTACCTCCGGATACTGCACTTTACACTCCGCATGATGCAAAAAGAGAAACTGAAGTGGGAGAGTGTACTCACCGCCAGGTTGATCCCTCAGAAGCTGCTTGAGCACTTGAATATGGCTAGAAACTTGCTTTCGGTCCCTCTTGATGCCTGTGTCTCTGGCGATGAAGTCTTGAACCAGTTCGTTGCGGCCTCGTAGTGCGCCGTTGAGCATGTACTTCTTGCGGCCCATCGGTGGCCATTTGACGAGTGCTGTTTCTATGTTAGCCCAGAACCCAGGTCCAATACATGCCGCATCACAACATCCATTGTCGAAGTGAAGATGATGTGAAGAGTATGCAAGATTTCACTCACCTCTCCAAAACGCCCTCTCCAAAAACTCAGGCCAAACAACCTTCTCCTTCTCCCTCTCTTCCTTTCCTCTTGCCCTCTCCTCATCCTCCTTAGCGATCAACTCTTTTGGCGTCATAACGGGCTGTTTCTCGCGATACTTTTGGTACTTGTCCGACCGTGCGAGCATCTTGTAGAGTCTTTTCAAGTCATGCTCAATCTGCTTCTCTGACCTCTCAACGCTGAAGCCAGCCAAAGCAACATGGCTGGCATGAGTGTTGCCCGTGGAGCAGTTTCCACCAAAACCAACCCGTGGTGAGAACACATTCTCTATTGGAATAGGACTGTGTTGTGGCTTTGATGATATGATTGTAGTGATGTTGCACTCTTGAGGCCAGTTAGCAGACCGTTCTTGAAGAACGACTCGCTGTGACGAACACCTCTCGAGCGGTGTACCTGCATACGCAGGGTCTGAAGTTGGACTTTGGGCGGGTAGAAGTTGTTGGAGCTCCATAGCAGGCACTGGTATGTGGCAGACTTGGATGGGAATGGAGCACAAAGATCCAAGAGTGCAGGCGGCGCAGATTCAGGTAAACAGAAAGAATGTCTGGGCAGTTGGTGCAACGAGTGACTATAGCAAGAGATGGGGATATATCAATGAATATGTAGGAAGTTCAAGATATGTACACCTTGAATGACGATACAAGATATGGTCGAGACGACCTACCCCAGGCAGGAGGACTGCTTGGCAGACAGATCGGATTCGTCGTCCTCCAAGGGGAGACCGAACGATGGGTACACTAGGGTACCGACATATTGGACGTGGACGAGTAATGGTACGCAGGGTAGCATTTATTTTACCATGATACTAGAATAGCACACTACGTACAGACATTGCTATCACTTCCACATGGCCGTTGCACATGTCTACCCAGTAGGAATTTCCATCCTCATCCCATCTTTCGCTGGAGTGGTGAAGATGGTCTGGTTAGCAGAGGAGCAAAGGTTTACGGGCAACTACCGATTCAAAGATCACCATCTGATTGGATGTGTACGAAAAAGTCCGAAACAAATGCTCTGAGCAAGCAAGAATGTTAGTGGTTGTGCATAGCAGATTACGTGAGTCGAGCCTGTATGATCGCCAAACGTCTCGTATGTGGCTGGCTCGATCCCGTTGTTTTAGAATTATCTGAAACGCGGTGTGGTGGCCATGCCCATTGATGCAAACCTTCTTGCATGCAGTCTGTCGCGGCTCAAAGAACGGTGACCTAGATATAGCATCCATCTGCAAGCTGGTCATAGCGCTGCCGTTCTCGGCATACCGCGGAATCTCTGCGAAGGGCGGCCTCTCGCTTCCTTAGTCAGAGAAGCAAGGGATGGCGTCAAGGACGACACAGCCTGGCAGTGTCACATCCACTTCGATATTTATACTTCTACCGGAACACGCTCGCGCTCGCGCTCATTCATCTAGGTCATCGGTGCCTGCGACGTTAAACTTCTTGCGTCCACCTGATGTGAGACGTTGGAGGGCAACCTTGTTGGCCTGTGCGCCCACCTTCTGCTGCATCTTTTCAAGCTCCTTCTCAGGATCGTCAGACTCAGTCTCTGCGAACGCGAGAACAAGACGACGACCCAACAGATGAGTGTTCTTCAAAGCGTTCATGGCGTTGACAGCGTCACGTTTCGTTGTGAACTCCGCGAAACCGAAACCACGCGAAGACGAATCGAACTTCTTGGGTACTCTGACGGATCGAAGCTGGCCATATGGAGTAAACAGAGCCCGTACGTCCTTTTTCTATAGTATTGATTAGTACGCGCAAGAAAGGAGTGATGGAAAAGACGTACCCCAGCTTCGAACGGCAAGTTCTTGATGATGATCTTCGTACTTGCCGCCTTCTTTGCAGCGTCCTCTTTGCGACGCTCTTCGGCTGCATCAGCGCCCTTGTGAGAGCCTTTGATCTGTAGCTTGTGACCTTCGAGGTCGTATCCATCCATAGTCCGCAAAGCAGCTGATGCCGTTTCAGGGCTATTGAATTCGACAAAGCCAAAGCCCATAGATAGCACGCCGCGTTTCGGGTCAACCTTTGTCTTCACCTTGGCGCTCCGGAAGCCAGACAGAGGTTTGAATGTCTCGGCGAGACGTTCCGTAGTGGTTGAGAAATTGAGGTTGCGAACGAACAAAGTGGCCGTATTTGCTGCCTCGGGCTCTGGAGCATCTTCAAGTAGGTCTGTCGCAGAGAGTTTTGCTCCGGGCTTATCCGACGCTGCAACCTGGGGCAAGGCTGAGACGGCACCTGCCTTGAATAGATCTTTGGGAGCCTTTTCAAGGTATAGGATCGAGTCTTTCATCTTCCGGTACGACAAGGACATGAAAGCAGTCTTCGCTTCTGCGGCATTGGAGAATTCGACGATGGCAGTCATACCAGTTGGAGGCATCAAAAATCTAGAAACCTTGCCGTGCTCCTCGAAAGTTTTCCGCAATTCGTCTGGGGTCACACTGTGTGGAACATTCTTAACAAGGATAGCGAGGTCACCCTTGGCGCTTTTCTGAAATGCTTCTAGGTCGACACCTTGCTGCGCGAAGTACGACTTTGTCTCTTGGATAATGTGGGTCTCAGCATGAGCCTGCTTAACCGCTGCATCTGATGATGTAGGGTCGAGCAACTCAGCCTTGCTGATACCCATGCGACTTGCGACTGTGGACATGACTGCATCGGCCTGAGAAGGTGGTTAGTGTGAGTCGTACCAAACAGAGGATAAACGTACATTGAGATACAGCGAGTTCCAGTTGAATGTAGCCTTCGTGGCTTCTTGCTTTCGTCGAACCTCCCTCTGTTTCTTTAGCGGGAGTTTCGCAATCTCAAACTCGTCAAGCGCGGTATCTTTCTTGGCTTTGGCTGAGATGATGTGGAGAAGACGGCCTTGGAAGATGGTCATGTCATTCTCGATGAAAGCTTGGACGGCATGTTCTGGATCTTTGAATTGAACGAAGGCAAAGCCTTTCCCCTTGCCGTCGCTCTTCTTCAAAGATACATGCACCTGTCATAGTTAGCACGGTTCTGTCTACCAGTATTTACTATGAAGTAAGGATTTCGCTAGTGTCAGATAAGAGAAACATCTACTAAAATATTCTCCAAGTCAACCTCATATGCAAAGCATCAGTTGTCCCTATCTTGATATTCATCATGTAGCGAGTGAAGTAATGAAAAGTGTTATGTGCTTACCTCCTCAAGCGACCCGTACTTCGAGAAGTGCGTTCGAAGTTCGTCTTCGGTGACATCGAAGTGCAAATTCCGCAGGTAGAGACGGCCAGTTTCTCGGATCTTGTCTTCTTCTGACGGTACAATACTATCGACTTGCATCTCTACTGGTGACGCAGCTTTTTGTTGCTCTGCCACTGGTTCTGGAGAGCTGCGTTCGTCGACTTGTTGCGCTGGAGCTGAAGCTGATGTGGCAACTGTTTGCATCTCATCATCCTCGACCAAATCCAGGACTCGGTTGGTTCTCGACCGCAGCCAATCGTCGTCGGTAACAGGTCTTTGCTCGGCTGCAGATGCATTCTGAACGTCTTCCATTGCATCGCCTGTGTCTGCACCTTCACCTTCGTCCTTCTGCACCGGAGTGGCTTCAGGTATGGGCTGCTTGGCCACCGGGCTATCCTTGGACTCCTGGACAGTCTTGGCCTTCTTCGCGATGACCTGGTAGTCGTCGTCGCTCTCATCTCCTGGAACGACCACTTCCTGCACCACTTCCCCTGTGGGAACAGGCGCGCTACCAAGAGACGCGTCCTCGTTAGCCCACAGGTTAGTCTTGGAGGGCGGCACATAGGCTTCCAGGAACTCCTTCAGTTTCGGGTCCTGTTCGGCCTCTTCTCGTTTGCGCTTGAGAGCGTGTTCTTCTCGCAGCGGAACGTACTCTTCGATCTTAGGTGCGATCCTCTCAGCTCTCTGCTGCCATCGCGGCGTCGGGAGTTCTTTGTCAGATATCTGCGCCACGTTAACCCCGCTATGCACAGTCGTTGACGCAGTGCAGAACATACAGGTCGCGCAATCTCCGCATAGATCTTGGTCAGTTTGATGAAGGTCTTGTTAAAGTACTTGACTGCCTTCGCGGCGTCTTCAGGTGTCTTGTAGCCCACATAGCCTATGCGGCGGTGCGGGAAGAACTTGACATCTGTGACCGGGAACTTGGCGAAGTGCTTCCGAACATCGTCTTCTGTGAACTTGGGTGGCAGTCCGCGCACAAATATACGTGACGACTCCATTGCTGTTTTGATGTGATGATGGTTGAGCTGTGTCCTGCTCGAAGTGTGGTGGCTGGAAAGAAAGAAGCGTGGTGATGTCGAGAAAAGTCGGAAGTTCAAAAATTTCGAACGGCAAAGTTCCGCGCTAGCGTTGCGCTTGCCATTGGACCATTTGGTGGCACCTGCGTTTCTCCAGGCCCGGCGATTCCTCAAACACCCACCCTGCTGCAAAGACAAAGCTTCACAAGCTCCCACGCTATAAAACCGCGCCTGCAACACGTCAGCTATTCACTACCGTACCACCAAGGACAGCCCAAGTTATCATCATGGCGAGCGAGAAGTCAGACAACAAGCAGGAAGGTCAGACTGGCTCTATTAATGTCTGTACATCAGTCTGAAGCATAAACTAACATCATTTGCAGCTCAGATCAAGTCGGCGGACATGGTATGAATCACATGTATCTTATGCCAGGTATTTTCTCATCATTCATAGAGCGAAGAGATGCAAAATGAGGCTATCGAAGTCGGTTAGTTTTCCTGATTTCTGATGCGGCTGACGAAATACTGACAACTTGTTAGCACAGCAGGCTTTGGACCAGTTCACGATTGAGAAGGTGAGCCAGTAACATGCAAAATCTCGCATGTGGGATGTGCTTTCCAGGAACCATGCTAACATTGACATCAAGGACATTGCCCAGTTTATCAAGAAGGAGGTGAGACAGTATCCATTCTTAAAGGTGGACCACGTTGACGTCTGTAAAGTTCGACAGCCGGAAGGGTGCCACATGGCACTGCATCGTAGGCAGGAACTTTGGAAGCTTCGTCACTCACGGTAAAATTCACTCCTCACCATCTAACTGAATAGTCTAACATGGCGCAGAGACAAAGCACTTCATCTATTTCTACCTCGGACACTGCGCCATCCTGCTCTTCAAGACGCAGTAAGCCATGCAAATGGATCAACGTACCCTCGGAGCTGTGGATTCTCTGCTTGGCTCTCTCCTCTAACTCCTGGACTCTCCGGATCGCGGTCTCAGCTCGAAACAGATTCTAGGACGATTCAACTTTCGCCCCATCACCTTTCCTTGGTCGGATTCTTTCCTTTCCTCGTCAATGGACTTCCAGACTGTTCATTCTGGAGTTGAGGGTATGGCGGCGCTTCTCAGGACGGCATGATGATGAGGATATGAAGTCTCAATTGCAATGAAGCCATGAGTCTCCTTTGTAAACGCAAGTTATGGAGGCTGGTTGAAGATATAATAAAGCGTGTATGCTTGCTTTTAGCCTTGGACTTTTGCTCGAACCTTGTTGCACGTGTCAAATTATCGTACTACAGCACAGCGTCGTAACAGTAGTGCCACGAATCATTCCGCTTAGCCGGCATACAGAAATCTCCGCGCGTAGGCGTCTTGGCCCCCAAGGCCAAGTGTGGCTGAGCCGAAAGGCAATGACGAACACAACAGCATAGACGCGACCACGACACCTCCGCCTACAATTTAACCTCAATACCCGTCTTCCATCCTTCCTGATCACCTCGCGACTCCGTCACAACAGCAATAAATCAACGCGACCAACGCACTCCCATCAACTGATCGACGACTACTCCACACCACCTCCGCATCACCTCCGCCTCCTACAGCAACCAGCGCCACAGTCGCGCCCACAATCCACAACCCACAACCATGTTCTTCTTCTTCACCTGCGGAACACACAGTACGCGCTCCCTCCCCTCCAAACCCCTCACCCACAGCTAACTCTTCACTCAGCCTTCAACTCAGCCGTCAAAGGCGCAGAGCACATAACCGTACAATGTCAAAACTGCGGAAACTTCAGCGGCCGCGTAACGAAGCGCTGGTACGTCCCCCATCCCCCTCCCACACACCCTCACTACATCCCCCAAACCAACAACCCACCCCCAGGGAATGGTTCACATTCTGCTTCATCCCCATCCTGCCCTTCAGCCTGAAGCCGCACCAGGAAGTCGGCTGCCACATCTGCAATTTCTGGCAGGACGTCAAGTATCGGCCGGACGTGCAGCAGCAGATGACGGGGCATGCGGCGGGTCACGCGGAGCAGCAACAGCCTGCTGTTATGATGCATGGTGGGCAGGGAGGGGGACATCCGACGCCGGCGGGTGTGCCGCAGTATAAGTGAGAGGCGTTTGGTCTGGCTGAGGTATCAGGACATGCAGAAGAGGGTCTGGCGTGGACGCGACGTCACCGATGAGCGGTGAAGGGGTGTTTGGTTCTCCTTTGTCTACTCCAGAGGGCGTGTTTGGGGGGTCAGTTTTGCGACGGCGTTTTGGGGAACCTTATTAGATACCACACGGCATTTCATTTGTTTTTTGTCCTTATCCTTTCCTACTCGACACCTTGGTGTATCCATTATCGTGTCACACCAAACAAAATGTGTGAAACAGTATTATTTATTAAGCTACTTGTGCAAGAAAAGAAACACCCTCAACCTCCCATCCAATAGACCCCTATCCACAAGTCAATGCCCAACAAGAAATACAATAACCACTACTCCAGAAAAAGAGCTACAAGCAATCCCAACCCCATTGACAACACCAAGTACACCCACACCATCTCAACCAGTCAACCAACCCAATCCATCAATCACCTCTCAACCGCGGCACAACCCTCTGCTCCTCCAGCTCCTCCAACCCCATCTGCCTAGCCTTCTCCTTCTTAGTCAACGGGCTACGATCCCGCTCCGCCCCAAACGTACCCTGCCTCTTCCTCTTCACGGGCTCAAACTCCCCCGCCGCGGGATTCAACATGGTACTTCCACTCAGCTCAGAATGCGCCGTCGATCCGGCCATTGCCTGCGCAAGCTCCGGTCCCATGCCCGGCGTGTCAATATCGTCGTCGAAGGCAGCGAGCTCCTCGCCCAAGGCGCTGAAAAGCTGGCGCTCGAGACGCCCGGTGCTGTCTATGCTCGACATACCGGACTTGTGGCTGGGTTTGAACGGGGAGAGTTTCGAGGGGTCGTGCGGGCCGTCGTTGGTACTCAGATTGGGGTCGATGGCGTCGACGTCGATGATTTCCACGTATTTCGACGAGTTGAGTCCGGGGGTGTTGTGTACGCCTTTGCCGGTCTTCTTCTGCGTTAGGCCGGGGTCGATGCTGATAGCTGGAAGCAGGCTCTGGTCGTGGCGAATACCTTGGTCTGGCAGGTTGGGCGAGTCGTATCCCTGACCTTCTTTCCTGCTTTTTACGTTGCCACTGACTGAGGGTGCATGGGCTGGGCCAAGCTTATCTAAGTGCGATGGTGGAAGTGCTCCACTTCGCTCGAATCGAGTGAGACTGGAGAATACTGAGGATGGATCTCGCATCTCGATGTCTGAATCCCAAGTCGGCATCCCACAGACGAAGGGGTTCGGGGTTGGGACACGGTTGGCAACGGCAAAAGGTGTTGGTAAACGTGACTGAGAGGGAGGGCGATTCTCCTTGTTGCTGGAGAACGAGGGGTGATACATCGATGGTGGTTTGTTCTTGTGTGGCTCCCCAGACGTCGTTTTGTCTGGCGATAGCTTGCTCGAGACATTCCGCAAGCTGTTGTTGAACTCAGCACGAGATAACGTACGTGCAAGTGCGGCAGAAGAGGGACGGCTGCCGAGAGGAACATTTCCCATCTTTGGCGGATAGTAAGTGTGGGCGGGTGGTGGGTGGGCATCGTGGTTGTGACGTTGGTCTCCAAAGTCGTGTGGCGGTCCCTCTCGGTTCGTTTTGGAGGGACTGATGGCCTCGATGATTTGCCCAAGCTGATCGTCTCGAAGCGTCACCACGACATCCCTATCTTTCCTTTGCTTTCTTGACAGATGATCATCCCATCCTGGATTGACACTTTGATCGTACTGCATATGGCGTCCCCAAGGTGGACCATATTCTGGCGGATACATCGGTGCGAACATGTAGTCACTCATCGCCATGTCTCCTCCAGTCATAGAATTGCTCCGCCTCGTTGACCAAGTATCCATACTGATATCATCAGCACTGTCGCCGAATGATCCAAACGAATCGTCCCATATACCGGCATGGCCGCTTCCTCTTGCGCCCGTTGGCGGCTTGGGAAATTGCGAGAATGGTGGTGGTTGGGTATTAGGTCTCTGGAGTGGCTCATTGTTCCTGGACCTCGGGAATTTTGACCTAGGCTGATGTGAAAGTGGTGACTGCATCCGCGACTCTGGTGCTGTAGTACGTGTCTTCGTGACCCGTGGCAAAGACGGCAGTGCCTGCGATGATATATCGACTCTATCACTCGTAGGAAGAAGGAACAGTGGGTTGTGTATCGGCCATGAGATGCCGGCTTGCTCAAGTACTTCTATTTTTGGTCAATATTTGTCATTGGATAAATCAGCCTGTTGCTGCACTTACCCTTTGGAGCATGTTGGAACGAGAAGCAGACAATCTCATTAGAGGCACCAAAATCCAACTCTCCAGGACTGTGCGGCGTCTTGCTGATCAACTGTTCGGAAAGAATGACTTTGATCCTGCCATTGGCATCGCGCGCGTCCCATGAATTTTGCATAAGAATCTTCTGATGGAAGGGTGGGAACTCGAGAGATGCCTTCCGTTGGCTGGTAATCTGTTCAACGGCAGTGATGGATCGTTTCTCGTGTGCTGCGACAACATCAGCGTTTTCACTACAGTAACAAAATTAACATGACGACATACCAATATCTTGTGGCCACTTGGAAGCTATTTCGTAGAAATCATGGCTATACTTCATCAGCATCCAGCCCATTGAGGTTGTTCAGCAATGCTTTGCTCACAAAAGTCTTGCCCCATCCACAATGACCTGAACCGTATACACTACTTTCTGATTGTTTTTTCTCCGAGCCTCGATGATGGGCGAAGGCTTCGCTTGTGGGGCCCACGAGTGGATAGAGATGCGAAACGGAGTCGATGGAGGAAGGGCGCCAATGTAGCAGGTCAAGGTAGGGAGCTGACGACCAACTGCAGGTGAGTGAGCATTGACCAATCCCATTTGAGCAATGGGTGATGGACGAATAAGTCATTGGAGGTTCAGAACTTACGTTCGTCCGGCGAGACATAGCAAGCCGTCTTGAACTCCTGAATCGGAATTGGAGAGTCTCTAGGGAAGAGGATGACATCCCAATTATCGTAACGCATGGCAGGCGTGACGTCGCTGTTGTAATGAATCTACCAAGAGGCCAACTACCAGTAGATGGGTCAACAGACGGTGGTGTGTCGAGAAGAATGGAAGGCCTGTTAGTCGAGGAGAGAGCCCACTTACAGAGGGACTTCCCACATTGTCATGAAGAAGGCACGAGCAGGAAGTCCGCGGCGCGTCATCGTCATGGTAAAGATCGAAACCTTGGGACTGTGATATGGTTTATCAGAGCGCAAAGTTACCTACTCACAATTGTCTAGGAGTAATAGCGTGCTGGGCTCGCTATTGTAGCATTGAATGCAAGTCTTTCGTATATTCGATCATCAAGAAAAACAACCAACAATCTCGAACTTTTAGTATCCATTTCATGTCTAGGCAAATCTCGGTCTACCAACTTTTGCCCATAGCAGGACATCAATCAGGTCCAAGTACCTGAACAAGAATCGACGAAATCAGATCCATATCTCCAAACATAACCCATAGACAGCCTCCGCACTCACCTGCAAGGAGGTGCCAGAGAAGTATTGCAATACTCACACACCGTAAAACACCGAACACCTTTTGGACCCAATCACGCATAAGAAGGGTATTCCTCCACATCCGCCAGACGCCATGCTAAAGGGTAAGGTATCGAGCCTCTCGAAACGCCTTTTCTTATCCCGAAGTGTACTAACTTTTCCCATGACTCCGCGCCGCATTAACCTTGGAAGTAGACCAGACGATTAGAATTAGAAGTTATTTAACGCAGTAGTAATATGAAGGCGAAACGGAAGCGCGCAGCGATTACTGTGGGAATTGAGAGCCGAAAGCACTCTCCTGGAAAGGGCGGTTCGATCCGGAGCCCGACGCAGGGCCGTTTCCGGGGTATGGGACGCTCGGAGAGTAGGTACTAAGAAGAAGATGGTCAGCATATTCTACTAAGTAAAACGGCTCTGCGGAACAATGTATCAACGAAAGTTGCAGGTACAAACTCGCACCAAAACAAGAGCGAATAATCACACCAAGCAGAACAAAAACGAGGTTAGACAATCAAGCAAAGCACAGAAGACGCAAACAAGCAAGCAAGCAAGCACAAACTAGAATAAAACCATGGGATTGGAAAGATAGGCCAATCTCAGATCGCAGTAGCCGAAATAGCGCACATCTTGCAAAGGGAAGAGACAGCGTCAGACGCAGGCACGGCTAGCTACGCTCCTCGATGCCCCTTGATGGGGATAGGAGTCAGATCTGAAAGAAAGTCCGCGGGCAGAAACATGACCTGTTATACAAAGACTCCCTTCTAAGGCCCTCCAGCAAAATGGTGTCGTCATATCGAACTCGATAACTTTTGGAGAACCGCCCAGGTATAGAAAGGAACCAAACCGCTCGAGATTCGTTATGACAAGTCATGAAAGGGTGTCATTGCAGTAAGCCAATGGGAGGAATCGTAGCTGAAGAGCTGTGCAAGCAAGAGAGAGAGAGAAAAATTTCCTTACTGCGTCAAAGTTAGTGCTGCCCATGTTAAGGATTGAGTCTCTGCCCTACCTTCATTTGGGGATAGCCACCCCCGTATGGGTGCTGCGGGGGCATACCCATACCGGGGCCGCCGAAGACTGGTGGGGGAGGAGCTGGGCGGTAGGGAGTGCCAGCGGGACCGGAGTTGTTCTGGGAGCGGCCCCAGCTAAGGCGCACACGAGAGTTGCCAATGGGGTAGCCCTGCATCTGGTTGATGGCCATCTCGGCAGCGTGGCGCTGCACGAATTGGACGAAGCCGCAGCCCTTGCCAGGTGGGATCTTGACGTACGTGATCTCGCCAAAGCCCTGGAAGAACGACCTGAGCTCGTCCTCGGTGACGTAGCCAGACAGGCCACCAACGAAGACGGTCGTGTTGTTGGGGTCGGTGAACTGGTTCATAGGCTGAGGAGCGCCGTAGTAGCCCATAGGGGGTGCGCCCATTGAGTACATGCCCATAGCGCTGGGGCCGCCACCTTGCTGAGGCATGCCACCCATTCCGCCGGGGCCGCCGGGACCGCCGCTCTTGTTCTTGGGGGTCGCCGTGCTGATTCGCATGGGGCGGTTGCCGCAGTAGACGCCTTGCATCTCCGTCAGGGCCTTCTGCTGGTCCTCCTCGTTGGCGAAGCGAACGAAGCCGTAGCCGCGCGACATTCCGCTGATGGGGTCCGACATGATCTTGGCAGACTTGGTGGACGGGTACTTGTTCTGGAACAGCTGGACAAGGACGAACTCGGTGACCTCGGGGCCCAAGTCACCGACGAAGATGCTGTATTCGGGGCCACGCTCGTCGCGGCTGTTGCTGTGTTAGTATGCGCCGCATGTTTAGGGCAGAATCCAGCCAGTGCACTCACCTGCGATCAGCGAGACCACCACCAGAGGCCCAGTTGAGCTTGAAGGGGCGGTTGGAGTTCGGGATCAGCTGGCCATTGAGGGACAGCGCCTTGGCCGCAGCCTCGGCGCTGGTGAAGTCAACGAAGCAATATCCAGCATTGCTGCTGCGCGGTAGTTAGCCCGTAGCTTTTCTGGCAGGTGTTGTCGCGCTTACCCGGAGAACTTGTCTCGGATCATCTTGACGTTGACGGTCTCGCCCATGTTGTACCAGATGCTGCGCACGAAGTTCTCGTCGATCCAGGGCTCGAGCTCGCCCATCCTGCGTGGTGTTAGCATGCGCGTGCTGCCTTGGTTGCCTCGTCGCATGCGCAATGCGTGCGCGTGGTAGAGGCAGGTGCAGACTCACCAGAGAGTGGTCTTGCCGGCGCTCTGGCCCTGGCCGTCGGGGCCAACGCTGCCTGGGCCCATGCTGCCCTGGGGCGGGAAGCCGTTGCCAGACGTGTCCATGGCCTGGCCAAGATCTTGCTGAGGGGCGCCGCCGTTGGACTGCTCGCCAGAGGGCTGGCCCTGGAACTGGTCGTAGTTTTGGAAACTCATTGTCATGAAAGATCAAAGCGGGGTAATGATCGGGTTGCTAGTTGAAGTAGCCGGGTAAGAGTGTCGCGCTCTAAGTATGATGGGCTGTCTGCGGGGGCAGCTGTGGTCAGCGGCGGTGAATTGGCGCAAAGGATGCAGAGGATGCAAGGCAGCGGGGGACAGGTGAGTGGAGGGGCGCGTGGGACGCACGGGACACACGGGACGCACTGGGCTGCACTTACCACGGAAGATGGGAGCACCGTCTATCACTGCTGGGCGAGTGTAGTCGTCAACGGCGCGTGGTGCACACGGGAGGAGTACAGGCGCAAAGGCTGTGGGGCCAAGGGAACAAGCCTGGGACGGCGGGGGAAGCAGGCCGAGGGAGCTGTGACAGGAACGCCGGTAGCTTGGACCGCAAGACAGGAACAGTGAGGAGAGGCGAGCGGGTGCCGTGTGGGTGGGCCGAGTGAATTCTGCGCAGAGAGTCAGCACAGGCAGCGGCAGGCAGAGGCGGTCACATGGGCCGGCCACGACAGGACAGCAGTGAGAGAGAGCGCGTCTTGCTGTGTGCGCACCACAGGAGCAGAAGTGCACCACGCTGCACTGCACCCCCGGCGACGACCCACGCGTCCGTGCCAGTAGGCGACGTCAGCGGGCGGTGGGCGAGGCACAGGGCGAGCTGCACAGGCGCATCCGCCGCAATTGACGGACGGGCACAGTGCACTGAAAATGTGCGTCACCCGCCGCGATGCAGCAGTGGGCGCGCCAAGACGAGCAGAAAATTGCCAGGAGCAGCATACGCACCGGAAAGACGCCTGGACGTGAACGCAAACCAACACCGGGACGCAAGGGAAGATAGAGGACTGCGCAAAGGACGGCTGTGTCGTGCGTGAAGACGATGGGCAGAGAGAGGTGGGAGGGGTAGAAGAGAGAGCGAGGGCAGGTCCCTTTGAAGCAGCCCGCAGCCGAACCAATCCGCCCAATGCGCCCAGTCGTGTGGCTCAGCGATCCAAACCTGGGGACGGTGCGCGATGGCGCCCAAATCAAGCTTTCTGGATCTTCGATAACCACCGGACCCTCTTTGTGACTGGCTCGTCTGGCCTCGCCTGTGCGTCCTGCGTCCTGCTGTCGACAAGGCTGCCGCGCCCCTCCAGATTAGTCGTCGACGCTGGAGAGGAGCTGCACGATCTACGCCGCGTTATTAATAGGCGAGAATGACTTGCATGCTGATGTGGCCACCGTTCGCAGCAATCCTGTCGAGAGCCCCCTCCCGCAGCCGGCGACGCTTCGACGCCTGCCTGCCTTGGGTCCTGGGGTCCGTTGCTTTGCCTGCACACGCCCGCCGTTGCTTGCACGCCGCCTGCAGAGTTTGCGTAGCCCAGTCGAATCAGCGCGCGCCTCGTTTGACTCCCTCCAGACCCCGCCACTGGCCTGCAGCTAACTCTGGTGCGCCTCTCCAAGGACGGTACTCGTGACAACAAAACAGCACAGCGCTGGTTCAATTAGGGAGATGAGACGGACTTGCGCGACTTTACTGTGTAGGTACAGTGGTTCCATGGTTCCAAGCAGGCAGGCACGGTTGCAAAACCAACCCCCACCACCTCCTCCTCACATCACATGTCGACGCGGTCAACACTCACAACTTGGTAGAGATTCGTCATGTATTGCTGACCCTTCCTAAATATCAACGTTCCCAGATGCTCCAACCCATTCATGCCTTCGCCGGGACACCGCTAGCCGCTTTGATCTCCTTCTCCTCTGCCTCCTTCAACGAATCTCTCCCCTCCTGGAACACCCTATCGAAATCATACTCGTACCACCGGATGTCGGGATTCAGCCCCGCAAACTTCCACTCGCCATCGATCTTCTTGTACCAATGCGTGTTGAAGCTGTGGGCATGACCCTTGACTGCAACCGTTGAGCGCGTCTCATCCGTGTATCTCTGGTGCGGTACACGCAATTGATGGAACCCCGTCATCTCATCCTCGGCCGTCTTCTCCCACCGTGTGCCGCCAATGAAGTGTTGGGTCTTGAGCAGTGGGTCGCCGAGCACAGCGGGATCGGAGGCCATGGCAACAAACTCTTCAGCTGGCATAGATTCCCAGATCTTGCCGAGGAAAGAGCGGTAGTCGATTTTCAGATTTGGGGCAATGCATTTGCGGAGACGGTCCCAGTCCTGTGAGGTGTGAGAAAAGCACCGAGTAGACAACGATGAGAGGACAACAAACCTTGCTATCGTAGCTATCTGCCCACTCGTAGCATGCTGACTGGCAGCCCATAACATCTTAATAAGTTAGTCGAGTTTCAAGAGGTGAAGTCGTGAGGACGAACCATCGAACGTTGGCTTCATCTTTTGCTGAGACATGGTGTTTGTATGTGTGGTTTGACTTTTCTTGTATTGTTCTAGTAGGTGATCTGGTATCTTTCAACACCTCCTTCCATCGTCTTTATATCAGCATCAACAGCACTTGAACTGCATCAACTTCTGCGACACAAGGCTTCGGCTCCCCGCTTCGCGGCACCCCCGTGTCCGCGTTTACAGACGCGACCCGATGCCGCACACGGAGCCGTCACCATTTTGGGTAACGGATACTCTCGAGTTTCCGCTTGCAGTTTCAAAGCCAAATTTATCTGTCCGTGTCGTGGGTGTTTGCGAAGCCCTCGACGCTGCGACAGATCGAGCAGGCGCACAGGCCACCGCGGCTTCGATCCTTCCCGAAGACGCTCCGCAGCACCATGCTTTGTCTCGTTATCCGGAGATGGGTCTCCACAGTTGCTTTACTTCTTCCATCCCTTACTGATGAGCTCGTTCTTGCCTGAGACCCGAAGTTGTCGTTGCATGTAGGTTTATCCGTCGCTGCCTCGAACCTTTCTAGCGAGATCCTCCAGTCTTCGACTTTTTTATCTCTACAACAATGTATGCAGAGCTCCAAATTGCCTCGTTCAATCCCAAGACCAATCATGCCTACAACAACAGGTTCGTTGCGATGCTTACCTGTCTGTCTAAACGAGCAAATGGCAGCTGCAGGAGGTCGCGCTACCCCTGCTCCATACAGTGGTCAGCCTGATGCTCCTCGATCTGACAAGACGTGGTTTCCAACACTTCACTCCCTGAAACGCTCGTCCTAGCGCTCGAGCCACAATGTTTCTTCTTGTGGCCTTTACACTGCTTGTCCGAGGCGTGTTTTGTTCTTCCCGGGACGACCAAGTGACATGGTATTCGGCCCCCAACTACCGTGGCACGTGGGACCTCATCATCTCATGCATCCTCACACTCACAATATGTGTCTGGTCAGCTCTGCATCTCAACGTACCCCCCGAAGACTCCAGGCTGAGGGACAGGAACTTGATGCGATTGAGATGGATTGTGGTTGGCATATTCGCGCCTGAGCTTGTAGTCAGCACTGCGTTTGCACAGTACCTGACCGCTTCGTGGTTGCAGGAGGAAATTCGCAAAGATGCAAAATACCAGAATGAGAATGTGAGCCAACTATCTCCGTTCGACGAGGTATCAGGGGTCATTGTGATAGTAGATCAAAAGAGAGCTGTCAAATACTGACTGCCTATAGTCCGCATGTAACGGAATATCAGGGCAACCCTCGCAAGAGTGGAGCATAACGCAATGCTACTTCGCTGTCATGGGAGGCGTGGTCGTACAAGCTGGCGACTGTATAGAGGACAGCCCTCAACTAAGCGTAACCGCAGAAGGTGTTCGACTGCTCTCCTTTCTAGGTCGGTTACCGCATATTCGAGAGAGCCAGATTCGTGACAAGAGCAAGGCAGATGGCCTCGCGAAGTTTCTAGTCGTATTGCAAGCAGGGTGGATGATTATTCAGACCATCAGCCGAGTGCAACAAGACTTGCCAGTCACGCTCCTAGAGATTAACACTTGTGGTCACATCATCTGCGCCTTTGCACTCTATCTTCTATGGTGGAGGAAACCACTCGATGTCAAGGATGCATTTCTGATTTTACGAGAAGATTGGGTCGATCCATTCGTTGCTCTAATGTGGATGTGCAGTCCCATCAGTGGCGATCAAAGCGACGAAATCTCAGAGATGCGCTGCATGAGCTACAGAACTCCTACTCAGCGAGGTACCCAAGACAGTTCTATCGTCACTGCGGCTGAACAACCCAAAGCTGCAACCGAAGGTAGCACCTCTGTCAAACCGCACCGTACTCACTTTTCGGTTGGGTCAGTCGGGGCAAAGAATCCTCGCAAATTCATCGGCCCTCTCGGGGAATACATGATCGGCTCTGAAGGTCCATCTTCCTCCACTCCGTTCGATCACGATGTGAGTTACATATTGCCAGACAGAACTATCAACATCTCGACGGAACACCAGATATTCTTCGAAATCCAGAAGGATTGTCACGGCCTACAGCACAGTCTTCAATATTGCCGACGAGCGTTCAGCGACTGCAAAAGTCATGAACCACTAAGTGAATATGTAATAGCGCGATGGAGTCTCGCGAACGATCTTATCGACCAGCTTTGGAACGAATGCGAGAGACGTCCAAGCTACATGGATTTCTTCTTCACAACGTCGACGCTGGGCATCTTCGTAGGAGAACCGATATATATTGCACACCACATCACGAACTTTCCCGGACTTTCATATCTTGGGAGCGTGAACGTTCATCGCGATCGATTGAAAACAGTGGCGGCCTTTGCTGGCGCCGCATACGGTGGCCTACACCTAGCAGCTTGGAACGACTTCTTCCCAACTACCGTCGAAAGATATCTTTGGATATCATGCTCGTGTGCGACCGGAATCACGGGTCTCGTGCTCGCTCTATTCTTCCTTGCTACAAATAAGATCGGGAAGCTAGAGGCAGCAGAGAGCCGCATACGGAACAGCAAAAAGCTCAGGTTTTTCGGGAAGTGGGTGTTGATTCCACTTTTCATGACTGCTCGCATTCTTATCGTCGTTGAAGCCTTTGTTTGCTTGAGGAGACAGCCGGCCGCCGTCTATAAAACAACAGAGTGGAGTAACTATTTCCCTCATCTCTAGTTCATGGGGTTGTCTGGGCTCTGCGTTTTTATCGCTCCTATGGCTGTAGTACTCGACCTTGGGATGCTTCAAAAAAACTGTTTGCCATCCGCAAGTCTTCGATCTAGCATCGACAATACTAATTATGCCATGAAGGGCAACCGCAGGATTTCTCTCAGACTCACAGCAGATAGACTCAGCACTCCACTCAATCTCGAATCATGAGTCCTTCCGTCGAAGCACAAAAGGCGAAATGAGAGAGCGCTATCTCCATACACGGATTCGTACCTCACGTCCACGCTCTTCTGGCCACTCTCGAAAGCAGAAACACCTGCCACTGCAAACAACGCATCTCCTATGAATCCTCTTCGCATCTCCCTCCCGGAATACAGAGGAGACCCCCAGCATGTCTTTCTTGGACACTCAGTAATTAGGAAACTCGCCATCAACCCTATCTCTCCAAGCGCTCAGCCCGCCCCTGATATCTCCGATAAACCGTTTTCCTCCAAAACCCAAACCCAGCTCCTTCATCTTCCTAACCGTAACCTGCGAGTCGTTACCCAGCCTACACACGACGAAAATCGGCTTCTCAGTCCCCCGCAGCCGCGCAACCCATTCCGCCTCCTGCCCCTCCATATCCCCGTCCACAGCACGAAACCCCGAACCGTGCGCCGCGCCCGGTGTACCCGACACAGCAGAAAACGGGATATTAATACTCCCATCTATGCTGCACAGCTCGAACTGCACGCGCTCGCGCACATCGACGAGGATATGGCTGTCCTTGCTGAGCAGCGAGCCGGTGAACGGATTCACGCCCGAGCGCAGCTTCGCATAGCTGTCCGCCGACACGCGTTCCTGCGGCGTGAGCGCATCGACGGGCCGCGTGAGCCCGCAGAACTGCACGTAGTCCGTGGCGCCTGAGTGCAGGGTCTCGGGCGTGATGGTGGCCTGGCTGGAGCAGGCTGCGCAGGTTGGTTTGCGGGCGCGGAGGCGGATGCTGCGGAAGAGCGGGGTGGAGTAGGCGGAGAAGAGGAGCAGGGTTGGTGGGTCGGCGGGGGATGTAGGGGCGGGGCGGGTGAGGACTTTGATGGCTTCGAGGGCTTGGAGCACGCCCATTACACCGACGACGGGGCCTAGGATTCCGCCGTCGCCGCATGATACGACGGTTTCTGGGGGTGGTGGTTTGGGGAAGATACATCGGTAGCAGGGGCCGCCGTTGGGGTCGCCGGGGGGGAGGGGAGGGTTGTTGAGCACCATTAGTTGGCCGTCGATGCGCAGTGCGGATGCGGAGATGAGGGGCTTGCGTGTGGCTACGCATGTGTCGGAGATGAGATAGCGTGATGCTGGGGTATCTGTGCAGTCCAGTACGATGTCGTAGTCTTTGAATATGGAGATGGCGTTTTCTGGCGAAAGGCGGGCTTTGTGGGGGACAAGTTTGACGTTTGGATTCAGCCTTTTTCACTGTATCAGTCCATACTCGGAGGATATCGACAGAGAAAAGGGGTGGTGGTAGGCATATCCATGCAGATATATAATACGTACGAATTAAGCGCAACCATTGCGCTCTCAACCTTCGTCATGCCCACCCTAGCAGTAGAATGCAGAATCTGGCGATGCAGATTCGACTCCTCAACCACATCCCCATCCACCAAGCCCACAGACCCAACTCCCGCGCCCACCAAATACGCCGCAGCCGGACACCCCAAGCCCCCCACCCCCACAACAAGCACACTCGCCTCTCTCAACCGCAGCTGGCCTGCGCAAAAACACACATTAGCCACAAACTTCCCACCCACCAAGCTATACAAACACACCCTGCAGCCCAACCTCAGGCATAATCAACTGCCGTCCATATCTCCTATACTCATCATGTTCGAGGGGCCACCTCCTCTGCTCCGCCAGCCCATTCACGTCTTGACTATCTCGCTCCTCGGCGTGGTTCAACACGTGCAGTACCTCTGCGCGGAAGTCATCCGGCACCCCGTAATCCATGTCATGGCCCAGCGGATCGAGTGTGGACTTTTTCTGCTGCGAGGCTTTTTGCTGTTGCCGCTGCGTGTGCTCTGCTTCGGACAGCTGCTGACGCAGCTGGATGAGTGTCGCCTCGCAGGACGCTATCTGCTTGTGGAGGGAGGCGATTATCGGCATTGTTTTCTTGGTGGTGAGTAGTGAGTGACTGGGGGGGCGATGGTCTTGAGGGCGCTAATGTGGGATGTGGGGTGGTGGGCTTATCGTCAAGGGCGGGCACTAGGTTGGATTGGGGTGTCTGTGGTGGCTGGGGCCAATCATGTATTGGCAGGTTCGACATTTCAGCCTTTGGCTGCTCGGGCATAGCGGAACTCTTGAGAGGACAAAGGACGTAGCGGTTTAGTTATTGGTCATTTAGTAGTTAGAGAGTTCAAGTTTTCTTTTCAACTGGTTGGCTGTAGGGTGGCGAAATTTGCTGTCAAGGTTTCGATGCATAATTGTATCAATGGCTGAAACTGTCGACGCTTGAGTGTAGCCATTCGGGTTCATGGGTTTTCAGAGGCTTCCTTATCCAGGCATGTAAGCTTTCTAGGTGACTCAGAATTCCCGTTCTCGAGTGTGGGTGTTCTAGCTTACGTTGGCCTTTCCGTGCTCGCCTGTGTGGTTGGTATCGCTTTCAGGATGTACTTGTCTTAAAAGGGAAAGGGATGTGTAAGCAAAGTAATCACGAACAAACCCATCGAGGAGTATGTTCTGCGTGGTGATTGGTTGCACAAAGATCAGCTTGGATGTTTTTAGAGGTCTGCGTGTGCGTAATGTCGAATCGTCAAACCTTGTCTGCCGCGGCCATCTTTGGACACATTTATTTGGCTAGTAGTCGTAGGTACACAATAATTAAAAGGGGCTCACGCTTCAGCGGCCCCTAGCAACCTACTTCTTATCAGGAATCAATCAATCTTTTCTTGTCTAACCTCTTGACGTCCCCGCGCCATCTACTGACTACCCCGCCTACAACCGCACGTTTGGCCACACTGCTTACACTACTGGCACAATGGTTTCTGTTTGCGCCACCTGCAAAGGACTGCAGAAGCATCTCAATACTCAAGAGTCGGAGGTGGGCTCGTTGCGTTGGGTGAGCACGTCATTGCCGAATCTCCGCGCAAGTGCAGCAAACAACCGCTGCCGGGCTTGCGCTTTGCTTCTCCAGGGCATACTACTACACCATGATCGATTCGCGAACATCAGGGAAGACAGGATACAAATAATGGCCGAGTCGTTCAACCCAAGACCAGGGCGTACATTACAGGATCATCTTTCCGTCGAAATCCGATGGAAGCAGCTGGACCACGACGAAGGTGAATGCCAAGCCGGCAACCACGAGCACACAGGAAATCCAGATCTCAAGCTAGAATTTTTCACAGATGGAGGTACGTGTCTTCTTTCCCGCTGAACGATTCCAGGCCGCGTGTTCGATGTTCAGGCGAATTGGAAGGGTCATCCATGTCTTGTCATTGGCTGGGTATGTGTGCGTCATGCTAACGAGAGTAGCTGGGCAATCGTCTTTCTCGGCGATTGGACGAGGCAGAAATGTCTCGGACAACCCACTGCAGGCTGCTGGACTACAAGCAACGCGTGATTTGATTAATAACTGCGTATCGAGTCACTCGACATGTCGGCAAAGCCACACCACATCCCTGCCGAAGCGCGTGCTTGATGTGTCGATGAAGGAGGGCTCGAAGAGCATACGTCTGCACTCGTCACACTTTAACGAAGAGGAGCAAAGGTACGAGTCAGGCAAGTATATTGCACTGAGCCATGTATGGGGTCTTGGGAGAGGTATTCCAAAGACGACCACGAAGAGTTTGCAGTCACAAACAAACACCATTCCCTGGTCAACGTTACCAAGGACATATCAAGAAGCGATTGTACTAACACGAGCGTTGGGATTTCGTTGGCTGTTCATTGATTCTTTGTGTAGGTCCACCGATTGGGATGCGTGACCCAGCTGACACCCACCTTTAGGCCTAGTGCAAGATGACGTCCCCACAAAGTTGGAGGATTCGATACGAATGGACGAGATATATGGAAATGCGTTCCTGACCATAGCGGCTACCTCGGCTACCGACAGTGGCAGTCACCCGCTCTTTCCACCAAAGACCCAGCCATTTAAGATCCAGGCTACGGATGACAAGGGCTCGCTCTTTAAGATCTACGTTCGAGAACAGCCGTCGCATTACAGTTTCAAAGCCCCTTTCGACGACGACGCGCATATGAACGATTGGGAACTACCGTTCAATACCTCCAAAGAAGCAAACCTCCATACACCACTGCTTAAGCGAGCCTGGGCATACACCGAACGTCTACTCTCACCCCGTGTCTTACACTTTACTAAGAGCGAGATGATCCTCGAATGTCGCCAAACATATCAGTGTGAATGCGGCAGGATCGAAGATGCCACATTCGATGCTCGAGCAACAGACTCCATCAAGCAAGAATTCGCAAGACTGGTCATGGAGACTAAAATTCAAACAGCAGAGTTGAACGGCAATAGTAATGGGAACGGGATCGAGAAACGAATCGATAGCATGGCCACTCAGCTCGCTACCACTTCCCTCAACAACGACTCGCAAGACGCCTGGCGTCGGCGTGAAGAGGGCATCCAACTCTGGAGTTATATCGTCACGGAATTCACTGCTCGGAATATGACATATGATTACGACCGCCTCATTGCTATAGCCAACATCGCAAAGCCGTTGTTACCCACAATACAATCAGGCTATGTAGTAGGGCAGTGGACAAGCAGTACATTAGGCCTCCTCTGGTATCCGAGCGACAGCACACGATGCAGACGACCGAAGGGATTGACAGGACAGAACGTACCAAGCTGGTCATGGGCGTCTCTCCAAGGGTCACCAGTCTTCTTCGACAATGCTTCGGCCATGGACCTCGCATGCAGAGCTTCCTTTGGATCCAAGAAAGAACGGACAGCAGTCTGGTCACCACTTTCGGGCCATATCGTCGAGTTAACAGCAGCCATGGCCACAGAGGTGACATTCGCCTCGTCTTGTGAAGATTCGCAAGACGACGACTCGCCTTCATACTCGCTCCTCAAAAACGGAATCGCCGTCGATTTCACACCAGACATCAACCCACCACGCGGCGAAGACACAATAAACGACGGAGACAAGCTTGTCTGTGTGCTGGTCAGCATGACATTTCGCTCCTCCATCATCGGACTGGTGCTCAAGCCGGTGCAAAACAACACATACCGCAGGGTCGGGCGATTCGAATGTTACGAATGTACAAAAGAAGAGGAAGAGGAAGACGACGAGATGAGTGAAGACGCCGAGGCATTGTTTGAGCATTGGTTCCCCGAGATCCAGGACATGACACAACTCGATGAGTACCCACAAAGGCGGTTTACCATTGTATAGGATATGTTCAGTTCAAGTCCTTTCTGCTATCAGCATTGTTGCTATATCGCTATGTTCTATTCAGAGGCTTTGGACTTTGACAGCCCATCGTCATCGCTTTGCATTTTCCCGCCCCGCTCGCTCAAAATACCCTTTCGCGATAGTCAGCTTAGCAGCTCTCTTACATTTAGTTTTTTAGCATAGTCTGAATTCACACGATTCACGCTCTAAACCCCTCAATCTTGAAGTAAAACCTCCCCCTCACCCATCGAACCACATGTGCCCTCACAGAACCAATCCAAACTCCCCTCATCCGAAAACATACCCCTAACTCCGGATGCCGGCCCCCCTCTTCAACCCTCCGTAGATCTTTCTCCGGTGACTCAATTCTGTCGTCATTCTCAGCCTCCCCCCATGTGCCGCCACGTGACGTGACGCGCTTCCCACTGGACCACACGGTACGCACAATTGACATACTCGGCTACCCAGCGAGTGACGGAGCGAGCCAGCAATTCCTAAACGCTAGCCGCATGGCAAGACCCCGCGGCGTGGTTCAACGCATCGATACGAGATCAAGGTCGAGCTCGTTCTCGGGACGATCTGGCGTGGCGTGGCATGGCGTGGAACGTCCGTGGAAGCTAAGGTAGGTGGGTGGATGTCCGGCGTGTTGGTAGCGAGACGGTAGTTGTTGCGTATGTGGAGTTTTGCGTGGATGGTATGGCATTTTGCGGTTTCCTGTGCGGGAGGGATTGCGATTGGTTTGTTGGTATGGGTTTTTATGATTACTGGGGGATGTCATGATGTTGGTAATGATGATGGGATTGTCACATGTTTTTATTTCGTCTCTGCGCGTTGGTGTTGGATTGAGGAATATGCAAATTTCCGTCATATCGTTGAGATAGTGGTGGATGGGATGGAGTTACTATGACGAAGTTAGGTCCAGTTACAGCGTAGGATCTAGCCAGTGCCTGAGTTGGAGAAGTCCGCTGTGGATAAGTATAATTGGAGCTAAAGTGAGGAGGTAGATATGCATAGACGGACGTTATTTCTTTCAATAACCTCGATGATGTGAGAGGTTGTATCACCTACTTGAACATGCACGAATTTGAGGTCCTATAAATCATCCAAACTTACTTGCCTGAGGTGTGGTTAAGCCCAAAATCCCACTTAAACCACAAACACCTTATGCGCGAAACATCAAAATATAGCAGCAACCAGAATAAAGATATGTCAGCAACACCTATTTTCATTCTTTATTGTTTATTGATACACATCCCTTCCAAAAGCTTCTCAATCTGCGTTGACCCTGGGAGCACCAAAACTATTAACATAAAAGCGCCCCATCTATGACGCCACCGCATAATCTGCCCTCCCGAGACTCGTCTGGGAGATGTGCTGATGGAAAGTGAAAGACGCAGTCTTATTATGAAGCTGCTCGAAAACAAAATCTCTCCTATGACGATGTATGAGAAAGACGGAGATGATTGTTCAGAGAGATATCAGATACCTCTGGTGGGGCTGATGACTAGGCCTGCATCATCATGAGGATAAGGAAAGGAACCATTAACACCTGACGCTTGTTGATGTCATGATGCTGATTCGGTAGGCATGATATTTTTTTCGTTTTAGAGTCCGACTTTGGTGTGAGGTGGACTGTTGGGATGTGAAGTCAGGTGTGATTTTGACTTGACCTCAAGACGTTATTAGAGATCTGTGTATTCAGAGTCGAAGCTCATTGTTGATATCGCATTGCGTTGTGGTAATCGTGCGCTCAGATTAAGCTAACCGACCAACAGTGATTGGGTATATTCTACCATTCAAATTCTCCACTTGCCTTGTGGAAGAGATATCTGACACAATATTAGCCGACGTACACTGGATCCACACTCATCCGACTCACTCTTTCTTGTTTGTAGTTAGGACGCCGTCCTTGAGCGTGCACTTCCACTTGTTCTTGACGCGCTGCACCTTGTCATACGTGCAGAGCATATAGTCGACCATGTCGTCATCGCTGTTGTCTCCATCAGCGAGGTCATCCTCCGGATCGTCGAGGTCCGAGTTGATTGCATCATCTGGATCTTCCTCTCCTGGCTTAAGGTCGTCATCGCCATCGAAACGTGCTGGTCCTGGAATGCTCGACGACGCCTCGACGGATTCAGCTTGTAGGAAGCGCACGGCAGCTTTCCGCTTCTTGCCTTTTGGCATCGAATCGAGCGGAATCATCAGTCCACTATCCTGGCGCATGGCCATGGCATCGACATGGGTGCGCATCAACTGGTCAGCTGCAATACGGCCTTCATCGCCTTCGGCAGCTCTCGCCGCCTTCAGTGCATTCCAATCATCTAAAGCATCAGCCGAACCATCGGTCTGTGAATTGTACATATGTGACTGTGGCGGACGTTGCGGCATATGCTGCGGCATGCGTTGATGCTGCTGTTGTTGCTGTTGCTGCTGTTGTTGCTGCTGCTGCTGTTGCGGGGCCATCATACGCTGTTGCTGTTGACCTTGTACAGGCATCTGAGGATGGTGTCCCTGTTGGGGCATGTTGGGGTAATTGTTTTGCTGAGCATAACCTCCTTGCTGGACGCGCTGCTGGACTAGAGCAGCCGCTCGCTGCTGCGCCAACCCCACGTTTTGGTCATACCCCCCTGTGTAACCACCATTTGCTTGCGCTTGAGGATAGTTGGCGATAGGAGGTTGCTGGTACCCCCCTTCGGACTTGACAGGCATGTTGGGAAAGTTGAGGTGTTCTTGACCTGCCGACATAGGGGGCATGTCATTATCATGCTTCACGTTCGATGGGACTGTAGGCGGTTGTCGCACAGGCTCAGGCTGCGGGTCCCACGGAAAGGCAGCGACCTTGAGAGCCGACAGCTTGTCTTGCCATCCCTGAAAGCCTGTTAGCACATGCCACGCTGCGGTCCATCATAAAGGAAGATGATAATGGTGAAGTGATTGAAGGCAGCCGTCACATGACAGACTATGCCGCGTTGGGAAGTGATGCGATGGGCTTGGCGGGGCTGCCGGGGGTATAAGAGTGACCCAAATACAGAGGCGCCCCCAACCGACTTGCGCGATCGACCGAGCGACTCAGCCCCACTCCCGGCAGCCCCGTCCTCCTCCAGGCAGCAGCCTCGCGCTCTCACCAGAATGCAGCAAAGACGATGAGATGTAATATTCAACGACAAACGTAATAGAAAATAGTGCATCGACAAAAGGGAAAGAGCGATAGCCGGATAGTAACCGACCTGCCACGTACCTGCTTCATCTCATCGAGCGTCGACTGGTCCACGCCAAACTCCTCAAAGTCATTCTGCGAGGCCTGGATCACCTTCTCGATGATCTGCTGATAGACGCTCCCCTAGTTTGCAGTCAGCGCATGCACAGGTACCCTCACGCCGACGTCGCCTTTGCATGCGCGCCTGGAGCAAGGACTACTAACCACGACCTGGTTCGACATGGCGACTCCCTAGCGATCAACTATCTATTGTAGGCTTGCGCAGGGACGATGCAGACGTGTGCGGCAGTTGCTTGCGTGCAGACGGGCGACTGTAGGGGCACGGCCAGGCAGGCAACACCAGCGCTTGAGGCTGCGAATAGGGCGTGCGCACGCTTGGAGACGCCTTTACGCTCGACTATATGGACTACAGAGACGTCTTTTGGGAGCGGCGGGCCTTGTGCGACGGTTGCGGGTGCCCTCAACTTGGTGGTCGTGGGGTGTATGGGGCGTGGTCGGCCGGCTCTACGAGAAGTTGATCCCCGGCGGCTCGGTAGCTTTGTTATTAGCTCCTTGGCATTCCGCTGTTGATTCACCTGCTTCACAAACAACCTTCCCATGGCAAGAACGATACACCCTTAAGCTCAAACTACCCACTGAGTATACTGCCTGGTATCTTCATACCTCGTTTGCCTATGCGCTTTGTATGTTGACTGGTCGTTGTAAATTCTCAAGATGCCGGTGTACAGTCAGCCGCTGCCAGATTGTCATGCAGCCCAATGCACACTCCTGAGCGTGAATACACGTGACGGTGTAGTTGAACTTACTGTTGTTAGAAACAAGTATACCGATATATATCATGAAATCAATCACGCCTATTTGCTTTCGCTCTCAAGCCCCACCTCAGTCAACCATCATCAAACATGCCCCCCCCCCAGTGAACATCTATATCATTCGACCAAACATTTACCACGATCACGCTGCACCAAAGACGCGAATATGGCTGAGAGTAAGACATCACAGTGCAAAGCACGGGATATAGGGGCAGTGATTTAAAGATCATGATACGAAGATGTAAATCAACACAACAACAGAACAGTAATACAACCATCCTCCATCCACCCTATTCACCCACAACCCCACAAATCAACCTACAACTTCGCCCCACCCTGCACCTTCTTAAAAATCGGCTCCATCTTCGTCGCCTTCATAACATCGCCCTTAACCTTAAGCTTCCCACTCATAAACAGCCGCTGCGCATTCGCCTTACCAGCAACCAAACCCGCAAAGTCCTTGTCCGCGAGGATGAGCGTAACGGCGGGCTTCTTGCCCTCGGGTGCTAGTCCGCGCCCCACGGTCCCGCTCTCCTTCAGGTCAATGTGCCATGACTCCTCGGCGCCGGCGTTTTTCAAAGTGAAGCCGAAGATTGCGCCGCCTTTTTTTATCGCGTCGGAGCGCTCGGCTGGCGAGGAGAGCGCGGAGGAGATGGCGTCGAAGGCGGCGGAGGAGGGGAAGGCGTCTGGGAGGGGAGGTTAGTGTGGGTGAGGGGAGGGGGGTGGTGGGTGTGTTCGTGATGGACGCGTCTGTGAGGCTTGCGGAAGGGTGACACCGCTGGATGCGTAGGTAGTGATACGAATTTGAACATACCAGACTTGAGAGACATCGTGGCTATATATACTTGCGTTTCGACTTTAGAGATGTAGGATCCAAGCTATGTTCGAGATTCTTCGGAGACGTAGTCGGTATATGGATGTGAATACAAGAGACGTGTGGAGAGTGTGTGGATGCGCAGCCTGGAGATCCGGGGTATGTATATATCAGCGACGATCATGATGTCGCGGACGTGAATGCATGTGAGCCCGCGCTCGCGCTAGTAGATATACCTCGGCACCCTTAACGCACAGGCATGGGCACGTGCGTGCACCAACGACAGTTCGTGACCTTGACTCCGACGTGTCACAATAAAGAGGTGCGATTAATTAATCACGAGCCGAGGGGCGTATTACCGGAATCAAGAGTGGAAGGTCAGTATGCACGAAGATACTATACGCATGTGGAAGTGCTTGCGAAGGTCAGAACAGTAGGAAAATATCATTCAAGGATCGTAAGTATGCTACTCGTGGCATCGTGTATCTACAAGACGTGCTTTTCAGGGCATCAGACATCAGGCGTGAGTTTCGTGGGTATAAGTCATGAAGAAGACAGAGTCATGATGACGACAAAGGAGAGACAGAGAGAGAAAAGAGAGAGAGAAACAAAAGAAAGAACAAAGGAAAAGAACGAGTGTGAGAGTGAGAGAGACCGAGAGAGAAACCCCCCAACCAGCCTAAGAGGGCAATGGTACTTACGCCAAACAGCCCATTTTGAGAGAGACAGAAAAGTCCGGCCACAAATGCAAACCCAACCGTAAAAAGAACGCCTTACCCTGGGTATCATCCGTGGTCAGCGCTCCAATCCAAGACACAGTACGAAAAAAACTCCGCCGAAATCCTTACAACGTCGACAACCACCATCGCCTTACTTTACTTCCACGTCGACAGCCGCAGGAAGCGCTTCATGTGTTCGCCACCGCCCCAGAAACTGTCCTTGACAGCGGCACTCTTCCTCGACGCTCGGTTGGGCCTGCTAAGCCATCTCGATAGAGTATGAGTACCCCTCTCTGGCTTGCCACTCGCCTCCTCAATGGCAAGATTGACTTCTTCCATCAGCGGGCCCATGATGCGCGGATCTCCATTCACAGGGCTGAGCATGATGGGCACGTCCATGACCTCTTCTTGATGTCTCTTCCAGCGATCGCTGCCGGCGATCAGCGTCAACGGCTCGAGCGCATCGTCCCAGTTGCCCTGTCTGAGCTTGACGTCTTCAAAGTTGAACTCTTGGAGCGTGCGCCGATGCCTGTGGATAAAGTCTGAGATCTGCGTCGAGTCCATGACAGCGTTCTCAAGCTCCATATATCGGAGGCGGGAGAACTTGAGGGGCCGCGGTCCTTTGACTTCACTGCGCATCGACGGGTGCATCGACTCTTCTGCGACAGGGAGCATGCAAGGTTCCTGGTCGAGGGAGAGCGGGGATGGGCCGCGCTCGCCTTTCCAGCGGAAGAAGAGGCGTGTGAGGCTGCGCGATAGAGTACGCAGGTAGGTGTGCAGGGTGCGCAGGTGTTCTAGTGATTGGGCACGAGTGTGCATTGAAGAGGAAGAGAAGGGGATAGATTCCATGCAGATTGACAAACGGCGGATTTGGCCCCAGCGCTTGGCGGATGACGGAGTGCTGCCGAAACCGCGCATGGGGTGGAGATAGAGAAGACCACCAGGATGAATGGGATGAAGCGAGAGGCATGACAAGCTGTACAGCGGCGCGCGCTCGACAGCAATGCGCAGGGAGATCAGCGCATAGTCCACCACACTCCGGCGGTGGCGAGACGTGTTGTTGAAGCCCGGGCAGGATACTTTGAGATGTGTAAGGTTGACGAGTTCAGAGAAGATAGCGACAAAAGCCGGGACATTAGTCGCAGCATGGAAAAGAGGAGGGTACTGCTTGATAAGAAGGTCCTGCATTTCCCAGGTGCCATACTTGGGCGTCTTGTCTTTAGCCGGGCCATGTTGCGGACTCACAACCTGCGGCTCATACAGGAACTGCTGCTCATCGCCCGTCACCGGGTCAATGATGGGAGGCAAAAACGTGTCCGGACCATGGGGCAGATGGAAGGTAAACGTCTTGACATGGCGCCCTATCCTCGACAGCGCTTCCATGCGCGCCAGCTTAGAGAAGCTCGACGACTTGAACGTCACGGTAACAGACTCAAACAAGGCCGGCGCAGCGCGCGCAGAAAAATCATGGCAGACCAGACGAAGGTTCGCAAGATCCTCTGTCTCCGTGTGCGCAAGCAAGTTCTCGCGACACGTATCATTCAGCCAAAAGCGCAAGAAGACTGAGCTCGTCGACAGGACGAGGTTGCAGATTGAGTTGTTGGACCGCACCGCTATCTGATATCAATATGGGTTTCCCGTCACATGGCGCACACAAACTTGTCTTACATTTTCCATCAACGGTAGTCGCAGGCGTCAGCGGAATCTCACCAAACAGCAGCCTGGAGCTTGCGCGCGATACTGTCGTTGCCTGACTGGCATGACTGGTATGCGTAACATGAGTGGCATGACTGTGATGGCTCTCGCCCGATTGCGATCGCTTGAGCAGCGGATGAGGCTCAGGAGGGGGTGGTTGCATATACATTCTGATTCGTTGGTTGTTGCATATATGTAATTGGTAAAGAGCACGTTGTAAAAGTTTGGTCTTTGAGCAAAAGAAATTCGTCAAAGAGCATAAGAATTCGTGGAGAGTTTGTGAGTAGGTTTTCCAATCGCAAAAGATGCCTTTGAGCAAAACCTCAGGTCTCTGCGGGTAGTATCCATTCTAGACGGCCCTGCCATCCCATCCCGCGGGCGGGGGGCAGGGTCTACACGTGAGACGCAAGTGTGAGTCAAACATCGAGGCCCCGTCACCAGTCGCTCCGCTACGTCGGTCGAACTCAGCTCAAAGCGGCCAGAGTATGGGAGGAAAAACACGACCATGTCGCGGTGGGAAGGCATGTCTTTATGGTGTTCGACGTGTTCGACGTGACGATTCGATAGGCTTTGAAACGTTTCAAGGGCTGCAGCCAATGGGATGCAAAGAAGCTTAGGAAAATGTATGTGCGTGTTGCAGTAGCACTGTGAATCACTGCATTAGCGGTGGCTGGGCATGGACAACTGGCGGTCAATGGTCGGGAGGCGCTTGTAGACGCGTCGCGGTAGCCATGGAGAGTCGCGATTCGACGAGATGACAACAATAACATGCGTGTTCCTGCGTTGGTGCTGTTGTAGACGCGTCTGTTCGGCATGCCAGGAACGCGTGAAACAAAGTTACCGATAGCTATCCGTGTCGAGTGGCTTGACGGATGCATGTCAACTCCAGATTCACATTCCCTTGATCTCTGACCGTTGGAGCGACGATAGCAAACACAACACAAAAACTTCCAAATCACAACAACAGACGCGTTCACGCGATCTCACAACATGTCTGACTGGCGATATCGCCACTCTCGCCCAGCACACCACGACCGCAAAAATGCCGCACTTGCATACCCACGACTCGCCACTTCGACGTGCCTCCATCGGCAAAACTCTCCGACCTTTCTCGGCCGCCTATGCAAATGCACGACGTAGAAACTGTAGAACGATCACAAAGACAAACTTGATTGGATTAAACACGCCGCATGTTTGAAACACGAAAGCCGTTGTGTTTCCAGACTCGAAATCCTCCCGCACGTTTCCGTAACGCTATTAAATTGTAAGATGATTGGCTAGAAAGGAACCGCTTCCGTCGCACCGCTGTCCGTCTCCGTATCGTGGTCAAACGTTGTCCATTTTTGGAGCTGCCAGCCTCGCCCATGTTGGCCACTAGCCAACACATGTCTGCCATCTATCTACTGTGTGCTGTTCTCCCGACCTCCCCGTTACCTCCTCTTCTCGTCCGAGAACCTGGGCGCGCCCTCGGGCACAGGCGGAGGCTGATAGTTCCCTCTATACCCATTGATTGGAGGCAGATCCGTTCCAACCGCCTCCTCATAGCTCGGCGGCGCATCATCTGGCGCATCAGGAAACCCGTTCCCGCCGTTTGAAGGCCCTGCATATGCAGGTGTTGTAGGTGTATGAGGTGGCTGTCCGTGTGGTGGAGCAACGCCCAGAGTCTCATGCTGCGCCTTGCTATCGCCTGTATACACCGCGTCCAGCAGTGCTTTCGGCGGTGCGATGCCCGAGTATACCTTGACTGGCAGGCGGAGTGGCAGGACGACGAGTTGATCTTCGCCGTGCTTGTAGCTCCCGTAGCCAACTCCAACGCGGATTTCAAGTTCGTAGAAGCGGGAAAGGTTGCATGTTGTAAATGTCGGTGGCACGGTGTTTGGAACGGGCTTGCCTGACCAGTACTCTTGGTTTATGGGAATCTCCGTGTCAATGGGGTCTGTGGGTGAGCCGATGGGGATAGCCATGTTGCTCATCGAGGCGAGAAGCCAGCTGTTCGACTCTGTGCGGACAACCTCGTGGGCGCGTACTTTGGTATAGCCTATGAGTTCGATCTGGAGCATTTGTAGGTAGATGTTCTTTGTGCGTTCGCTCACATTTCTGATCAACAGCCGCAGTGGGATATCTTGATTACTAGTAAGGATCGCAGGATTCGGTAGTCGGGCATCGATGGTAACGCGTGGAGGTACTCCAGTCGTTGGTGATGTCGGAGGACTCGTATGCGAGCTCGTCCTGGTGAAGATACTCGCCCTTTTAGCTGCTGTACTCGGCGCATTCTCCAAGAACTGATGTTGTCTCCGCGCATATGCCTCCCCATCTGTGTTCCCTGGTCGCGGTGGCTCGATTGGAAGGAAGGTAAAGTTCGCAAGCGCCCTTGGGTTCTCCTTGAAAAACTGCGGCCGGTTGACCGTAACCTTGACATAATATCGAACCTCAGCCTCGCCAGGGAAGCCACTTAGAGACGGTGGGAGCGTCCCCTTAACATGTTGTGTGGGCGCTTTGGCAAACTCGGGCATCGCATTTGAGAAGGAAACGTTTGTAATAGGATTTGTAGCCTGTGGACACGAGGCGTTGATAGGAATCTGTCACCACCATCAGCCTCGTACACTCTCTACCAATATTCCTGACTCACCCTGAACTGAAACGGATACTCGTACGACCCCGCGTTGATCAAGAAGCTGGCCTTGGGGTTCGCGAGCAAGTCCTCCTGGCGCATATTCGCAGGCCACACTACCTGTGTCTTGTACAGGACTTTGTGGACTTCTAGAACTGGTCTTTGCCTGCTGTCTCTTCTGTCCGGCCGCAATTCTGTCATCAACCGTGTTCTCGATTCGCCTTCGAGCTTCACTATGATGCTGCTGACATTTGTAGGATTAGGCACCCGCAGAGACACTCTCCCCTGTATGACATCGAGGTTTGTGTAGTGCTCATGCGGATGGTCGAGAGCTATTGTGACAAGCATCGCGATCGAATGTGTGGGTTTGGCGAAGACGTTGGGCTGTTCTTATGCAGGAGATATGGTGGATTTTGTGGATGTGTGGTCGCGGGTTTTGTGTAGGGCATAGGACATGACCAGATGTTTATACGAAGTCGTCGAGTCGGTGACTTTTCGTCGGCCTTAGTGAACCGTAATCTAAGTCCCTCAATATCACGGCACAGCCCGAGAAACGCGTGTCGGCAGCGTTTGTGTGCGCCGTTGGTACAACATGTGTCGGAAATGTCAGCGGGGCAGACCAACAACTTCAAGGCTCCCGGCCCCGCAGACGTCATACGATCACCACATGGAACATATCTCAAACTACTTGCATCTCATTTAGTATTCATTGCTCTACACAACAACTGAAAAAATCAAGTATACGAGTATATTTCGGAGTCTTTTCAGCTACGAGCTCTGCACAGCCACATATTCGGCCGCTTTGCCGGGCAAAACCGTCCGCTTTCCTCCTTTGAGCACTGTTCCTCCGACAAGGCTCAGTATCTCCTCATGCCTTACATGCCATCGTACGGCTTTTGCTCGAGACTATTTATAGACACACTGCCTGTCTGTTGATTGCAGGACGGGCATACCAGGCTACAAATTCTCTTTGGCGAGCATGTCTACGTCCATGTCAGCTCCATACAGCAAGAAGGCTATGGTGGTACATACCGCATATGTCAAGGTAGAGTGCAATGGCGTTGAAACTATGTTAGTGTTAGCCATGAACCGACCGTAGCAGAGCACGCAGAGCTGCGTACTTTCTCTTGCTCCCTGTGAGCTCCCAGAAGTACCACTTCAGGCGGTTCGTCCAGTTGATCAAATCGAGATGGCTAACACCGATCAAAGTGCCCTTGTAGTCGCCCCATTGGCTTGATTCCACACTGCAAACACTCAGTACGACCTCAATCGTCTCTCCTGAGGTGTACTTACCTGACCAAACCATCGTTGTGGCCTTCAACTTTTTTGATGATCGCATGCGAAGGTGCAAACACGGACCACCGAGCAGGTTCAAGGGACGCGCCATAGGAGTAGTACTTGACATCGTCGATATCCGGGGTCTTCGCATTGAAGTTTTCTTTCATGTACCCTTGGGTGAGCTGGGAGAAGGCGCCTGTTTCGAAACCAAAGTACTCTATGACTGTGTATATTCTCTTGATATGGCGCGCTGTAGCGAAGTTAGTCGAGGACTGGGTGTGTCATCAAGAGGTCGTACGGCCAATTGTTTCGAACATGTAGTCCGCAAATGCTGAGCCACGGTGTGGTGTCGCGATCGTGGTAAGAGAGAGTACTTGAAAGTCTGTCGGACGAAGTTGACTGATCATGTAACGCGAGTCGAGACCGCTGTCGAGGTTCAGTATACTCGTTTCCAAAACGAGAAATGTAGTTTACCCCTGTCCTCAAATCAGCGGTTGTACTTTGCATTACTACTCATGTGCATCATACCATGCTGTGTCTGCTGATGGTTAGCTACAACGTCGACCCAGAACACAACATCAAGTCCAAACGTACGCGACGATATTGACCTTCTTTCCCTTCGCTTTCTTGGCTATACTCTCCGCCAACTTTGCTGCCCGGGCTTCAATGCTCCCACTCGGTGGTACAGTAGCAACAATGACTTCGATGCCGTTTGCTGCCAGAGCATCCGTTATGCCGCGCCAGTATTTCAAGCCCGGTATGAAGTGACCAACGAGGCGAAGCTCATCGAAGCCTAGTAGGCCGTGGGCGAGGACCAGGGTATGTTTCTGTGCGAGTGTCAGAAAACGCATATCAAGGTGTGATCTCGACGTACTGGAGTATCTGCAGCAAGTCAGAAAAACGCACATTACAACAGTCTACATGTGAAAATCGTTACCATATTTCTCGCGCAGCGCAGCATAGTCGTCTGTAATCTCACGGCCAGCATTTTCAATGCGCGGGTCTTCTTTGCGCCATTGCGTGCTGCTGAATTGACGGTACACTTGTGATTGCCGAAGCACACATAGTGCCGGAGAGCGAACAGTCGCTCGAGCACAAATTCGTATCATCGGGTGCAGTGCAGTGCATTATAGATTGTAGCTATGGAGTTGTGTTTTGAGCGGCGAGCACCAAAGTTACGTGACGTAACGCTCCGCGCGATGAGCATGGACAAGGGTCCGTGACCAATGCAAGTCAGGGATGAACATGTGGATCGCATTTTGAGTTAAACAAGACCTCACATCGCGGACGTTGATGTGAGTCTGAAAACGGGACAAGACTATTAAATGTTGTTGAAACGATGATGTTCGATACTCTTTCTGCGGAGGTTCAGGATTTCGATTGCAATACCGTCAACACAAGTATAGAGCTGCGGGAAGGTTTCTAGTTTCACTGAGGATATACGACTGTACATGGGAAGCGGGTGCAAAACGGAGGTAGCACATCACTCAAGGACAATTGATAATCAAGAGTTTGTGTCATTCTCGAACAGATGTTGAAGATATACAGGATGCTCCCCTCGACGTACCATGCTCTGCAGCGCAGTGTCGATCTCAAGAGCCACTTGCCCTAGCCGCTCTGCTTGTACTACTCCACGCGTGGAGCGTATCGGGATGGTGGTCGACTTTATTTCGGGGGCTCTGGCTTTGCGTTCGTTACAGCCGCGATAAGTTGGTCTACGACCGTGCTGCCCGACTTGTTGCCCAGCTCCTCAATCTCCTTCACCTTGACATCCGTGTCCTTCTTCGCATCCTCTTCCGCCTTCTCGTTGCCAGAGCTGTGCTGTATAGCTATTAGCCTCCATCGTTCACCCATGTATCCGCGATAGTCGGTGACGCACCTCCTTCTCGAATTTCTGGTACTCGTCCTCCTTCTCCTTCTTGTAGTCCTCAATCTCCTTTTGCGCCTCGTTTCGGGCGTCCTTCACTCGCTTCGTGCGGTCTTGGTAGGTTAGACATGCATCGATGAAGGTATTCGGTGGGGCTAGGTACATTCTCTTGCTGGAAGCATGTTAGCAGGCGCCTTGTTAGAGAGTGAGAAGCCTGACATACCTTGCTGAACAATCTTTTGAGCTTCACGCTCGGCCTGGACACTGTGTGAGCTAGGCAGAGGTCAGAGTGGGTTGCATGGCTTACGTCAAGCAGCGTCTGAATCCCCGCGGAGTTTTGAGCGGACTGCGATCGCATTAGTACATCGAATCATATACAGGGCCAGGATCTTCTCACCATCTTGAAGGTTGGAGGTTTGCGTGGAGATGTCTGTTATCGCAATGTTGGAAGAGCGATGATGCAGCCGCTCAGACTTGGCGACAAAAGGTGGCCCAAGCTCCTTCTGTCAAAATGTCGCTGGCTTCCGCCACAGCATTCCGCGACACAGACACAGTCCCAATTCACACACAGTAGCTGCCATGTCTCGAGCATCCCAGGTCACGCTCGCAACTACATGCGCGACCGCTATTGGTGTCGTTTTATTCGTGCATTACGCGCAAAAAGCAGACAAAGCCGTTAGCTAATCCTTGCGCTTGCTCAATGGCTCTTCCCTTTCTAATGTATGCCCACAGGCTATGCACGCTGGTGTGATTCGAGACTACGAGCAGCAGAAAGTGAAGCGTGAACGACTCGCCGACTTTGAGATGCAGCGAGCGCTGGAGGAAGAGTACAGGAAGGTTCAGACGGTCTCGGATGGAGGTGGACCAGCTGCACAGCAAGGAGGATCAGGACGATAGACCGACGACTCAATTGGAGGCCGAAGCTGCAACTGGCCAAGGACAGAAACATCACGTTGATCGAGCAATGTCACGTATAGCCGATGATCTTAGGCCACCCACTGCGCCTTGCAGGATGCATCGACGTTGGCACGACCTAGTATGCCCTGTCCGTATGGACAGTGTCAGTCAGATACAGTCTTGCGCATGAGCGTTGGGCGCGAATGTGGCTGGCAGTCATCGCGCTGTCACTCAGGAAACGCTTGGGGCAAGGCCCATTGTCGACATGTCAGCACCTACCATGGAAACCTGTCGTGTCCCGATAAGTTGCTCGACAACGTAGTGGAGATGTGGTGGCAGAGGAATGAAGACGAGCGATGGTCGTAGTGCCAGCATAGCAATGCAACTATCCTATATCGCATTGATCATTCGCATCCTCTAGCATAACAGTCTTCAAGCTTGCACACGCATGTCTCAGGTCAGCGTTGAATACGAAGACCGACGCCAACTCTATATCTAAATGGCGTTGAAGGGATTCGCGAGCCGTTGGCGCTCTGCAAGGCGTACACGAACAGACCATACGTGACAGAGAGGCAGCCCTACGACGTATCAAGATGCACAAGGGATTTCAAACGGAGATAACCTCACATTCTTTGTCCGTTCTGCGACATAACCGAAACATGCTCAGCAAGCTTCATTCGCAAACGGATCACGAACCAGGCACGTCGCAGGTCTTTAACCGACAATGTACAGCCACAACCACGGCCCTCGCCGAACGAGCAACACCTCGGCCGATAATCTCAACTTCATCGAAGATGATCGACTAGTCGGACCAACACAGAAGGTGGTTTGTCAGGCCAAGTAATTGGCCACACACGATTCTGGAAAGCTTTCTCTGTTTTGCTTGGCAGATCGACAAAATGAAGTCATCTCTCACCTTACACAGTTGGCAATGAGCGCCTTTCACGTCACGAGTAGCTTCGACTTCTGGGTCGCGGGGTAGAATTAAGAATATTTCCCGACTTTTGAGGCTGTGTGAGCCATATGATATGCTCAATCTACGTGAATTATGGGTGCGATTTCTTAGGTTTGCTTTGTAATTGGGCTCTTTGTGAAGGCGCAGATATGCACTAAGATCTTCGACCTTCTATGATTGTGGCTTTGTCGGTTAAGCTTACCGTAATTTGCCCCTGTCACTACCTTTCTATCCATGACGCAGGGTGGCCTTAGAACTTCACAAGTTAATAAAGACCGCCTCGTCCACCCTTGTAGTAGACTTCATACCAAACCAACACCTACAAAGAATCAGCAATCCTAGCCAAGCATTTGAAGCTTGCTAATACAAACCTTGCCATATAAACTTACTGGTCCATTAACTTCTACTACCACTACAACACTCGACTGATCCACCACCCTTCTACGTCAACTCTACATCCTCACCATGAAGGTGTCACAACTCCTCACATACGTCGCCATCGCGACACAAACCATCACCGCCGCATCCATACCCAACACAAACGCGCTCAGTGTCCTCTCAGAACGCGCCGACAACACACCGCTTTCCTCCGCCATCCTCTCCCCAGAACACGCCCTCACAAAACGAAAGGGCGGCGGCGGCCGAGCAGGCGGTAGTTCCTCAGGCGGCACTTCCTCAGGCGGCAGCACTAGTTCCTCCGGCAGCGGACGCACAAGCGGCACTTCTTCCAGCGGCGGCTCAACAAGCGCAGGCTCGGGCGCAGCGCGCTCCTACGGCGGCGGCGGCTACTATGGCGGCGGCGCGGCGGTGCCCTACAGCGCGGGATCTCGCACACCCAAGGGCCTCCTCGCCGGCGCGCTAATCGCGCCCGTCGTGCTTCTCGCCATCATGCCCGGCCTCTGGCTATACAACACCTACCCGTACTACTACAACAACCCGTACCGCTTCAACAACCAGACACAGACCAACGCCAACAACCCCAATGGCACAAACACCACGCTGCCCGTTATGTGCTTGTGCCAGGAGTACAGCGTCTGTGGGTGCGACGAGAATGACGATCAGCAGTATATTAATTCTCTGGTGGGCAATGGGAGTTATGCTGCGTTGAATAAGCAGGTTGTTACGGTGTCGGATGTTAATGGCACGCAGACGCTTGTGCTTAATGGTACGCTGGCTAATGGTACTACGGCGCCGGGTGGATCGGATAGCGCTGGTGTGTCGCTTTCTGCGGGCAAGTACTCTGGGTACTGGGTTATGGGGCTTGTCGTGCTCTACACTGTTCTTGCCTAAGATGTTTTATTCGGAGGCAGGTTGGGGTGGGACGCATCACTTTCATGAGTTTATTGTTCGACAGTGTCATGAACACTGCGACATACTAGGCGTTCACGGGGCAATGGGCGGCTGGGCGCACTATTGGATATACCCCGATTGTTCTTTTCTTTTTTCCTTTGCGATGGTACAACCATAGATAGCGATACCAATCAATACGTTGACTAAATCTGACATGATCTTCTCTGTTGTCGTGATATCATGCATGTCTCCCACCCCACTTCATCTCTCACATAATGTACCCAAGACTGCTCAGTCACTACTCTCCCCCCAGCATATCCGCGACCCTCCTCTTCCTCCCCCTCCTCCCCCGCCCTTCAACACTCGAAATCCCCGCAAGCGGAAAAACATACGTCCCCATCTCCCCACCCTTAAAGTCAAACACGCCATTCACCCACCCATAACTCCTCAGCACATTATCCCGCCCATCCACCTCACCCCCCGAAAAAGGCCCCACATCAATACTCGCCAACCGCTGCATACCATGGTCCCGCCACCCATTATCCCAGCTAGTAAACACGTACGACGGCCCCGCGCCATCACCACTGCTCTGTCCTCCGACCCACCCATCCGCGCGCAGGGGCTCAATGACAATCGCAGACGGGGGCGCGCAGTCAGGCTCCCCGACTAAGCGTGCGAAGCACAGATCGCGGCCGACGAGCAGGGCGCGAACGATGCCGAGCATCATGTCCAGGACGTAGGACGTGGCGGGCTTTTCCGACCGGCGCAGTGTGCGATCGAGATCGAGGTTGTGGTTTAGGAAGTCTGATAGCGGGCTGTTTGGGCCGAAGTACTCGTCTAGGTTCTTGATGAGGACGAGGATTACCACATCGGCGAGGGGGGCGAGGGTCCTTCCCGGATGGGGCTTTAAATTTGGGTGTTTGGCGAAGGGTTCGAGGAGTTTGCGGTCGGTGTCGGTTACTTTTAGGGGGTTTGGTGTGTTGGGATTATCGTATGCGACGAGTTTGTACAGGAAGCCTTTTACTTCGATACCGCGGTGTGTGATTTTGGGCGAGTTGAAGCGGCAGTGATCGATGTACGTTTGGCTCATTCTGGGTATCGGGGCGTTGAATTTGTACTGCACTTTCTTGAGGTAGTCTTGTAGTGTGTATTTCATGATGTCGTTTTCGTTGAGGGGGATGTCGGTTCTTAGGATCTCGCCGTTGAGTACGATCAGGGCTAGGAGGATGGCTGATAGACTGTAGTCGCGCTTTACGAGGGGGGAGTTTGGGGTGACGTCGAGGCGTGTTGAAAATTTCGCGGCGTTGGCCATGATGGATATTCTATCCTCCATATTCTGTAGAGAGCGGTTATGTATATCGGCGAATATACTGAATGTACTGCTTGGATAGATGGACTCGTTATAGCAGTTCATCGTTTGCGTTTGGATTGTCTTGCAACCGTATGTATTACCTTCTGCCCACGAACGCATTTTGTGCGTGATTGTAGGGTCCAGCTCCGTCTTGTGTGACTCCTTGTTCGATATGTTGTATTGCTTCAACCTCGACAGCATCTCGTTGTTGGGCCACTGGGACTCATTCTCACCATTCGCCAAGCAGAACATGGTGACGGATTGCCGAAGATCAGAAAGTTTGATCCGAAGATTACCTGGGAGCGTTCCAAATTCATACGATAGACCTTCCGTCTCAACATGACTCGAGTGAGGAATGAAGATAACCATTCTGTCCGAGGCCAAGTGATCCTCTTGGAAGATCCAACCGCGCGACCATCGCGGATCGTTCAGTATTTGAAGAATAAGCATTTGGGTTTCCATGATCCTCGTGCCGAGGCCGTGCTTGTATTGTGGTGCTTCATTGTCTTTTGGATTTTCAAAGATGGATCTGGACAAGAGCTCGTTGAGTATGACGACATCTTTGTGATGCATGAGTGGAATGGTGAGTAGCCCCAGCGACCAGGTACTCCCCCCATAAACCTCATCCATGATCTGAATTCCTAGCCTGCGATCATTATCATCTTCCTGGTAGATGCATTCCTTGTCGATCCAGAGTTTGTCAATCTCGTGAAACTGAGCAAACATAATCACTCGTTCTAGATAATGATCGGGAAACTCGCTCTTGCGTGCGGGTTGGCCCGATCGCTGGATCCGGTAATCGAAGCTCTCTCTAACATCGTAACCCCATGGCGGTGACTGTTCGCCGCTTTTGATCCACTTCCAGGATACAGCAACATATTGTGTTTCACCGTCATCTTCTCCCTGTTCCCTGAGGGGAAGAACAAGCAACGGTTTCTCTCTGTCACAGGTCGACTTGGTGTTTTTACTGTACTTGACGAGTAGTCCATCATCGCTTTGCGTCAAATCTGGGACGCTAGAGATATCTATGAATCGCAAACGTTGCACCCACCGCTCCGAGTCATCGCGATTAACCTTGTGTCTTTGAATATCGATCAGCTGATCCAGGAGGGCAGAAATGCTTTCTTTGAAGATTACTCCAAAGGTTTCGTCGAGATCGTACTTCATCACTGGTGGCGGGCAAAGGCGGTGAATATAGGCGTTGTGGTGATGGCACGGAAGGAACGCGTTGGATTGGCGCGTTTACGCGTCTACGCGTTCACACGTGCACAACTTCCATTTTCAACAAGTGGACCACATCACGTCTGCTTCTCTACACATCGTCGTTCAGGTCAATGGATGCTGAGAATAGGATGGCACTCGACTCGACATGGGATTTTCCCATTTTCAGATAGACGAGGAGGATATGCAGGTTTCACCTGTTCAAGACTGAGACGCAGATTACTTTTCTCTTGAAGCGAGGCGTCATGGCGTTAGTCTGGAGTATGGAGACGATTGATCATAGATAGGCAGGGCTGGAACGCCCCTATTCGAGATGCTCTGCTTCCGAAACTTGATGACTTGGGGCTTCTTCCAGTGAGCTGACGGTGTGGAGGGGGCAAAGGCGCCGGCTGCGCGGCCTGGAACGCTTGTGCACATTCCTGGTCTCCCCGAACATGGCAGCGTTGGAGGCCTGTCACGAGATGCAGCCGTCAGTGGTAGTAAAAGACGAAAGCGTACAGTAGGACACAATGATGGATGCAGCGAGAGACAAAGGCGTGCAGCGACTGCAACGAGGTGTGGCACAGCATAAGGTTTCCGTGGGAGGAAATTGGTGGGCCGCGGATTGGATGGAGGGATGAGGCAGGACATGGAAGAAGGAAGCGGCAACTGCGCTGGAACGCTACGACGAGCCAAACCGAATGACTGCCACACGGGCCTTCTCCAACAGGAACATCAACCCTTGTGTGCCTGGCCCTGCGAGAGAGACGAGGCCCGCCCGATAGAAATGCAAAAGCCCGTCTCGCAGTCGCTGGCGAAAAGTCGCTGGTGAGGAAGTTCAGATGGAGGATGCCCGTTTGGGCCTCGCGCGGTCGGGAAGAAGTAGGCTTCACCTCCAGAACAACTCCCTTGCCTGCCATGAGTCCAAACGATGCGCGCCGAATTAGCGAAGTGCGCAAACCCAACGGCCCCAGCGGCGGCTGGCTTTGGGTCCAACTCGCACCACGCTTCTCTCTCCCCTTGCCATCCACGCCGTCCACGCCGTCTGCCCTGCCCTGACTGCCATCTCGCATCGCCTGCACCATTGTTGGCCGAGTCGGAGGAAGCAGTGTCAGCGGTCACGGGCTAGCCAGAAAAGCCAAAAGTGCATTCATCACCTTGCTGAGAAGCGCCCTGCCCAGTCACGACACACATTGCCAGCCCCAGGCCTGCCCACGCACGCCTGCACCCATCGCCCGCCCATCGCGACACGACGTCGCCGACGCCCTGTTGCACCGCCAAAATGTCGACGACTGCGAAGCCGGCCAAGACCAAGACGGTCGTCCTCAGGCTCTCACCCGAGGCCCTGTCCAAGTTTCCATCAGCCACGCCCTCGCAGTCATCCAAGCCCAACTCGTCACCCCCAGAGACTGCACCCCAGATCGTTCTCGAGCCACCATCGGCCGACGCTCCCGCCGACTCGACACCTGCCGTCGAGGGCCCCAGCACACCCTCATCACTCGCGCCACCAGCAACAGACGCAGGGAGCAAGCGGAAGGGGCCCAAGCCTGCCGTCAAGCGCAATGCTGCCGCCATGGAAGGCACACCAAAAGCGCGCGGCAGACCAGGACCCAAGAAGAAGCAGAAGCTGTAAGTGCTCCTACCCATCCTGGAAGAAGTATGCAGAGGTGTTCAAGCGACTGTGATTCTGCTGGCTTTGTGTCTCGAGAATACTCTTGCGTCAACACACTCATACGCCTACACTATCACACGACCACGCGCTAACACACTCCAGTGGTGACATGATCAACGATCCAAACAACAAGAGTCCCTTTGCAGCTGCAACTCCCCTCGCGAAACTCGGTCCCAAGGCGAACCAAGGCGCCATCAATGCCGGCCTTCGCGCCCTCGACCGCACTGGGAAATTCAAGTGCCGCAAGTGGGAGAAGAAGGGTTTCCAACTGCGCAGCTTCACTGGCGTGGTGTGGGAGGCCCCCAGCTGGCGAGCACCCAACCGCGGTGATGCCTTCTCCGAGGATGTCAAGAGCGATACCACCGGGTCAAGCGATCCGAAAGTAAAGGACGAGAGCAGTGCTGTCAGCGACAAGAGTGGCGCCATTGGGGACCGCACATCACTACCGCCCTTGAACCACGCCACGACGAATTCACAAATTCTCCCTGCTACCCCTTCGTAGCCGGCATGTCGTCATTGTGTCTTCGCAATTTGCTATGCTACCCTGCAACGGACTCGAACGCAACCAGAGCCTGCGCAACTAGTTATTAGAAGCAAGGCTTGCGGTGCATGACGTCCACGTCCCTGCTATTTGCACTTTCTCAAAAGCCCACTCGGCATGGTTCGATCAGATGGGCCCATGTCACGTCTCTGCAATATGTCTCGTTTGTTCATTTCTTGCTACTTGTCTTTTTACAACAATATTTGCAAAGCATGTCTGGCGTTTAGGAAGCGAAGTGTGTAATTGTCTAGATGGAAGCGTAGTCTTTGGCGTCTGGATAGGATGGAGTCAAGGGCAGAATAGTTTGTTGATGTTGGCTGGGATTGTATGCTATCTGGATACAGCACATCAGCGACCAGCGAACAGCAAACAGCGAACAGAGATCAGATGAATCACAAACACAAGCAATGCAAAGTGACTTGAGGCATGGGGTGGTGTTATTTGTGGAGTGTGTGGTACTGGCGTGATAGCGTTATCGTTTGGGGTGAGGTCCCCGCATGAGTTCGGTTCAACTCTGGACGTGCGTGCTACCTACGACCTAGACCGTCCAGGACGTCCAGCACTCCAGCTCTCCACATTGTCCCATAATCGTGCCAGAATGATGAATGTCCGTCGTTGATCCCCAGTCCTGCCACGTGCGCCTGCCAACTCGGCGAGTTTGGTTCCCGGTGTCAGTACTTGGGGCGCCTGCTCAACCACGGTTGCCAGCTCGAACGGTTCTAGTACTACGCCAACGGGCTCCAACACTGCCGTTGCTTCAGACGCCGCCCTGGCCCAGGCTTCATCGCTGCACCCCGCTCGCTTGCTATGTACAGACGAGAGTCGTGGGCGCGTGTTGCGGCCGGCAACGCGAACAGCAGCCAGTCCAACAACCCCACACCCACCCGCTCCGGCGTCTTCTCGCAGCTCGCCGGCAACGCGACGCCGCACGCTGTAGGTCACTCCCGCCACTCGCGCTCCATCGACGCCGACGGGCACGGCAACAGCATGTCTACCAGCTTTGGAAGGAACGGGCAGCTGGCCTCGTACTCGAGCCAGACGGGCTACTGGCATGGCCTGGGCGGCGGCGCCCAAGACGTCCCCCCGTTCTTCGTGCCCTCGTACCTGCGCGGGTCCAAGCACGCCGAGAAGCTGCACGAGGCGCACAAGGCGAAGCTGGCGGCGCAGCGCGAGTACCGCTCGACGCACTCGTCCAACACGGGCTCGCTGTCGACGAGCGCGAGCAGCGTCAACCTGCACAAGATGGCGCCCTCGCACCGGGGCTTGACGCATGAGATCATAGAACGGGCGCCCGTCTTTGTGGACGAGCCCGTGGCGCCGTGGCCGACGAGGTGGAACGACGGGGACAAGTTCGCCCAGATGGAACTCGACGACGGCGGCCGACAGGCCAAGTTCTCGGGCGCCCAGAAGTCGCACGACGAGGCGGCGGCGGTGCGCGCAGACTTTCCCATGCCGCGGCAGTGTGGCATATATTACTACGAGGTGACGGTCATGTCGAAGGGCAAGGACGGGTAGGCACTGTCTCAGCATAGCGAGATTCTGGGCTAACGGCTTCCTAGACGAATGATTGGCGTCGGTTTCGCAGGACCCAAAGTTGCCTTGAGCCGCATACCAGGCTGGGAGCCGGATTCATACGCATACCACGGCGATGACGGGCAGATCTTCAGCAACACAACGTCGGGCAAGACGTACGGGGAGAAGTTTGGCACGCTCGACGTCATAGGTTGTGGAATCAACTTCAGGAACAACACTGCCTTTTTCACCAAAAATGGCCGACATCTGGGTTAGTGGACATCTTGCCAAAAACACGACCAAGACTAATCAGCGCAGGCACCGCCTTCCGAGACCTGAAGCCAAACACGCCATACTATCCGACTGTCGGTATGAAGAAACCCGGCGAGACGCTCAAGGCCAACTTCGGCCAAGAACCCTTCCATTTCGACATAGACAGGATGGTCAACAGCGAGAAGGCAGCCATAAAGGCGGAGATTGCCCTCTCGAAACCCGCCCCGAATGCTCAAATACCCGCAGACGAATCTCAGTTCATTCACCAGTTGGTGAGCCAGTATCTGGCGCATGACGGATACGTTGACACAGCACGAGCTTTCGCAGAAGAGATTACGGATGAGGCAAGAGCACTTGCAAATGATGAAAGCAACAGCATGCCCTACCCAGAAGCAGTGGAGGATCTGGATGCGCTCAATCGGCAAAGTACGTCTTGCCGTCATCCTTTGCCCCACAGTGTGCTGACCACTTTCCAGAAATACGCTCAGCAATTCTTCAAGGTGACATTGACAAAGCGCTTAAGCATACCTCTGCATACTATCCTTCAGTCCTTCGTGACAATGAGAACATCTACTTCAAGCTTCGCTGCCGGAAGTTCATCGAGATGATACGGCGATCGAATGAGCTGAGAGAACAGAGTCACTCAGTGCCCACACCACTATCGAAACGCTCGGCTGCCTCGAACCCCATCAACCGAAACTCCGCAATCGACGACTATGATTTTGAAATGGAATTGGATGACCAGTTGAACCCTAGTTGGGACAATCAAGATCAGAACGACGATATGGACGATGAAGATGATATGGAGGACATGCAAGCAAAAGTACAGCAACAAGAGAACGAGACTTTGACGTACGGCCAAGAGCTTCAAGCCGAGTTTGCCAACGATCCGAGACGAGAAGTCCAAAGAGCACTTCGAGATACGTTCGCGCTTATAGCGTACGAGAACGTCAAGCAGAGCACTTTGGCGCCGCTGTTGGATGTTGCTGGCCGTGTACCGGTCGCGGAGGAGTTGAACAGCGCCATACTAGGTACGTCACATGTAGTGTTTGTGGAGAGTTTGACGTAAACAAATGCTGACCCTCATCCCAGTAAGTCTCGGCAAATCTTCTTCCGCAGCCCTGGAACGCCTCGTCCAGCAAACAGAAGCCCTCGTCGCCGAGCTCGCCACCGACGGTGGACCTGGCGCCTTCATAAACGTGCGAAGGGATTTTCTACAGTAGAACCTTGAGAACTCCCCAAATATCTTGTTACATCACATTCCACGCAATATTATCCTGGATATCAAGATCCAGCATGGCACCGAGGTCGCGTCGAATACGTGGGCATTGATGTGTTTCTACTGGGCTACGGGACCCGAGGTTTAGCATGATCTCGGTCTGCAATACAAGGATCCGCTAGAGGCTGCGCGGAGATTCAAGATGGCGAGAGACGAGGGTTCGACGGATGAGTGGTTTGTGCAGGTGGTGTTTGGATTACAGAGGTTTGCGGCTGGGCGGTAAATTCTACTCTATCATTGAGAGCATGGGGTGTTAGGGACGGATTGGGAATTCGATTGGGCTACGGCATTATTGTCTCCTCGGATGGAGGTACTTGGGTTGAGGGGTTGGGTTGAGAGACGCGTGGTGTATATTTGATTGCGTGTATCAGGGTAGGATGGAGAATCACATTCATATTTCATCGAGAGGCCTGGGTGAAATTCAGCATACGGCGCCTTTGTGATTGTGAGTCAACCATACAACGACCGTGTAACCATTTAGCTCTCTAAGCGCATATCTTGTCTTGGTCAGATTGACTGTGTGACAGGTTGTAGCTCCTTGCATCACGTGGAACTGTGATGAATAGCGTTAGCGCGGCGCCATCCGAGCTTCACCTTCGTTTGTCAATTGTGAGAGCGCTCTGGATGTCACTCTCCACAAACAAATTAAACATCCACAATGATACTTCGGAGCTCCATGCGGTTGAGGTGCAGTTCACCAGTACTCAACCCTGCGGTCCGGTCGCGATTATCCCTTGCTGCAGCGGGGAGTCGTACACTGATTCGGCCACGTACAGCGACTCCACGCCTCGCCCCGAGCCGCAACCAAAGTACACGATCACGTGTCTTGGAAACCTCCCCCAACATCTCGACTTTATCGCGAAATGGCCGTCCAGCCCCCACAGTTCTACACTCTGCCTTCCCCACCAAGACCGCCATCTTCCTCCTTCTTATCGGTGGCCTCGCATACTACTTCGTAGACATCCGCGAGCGGGATTGGATGGACGATGCGCTCGACTGCTACTCACAGGATCAATTGGAACCTTCGCCTCTGGTTTTCATCCATAACAAGGATGAGTTGGACCATTGGATGCAGTTCCATATTCCGGATGAGAGCTCGCCTTTGAAGCACCCTGATGTGGCGCAGTATCTCAGTGAGCAGTTTGATAAGTTGGCGGGTGGGTGGATGATGAATGAGGAGGAGGCGAGGAGGGATGGCATGCCGGTTACGCATGGGTGTCGGTTTCGGAGTAATGAACCTTGTGTAAGTGATGTTCTGGGGTTTTTTGGTTGATGCTGTGTTCATTTCTGTATATCATGACCTACTCACTGCAGTTCATGTCAATTCGTCTCAGGGCGATTTATACTTCCTTCCAAGACCACAACTAACACACTATAGGAAGACTACCATGCTCTGGGCACCGCCCCTGGCCCGGGTCAAAAACCATGGAACTACTGGTCTGTCTACGACGGCCACGCCGGCCGCCTCACAGCTTTCTTTCTTCAAACAGCACTCATCCCCCACCTCTCCTCCGCCCTGATCTCCCTCCCATCCTCTTCCCCTTCTTTCCAAATAGAAAACGCTATCAAGGAAACCTTCCTGAAAGTCGACAAGCACATCATGACCACCGCACGCACAGCCGCAAACTGGTTTCCCGCCGCCAACGCAGCAGCAATAGCCGCTCTATCCCCTGCATTCTCCGGCTCCTGTGCACTGCTCGCCGCGTTTGACCCAGAAAAAGACGTTCTACGCGTAGCATGCACAGGAGACTCCCGCGCCGTGCTAGGCCGCTGGGACGAAGCAACGCAAGCCTACACCGCAATCCCCCTCTCCATCGACCAAACCGGCTTCAACGAAGCAGAAGTCAGCCGCCTCGCCGCCCTCCACCCCGACGAACCAGACATCATCGACCCCAAATCCGGCCGTCTAATGGGCATAGCAGTGACGCGAGCCTTCGGCGACCACCGCTGGAAATGGGACAACGAATTCATCAAAACGCTGCAATACAAGTTCTGGGGCTCGGCGCCGCGCCCGGGCTCAAAAACACCCCCGTACATGACCGCCGAGCCAGAAGTCACTGAGACGACCGTCGTGCGCGCCCCGCACGGCAAACGCGGTAGCGACTTCATGATCATGGCGTCTGACGGCCTGTGGGACCGCATCTCGTCCGACCACGCCGTCGAATGTGTATCGCGCTTCCTCGCCGCTAAACACCGCGGCGCTGGATCCGTCAAGGCCGACCCCGTGCTGCTCGCCCGCCCCCCGATCTACAACACCACGTCCCTCGACCCCGGCGTGACTGTTGATGTCGAGGCGGGCAAGGAGGTCGACTGGCAGGCTGAGCCGCAGTACTTTGCTATCGAGGATGAGAATGCGGCGGTTTGTTTGGCGCGCAATGCTATGGGTGGGACGAGGCGCGGCTTGTTCCTCGGGATTTTGAGCGTGCCGCCGCCGATGAGTAGGAATGTTGTGGATGATACGACGGTTATGGTGGTGTTTTTCGATCGCGTTGGTGAGGCGGGGCAGAAGACTGGTGAGAATAGGGGGGAGAAGCGGAGTGAGAAGAGGTGGTGGATGCCTTGGTGAGGAGTCGTCTTGATGCGGAAAAGTATTTCCCTCCCTTTTGGGCGGTGTTGGAGTGGCTATATCATCGAGTTTCGCGGCTTGTTTTGCAAATTTCGCACTAGTGAGTGAATGCATGAATGCATGAATGCATCAATCAAGAATTCGTGTAATAGGGTAACCATCCACTCCACAACCCACCCCCTCCAAACCTCACACCCTTACCGTTCCTCAAACCCCCCACCTCTTCGCCTCCCCATCCCCCTCCCCCCTAATCAAGAAATTCAGCTTCCGGATCTCCGTCCAGCGACTCAACCCCCCCAGCTCAAGCACACTCATCCTGCGCATCTTGCCGCTCGGATTCCCAATAACCACCGCCTTCCAATCCGCCCCGCGCCCCGCCTTCTCCAAGTCCTTGAACTGCTCCCACGCCGCGGTATCCCTGCGCGTGCCAAACGTGTGGTTGGGAATGACCTGGACCTGTCTGAAGCGCCAGAGTACAGCGGTGAGCAGAACCGTCAGGCCGAGGAGGATACCGGCCGTGACGCCCGTGGACGCCATAGCGCCGATATTGCGCGTCATGATGCCGCCGACTTCCGTGGCGATGGCGGCGCCGAGGAAAGCCAGTGTTTGGCTGGCGAAGATGCCGGCTGTGACGCGGGGGAAGGACGAGTAGTTTGTGCGGCGGCGCCGGTCTTGGACTGCCATTGAGACGAGGCGGTGCCGCGTGTTGACGCCGGGCTGCAGGTCGCATGTGTCGAATGTCTCCATCATTAGGCCGTGGCACTCTGCGATGGCGAGGTTGCTGAAGAAGCCTACGCCGCCGGCGAATACGATGGGTACCATGTAGGGTCGTGGACGGCCGGCGGAAGAGACCGTGTATGCGAGGCCCATGAGCGGCAGGGTGAGCGTGAAGAGCGCGCGCCGCACGAGATGCGAGGACCAGGTCACTTGTTTCTGGAACGTCATGCTGTCTGTTCTGAAGGCGCGTTTGCGCTCGCGGGAGAAGATGCCCGCCTTGGTCAGGGGGATGGCGAGAAACGCACCGATGGCAATGGATGTTACGCCTGCGCCTACGAAGTGTGGCTGCCACCTATAGGAGCGAGAGAGGAGCGCGCCGAGGAGTACAATGACCAGCACGATTTGCGCGTATATCCATGCGAGGTATAGGGCTAGGATGAAGAAACCGGGCTGGCACATCATCATGAGCATGAGTTTCATGCCCGCCCACACCTCTTCGAACCAGTACAACGGGCCCTCCGTAGAAACATGTAGTTTGATCTCGCCGCGAGATACACGCCGGGTGATGTAATTCTCGTCTCTGTCGTAGACCTCCGTGACAGACTTGCGATACGCAGCACGCCGTGTCTCCGGGGCAATGATATTGAGAACGAGCGCACCTGCTAGGATTATCGTCACGACGTAGAACCCCCATGCTGGATTATGGTTCTGGATAATCGAAGCACCGATCTGGAAGCCCATGGCGAGTGAGCCGATCCAGCACCATGACCAGATCCCCAGCCACATGCCCATGCCCCCGCCGTGCCGGCGCACGTCGTTTGCCACGACGAACTCTTGGTGCGGGTGCGTGCTCTGCAGGGAGGCACCGAACAGGTCGAGGAGCACGGTGATGTAGTTTACATTGGCGAAGCCGAGGACGAGGCCTGATGCGGCACGAGCGCATAGTAAACCAGTTCGGAAGGTCGCGTTGGTTGGAGATCTTTTAGCGCTGACGACAATTGCCTGGGGAAACTGTAGGGGCAAGGCAAGAGCCAGAGCTGCTAGGACGTAGGGTTTGCGTCCGTGGAGCAGTGGCAGCGGCCAGGCGATGAAAGTCGATATAGCGAGTCCGAGATAGAGTCTACGCACAGTGAGCTGCAAACATGCTTTGTCTTTGAGTATTGCTTACACAACATTACCCAAGATGACATGGTGTCTTTCGTCTGCGAGATAGTACTGGATGCGCGGAACTTCGCCAGCCTGTACAATGTCAGACAAGGCAGACCACTCCGGGATATGGGTTTCTTGCATAAACACCAATGATGATGCCCAGTAAAGCCGTGTTGACACACGCAATCGACGCAGTGAAGCGCTTCTTCCCCGTAGACCAATTCCTCGCAATTGGCTGTCTGCGATGGTGTCGTCGCAGACTAAAAGTATGGTGGTGAGCTTGTTCCCGTACACGCAGTTCGCCACCATAGCTTTTGGCAAGAGGAGCCTCGTCGTCAAACGACATATCCACACGCCCTAAGCTCGAAGACCTTGCCCTCCGATGCCGTGATCTGTCACCATTGTCCAAACTTCTATGACGTCGGTGTCTGTGGCCGCGAGTCTCACCTACAAGCCGCCGGCGTGAACGGCCGCGCGACTCGTCTCGGTGGATGGGACGGAGCACGAAATCTACATGCTCTCTTCGTGCGGGTTGGGCTTGTTTTGGCGGAAGAAGTAAGTCGCTTCCCGTACTGAACTTCGACCCGCCCCCATCTTTGGACCTATCACTACTCGAGGACGAGGAAGTGGACGTTTCTCGGAATCGAAGCTTGGGGGGTGGGTAAGCCCAGTCGAGAGATGCTGAATCGCCGTGTGGGACAACGTGAGGTTTCAGACCAATTGGATGATTTGGCGTGTTTCTTTGGACTAGAGCTGGCTGATGAGGTGGGCGTTTGCTGGACTTTGAGGCATTCGGGTATCCGCCATATGAGCTTTGCGATGAAGACGTAGACACTATCCCTTCATCACTGGAGGATTCCGACGCTGCGAGCGGGGAGACGGTAGTCATAAGATGTCTTGCGGGCTCGCCAGATGCTTCTTGGATAGCATCTCTTGCGTCTTCGATGATCTCGTAGATTTCCTCCACCTGACCTCGGTCTGTAGTATCTTGTGCAATGTCAACGGCTTCTTGCACCATGTCTTCCAATCCCTCAATGGCATTGCTGATTTTCCTGTTTCCTGCCCTCTCAAAGACACTACGACCCGGGACTGGTTGCGTTGGAGACACCTGAACCCTCGAGACAACCTCGGGTGTCATTACCACATGGCGTTGCAGAGGTATACGGATCGATTCAGGCGTGATCGATCGCTGGAGGTGATCTGGCACTGGCGCAAGACTGTCTGCGCGAGGACGAAACCTGCCAGGGACGCTTTTCTCAGGCTCTTCCTCGGCGTAGTGTACGATCGAGAGTCTCTTCTGTGGCTCTCGAGCTTTCGAAGGCTTCGCTGCCTTCCGTGCGAGAGATTCCCGTCGTATCTGGGATATTCGATGCCTCGTAACAGGCGATGGACTACTGTTACTTATTGACACAGCATTGCGCTCGGTTGGGCTGATCAACGATTTTCTACGCAGGGCAGGTATCGTGCCGCCAGGGCGAACAGTCGGGTCTGCTTTGAAGGAGGTTGTAGTAGTACGTTTTGGTATTGTTGGAATGGGGCGTTTGCGACTAGGCGAATATGTGGTGGACGACGGAGTATCTGTCTGTAGAACGCTGTCTGGCGAAGCAGCGAACAGGTGTGAGGATTTGCCATCTAGCCAAGGAAGTTTCTTCGGCATCGTCTTGGGCGCTACATTCTTTCTTTCCGCAGGCCTCACCGTCTTCGAGCGCGTAGTTGGATATTTGATTTCGGTGTCGATACCTCCCGCCATCGTTGTCGCGCGATCGTTACGGTGAGGTGTAACAATCTGCGCTGGCGATTAGGTTTCTATGTAAAAGTACGTATACGCAGTTCTGCTATGTGTTGCTGCAGAGCGGATGAGTAATATGAGGAGGTGGTTGAGGTTGATCGATTCACAAGGTGAGGCACAAAGAAATGTAGGAGGCGACCAGCTTCGTGTATTACGCGGATGTGCAAATAGCACACAGATCTCAAGGTAGGGGAAGCTGGTCGCAAAAGAGGTGAGATAAAAAGGATAGGCGACGAGGGACGTATGAATTTGGCGTCGTAGCAAAGATAGATAAGTTGGAGTTCGGTACGTTTGTTTGCACCACGTGTGCTGCAATTGCCCCTTCCTCGGCAACACTAGCTTTTCGAGCTTTGGCAGTCTCAATTCGTGTCTCTTCCAACGGCAGTTCCAGCTTACAGACGACATAGAGTATCAAGGCCATACCGACATCAATGATACACTATAGCTGATCTTCAGGTCAAGCATTGATGGCTTGGAGCACGGTCGCTGTCATGGCAAGAACCTTTTCCTCTTCCAGTCTGTTCGCAATAAGCCTGTGTAAAGAGATTAGCAGACATCCCTCGTTAGATATAAACAACATATACATACTGCAAACTGACAGGCATTCCGTGTACGAGCTCAGCGTCATCTGTCAAGGGTAAGCTGTTTGATGCATGTGCGACGATAAACTAAGGTCCCGACTTACAGCTATCTCGAGTAGCTTGACAGAACGTGGTCTGGGATTTGTAATCGGCAGCAGGCTTGTCCTTGGCTTTGTCGACAACGACTCCACATGGGAAAGATACGGCAGAGTAGTCGACGATATTGTAGACCCCGGTATATCCGACGTATTTGAAGTGCTCGTGTGGCACACTTGCGTATGGTGTCGTGGGCGCTATAATACGTTCAGAACACTCTTACATGTAAGTATGCATCCGACTTACCTAATATGGCGTCAAGACCACCGTACGACATCCACTGCTCGAGGTACTGCCTCTGCACCTCAGACCGCTCCAGATGTAGCTGCCATAAGCCATGAACGCCCAATTCCTTTGCGTCTTTATACTGCACCATTTCCGGGCGGTACGGTTCTCCAGTTGGCGTTAGTAATGTCTCGATACTCTTTCCGCCGTCTGCAACAAAGAAGCGTCCCTATCACACTTGATTAGTGATGTCTCACAACACCGCGTAAAAGTCATACCAAAAGTTCCAAGGCTTTAGCATGGTGCTCAGGGTCCCACTGGACGATGTCGTGGCCAGCCTGCTTCAACTTCTCCACAGTCTCCTTCAAAGCTCTCGTCACTGGTGGTGTGGGTAAACAGATCCCGTCGTTCCATAAGACAGCAATCTTCAGTTTCGTCTTGAGTTCTACTTGTCGCCAGGGTATTGGCAGCATCTTTGGGTCAACAAGCCATGGCTGTGCGTCGACGATCACTTTCGAGTACATCGCAATATCTTCAAGGGTCTTCCCCATTGGCCCGTTTACACTATGAACGGCTTCCTGTCCTGCTAAACCGGGGCGGCATCGCTGAGTAGGAAATCTACCGAAGGATGGGCGAAGAGTAAAGATACCTGTACATGCTGCTGGAATGCGCAAGCTTCCACCGATGTCAGTACCAACTCCTAACGGGCTACCACCAAAAGTGATCAGAGCTGATTCACCACCCGAGGAACCGCCTGACGTCAGCTTGCGGTTCAGTGGATTCACCGTGCGTCCGAAACAATTGTTCACTGATTCGGCCTGTGTCCTATCAGCAACTACACACTAACTCTGTCGTTTGTCTACATACAATCATCATCGCAGTCGGCACGTTTGTTTTGCAATACCGCACGGCGCCCAGCTTCTCTAGCAGATCCACCAATGTTGCATTATATTCGGCTGGCTTGTTGGCTAACGATGTAAAGCCTACTGTACTATCTTTACCAGCTACGTTGAAGTTATCTTTCAGGGATACTGGTAGACCGTGCAACGGTCCAATAACCTTCCCAGTCCGTTGCAGGTGATCGTCTAGAGATTTGGCTGTCTCTATGGCTTCGTCGAAAAAAGTGTCACTCAAACAGTTGGTCTGCCGGTTTGTTAACTACGCGTTTGGTATGCCTGCTGGTTCTTGCTGTACCAGTTGCTGGGCTGCAGCAGCGCGCTTGCAGAACGCTCGCGTCACCTCCTCCGAGCTCCATGTTTTCGACGCGACTTGCTCAAGGATCCGCGATGCAGTACTATCCGTAATCTCCAACTCTTTTGGCGCGAACCAATTCGATTCCTTGGGCCACGGTGTAACGTCAAGCTGAGAGTCTGGTGGTAGGAGGTCTTTTGGTACGCGATACTCGGTCGGAATCTGTTCCGCGAGCGCTGCGCGCTTGGACGCGGCAATCTTCTCCCAGTTCTGTTCAGACATGACGACTTGAAGTTCAACAGCACCACCCAAAGACAACAAGACACAACAAGAGATTTTCCACAAATGTTGTAGTTCAGGGGAGGGTCCTAGGTCTGAAGGTAGGCATTTCGAGCTACCGCCTCCAAGCGCTGTCTCCCGTCGCCGACTCCCCACCTTCGGCTCCCATCCGCCACTATTCGTCACCACGCTCCGTAGTTCACCCCGCACGCCATGTAACCGCAAAACCACATCCGGATGCCCAACATCGCTAACTGCAGCGTTGTCTAGGCGTCTTTGACCAATCTCGTGCTTCTGACAAGCTCTGGCATATCACCGATATCGGCACTTGACCTGCTCGTTGTGTCTATGATCTACGAGATAGCCGTTGGTGTTACATATTCCGAGTCAGCGTGGACCGGCATTACACCAGGATCCGTATCTCTTACATGCAACTCACCTTATCGTGATAGGAACACAATCTTCCGAAGAGCGTTGAACATTGACTCTGCAGCCGCCTAAAGAAAGAGCAACATCAACCTCAAGGGCCACTTTTACGAGACATTGATATATTTGTCCATTTCAAGCTTTCCACCGAAATTTCTCTCTCCGTCTCCAATCTCAAACTTGTATGTAGGCTGAAGAGAGACGCTATCGAGTTGCTGCCTTGCTATACCGCAACATCCAAGATGGCCAACAGCTTTGCTCAATATCTTCGGGGGAACCAGAATGCGCCTGGGGAACGTAAGCTGGTGATGAAACTCGACTTCTTCATTCTTACCTTTTGTTGTCTTATGTATTTTCTCAACTACCTTGATCGGACGAACTTAAACAACGCATATGTTTCTGGCATGAAGGAAGAATTGAACTTCAAAGGAAACCAACTCAATCAGATCAACACTGTCTTCACCGTTGGTTATACGATTGGACAAGTACCCTGTAACATTGCACTTTACTACGTCAAGCCCCGGTATTTCTTTCCCGCATGCATGGTAAGTCCCTTATTTGACTTGCGCCTCCTTTCGCTGACACTGCTTAGGTGGCTTGGGCCGGTTTGACTATGGCTACCGCCGCTGCCCAAAAACCTCAGGATATCATGGCTATCCGCTTCTTCCAGGCGATATTTGAGTCATCGACCTTTGTGGGAACCCACTACATCCTAGGCTCGTGGTATACAGGGTCAGAGTTAGGGAAGCGTTCGGGCATCTTCACTGCGTCAGGCCTCGCTGGAACCATGATTGGCGGTTTTATCCAAACGGGCATTCACTCCAGCATGAATGGGCTTCGCGGACTCTCGGGTTGGCGCTGGTTGTTTGTGGTTGATGGAATCATCACGCTTCCTGTCGCCTTGTACGGGTTCCTCCTCTTTCCCGATACACCAAGAAATACAAAAGCACCCTACTTATCCGCAGAAGAGAAGGCGTTGGCAATATCGCGCGTGCCTGAAGTCTCGGAACGCACGCCAATCTCCTGGACCTTCTTGAAGCATTGTTTCTCTACATGGTATTGGTACTTCTTCGTTGTCCTCTGGATTCTTGCAGGAGAGACCGAGTCTTTCAGCTCGAACGCTCTTCTACAACTGTACATGAAGTCGCATCCCACCAAGAAGTACGTGGTCTCCCAAGTCAACAACTATCCCACTGGAGTGCCAGCAGTTGGTATTGTTTCCACGTTGTTCTGGGCCACACTCACTGATTTCTTGGGTGGCAAACGATACCTTGTCGGATACTGGATCGGGCTCACGGGCGTCATCACCAGTGCCTTGATTCTTGCATATCCGCAGAACACAGCAATTCACTTCGCAATGTACTACTGGGCTGGTAGCGTATATGCCTGTCAAGCAACCTTCTTTGCGTGGGCAAACGATGTGCTTCGTTACGAAGAAGACAGTCTGCGCGCTGTAGTCATTGCCAGTATGAATATGGGCAGTAATGCAATCAACGCATGGTGGAGCATCGTCTTCTACGGAGCGAACTTCGCACCTTACTTCACCAGGGGTATGTGGGCTATGATTGCAGTCAGCATTGCTAGTAAGTTCTAAACATATGTATTCTACGTGGCTGCGTCTGACTAAATCTCAAAAGTGGCTCTCTGGACGGCATTGCTTGTATGGATGCACTCCCGTGCTGAGAAGAGAAGACAGACAGAACACGCGACTGCGATTGCGAATGGTCTAACGTCTGCGCCGCAGAAATATTTGCAGATGGACAAATTCCTGGAATCATGACAACAGAGACACGTCCGAGCTGCTTTGCTCCTTCCTCTTATAGCGTGTATAATCGTTTTAAAGAATTTCTCACCAGTGAATACTGCTGTAGAATTCTAATAATAACATGTCTAGCGCACCTTCCTCCGCAAGTAAGAAGCGAGCTCAACCGCGCCGCAGTGATACTTGCAGATAGAAAATTTTCTAGGATCTTGATAACAAAGATACGTCTGAACTGCTTTGCTCCTTCCTCTTGAAGTACACAGAGTAATGCCTCTGTAATACTTACAGTCAGGCTTTAGCCACTGAATAATCTGCAGGCAGGGTGGCCTGACGGAGTCTTCGGTCTGTTCCTAAACAAGCTACTGTATCTTTACTCTGTCAAGTTATCTTGTACTCTCGAAAATGATTTAGGGCCAAGGTTTCCCCAGTTATACGAGTTTATGTCGTACTTGAACTGTTGTCTCTGCCTTCTGATATTTGGCAACTCACCTCTCAAACTCCTACTTTGTTAATTTACCTGCCATCGCACCGTTCTACAATGAGTCAACTGCCCTTTGTCGATTGGCACTCTACAGGCTTCGCTACAAAGGAGCAGTTTAATATGATAGTCCTACGTGGTCTCGTGAAGCTTTATATCAATGTCGAAGTCGCACAAGTCAAGGGCACACACTTTGGTGAGGAATACCTACAAAAGATAAATCTGGACAGGGGAGGCAGGTATGACATGATGGATTCGATTCCAAACCTGGTTTATCAGTACTGTTTGCCCCTCATCGAAAGGTTAGCGCCACAAACGTCACTCCAGGACCTCAGCCTCGAATACTTTCTCCACACACCTGCCTACAACCTGAATCTTGTCGACGCAGGTAATGAAGATATTCGCATCGAAGGGGGAGAAGAGTGTATGTACACACCGTGTTTCAGTATCTCCCCCATGCGGACTGCCGATCTGCCTGAGCTATGCAAAGCAATCCCTCGCTTCCGCGCATGCGAAACCTGGATAGCTCGCCCTAGAGATATGGGACACTCCCTTGATTCATCTCAGGGAAGGGTTATGACAGTGGATGGGATCTTCATGTTCTTCAAGCCGCGACTTGAAATGCGTGAACCTGATTTTGAGCGCGAGCTTCAGATCTTATTACGCATCAACGAAGCTGGTCTGACAGCTCAGATTAGAGTCCCTAGACTAGAGGGTATCGTGATATCAGGCGAAAATGGGGAAACAACAATAGGCATGCTCATGACCCTAATTATCTCACCTAAGATAGGGATGCACTTGAAGAGCGAGGGCTTTTGGGGCAAATTTGAGTTGCACAAGAAGTGGGAAGAGCAAGTTATTGCTATAGTACAGGAGCTGCATGCCAACGGCATTGTATGGGGAGACGTTAATCCAATGAACGTTGTTATTGATGAGGCTATGGACGCTTGGGTTATTGATTTTGGTGGGATGAACAACATTGAGTTTGTAGACAACAGGAACCGCGAGACAGTAGAGGGTGATGAGCAGGGTATCACAAGACTCTTTCAGGAGTGGTTACCGAGCCGCCTTTCTCGTCATGAGAAAGTTTAGCAACGTAGATTAAAAGGAAGCATGAGATGGATGGAGAGCTCGAACCACGGCTGGGGTTGCCAAAGGCTGCCCGTTGCCCGGCAATCGCCCACTGACGCAGTATCTCACTTGTTAGAGGAATTCAACCAATCTCCCATGTTTCTACCGCAATAGTTACGAACAAAGAGAATGACGAATTTGCAGACCAGATTCATCATGTCGGCCGAAATAATGACAAGGTGTAAGATATACTGATAGTGACAGTAGCATGAACGATGTGTCAAAACTATAGTCATCCAAATATAAATTAATCCGAGAAACTCAGCAAGATATGAATGAACAGGACAGTCACTAATACTAAGGTTGTATACTTGGTCAAAACAACACCGAAGCCCTGCTCGGGTATCTGCTCATTTACGGCTGAAGGTCTTAAGGGTACTAAAGTCCGTCTTACATTCTGGCTGTTAACTGGTTAAGTCCGTTTTCCCAAATCGATCTCCGAAGACAAAGCCGATGTTTCCCTATGGAGATCTTCCATGTCCGAATTCTGAGTTCTGCATGCCTATCTCTGGTATCTCTCATTCAACCCGGTTGTCCACAAACTGTTCTGCCAAGGACTCTGTTTTTTCGTGTTTGTCACCATCATATAAAAAACGGTACCCGACTCCAGGAAATATTCTTTTAATCTTCTCGAATACATCCCAATCTTCTATTTTCTATGCAACTTCGTCTTCATGATGTCCTTTCAACTCCCTGCTCAACACCATGCACTCCAGCTTGGAAGCATCGAGACTGGTCTCCAGGTCAAGAAGCTACCAACCCCTCAACCCGGCCTAGGAAACGCCATCATCCGTATTGAAGCAGCTGGGATACTCTCGTATCATCGCGATGTCTACAACGGGAGTCGGCACTACTCCTTCCCTACTCCGATCATTGGCGGCATTAGCGCTGTTGGACGTATCACTGCCCTAGGACCCGATGCGACTGCGTTGAGTGAAGGACAGCTTGTATACGTTGATTGCGTAATCCGTGCACGAGACAACCCAGATACACTCTTCCTCTCTGCTATCCACGACAGCAGCGCCGATGGCAGCAAGAAGCTGATGCGAGATGTGTGGCGAGATGGAACTTTTGCAGAGTTCGCTAGATTCCCACTCGAAAACTGTATTCCATTGGACGAGGCGAGGTTGTGCGCCAGTCTGGGTTACTCTGTTCAGGACTTGGCATACATGGGCTATCTGCTTGTTCCGTTTGGTGGTCTACGAGACATCAAACTAGAGCCCGGGGAGACTATCGTTATCAGCCCGGCAACTGGTGGTTATGGCGGCGCAGGTGTGCAAGTGGCCATTGCCATGGGCGCAAGAGTTATCGCCATGGGCCGAAATGAGAAAGAGTTGGCTAGGTTGAAGGAGCATGTACTACACGGCTCGCCAAATGCCCAGATCGAAACAATGAAGATGACAGGAGATGAGGCTGAGGAGTTGGCGACACTCCAGACTTTTGGGACCATCGACGCCGTTTTGGACTTGACGCCGCCTCAAGGATCCAAGTCGTTACACTTGAGGAGTGCTACGAGTGCTCTTCGTCGTAATGGGCGCGTCAGTATGATGGGCTTCGTTGACCAACCTATAGTTCCTTGGACTCTCGTGGGTAAAAACATCACGATAAGAGGGAAGCTGATGTATGAGCGAGAGGACATGATACAGTTTGTCAAAATGCTGGAAAGGGGCTTATTTCCCCGCGCTAAGGCATTTGTTGATACGAGGGCATTCCAGTTGGAGGACTGGAAGACTGGGCTCGATATGGCGGCCGAGCACACTGGAATCGGAAAGCATGTAGTCTTTACCCCATAGGAACATCCAGTGGTACATAAGGTCTCACGTATGGATACACTTTCAATTTACTGATGTATATTGTTAAGTCGTCACGGCGCACTTGAAATCCCTAACAGTCTTTTAGGGTTTGGTACTCTGATTTTCGAGGTAGGCATATCCCTCTTCAATGACTGCGACTCAATCTCCTTCCATTATCATATACACAAGCTTCGATCGTGGCCACGTAACACCGCATTTGTTACATCTAAATGCTCCTGCGCTCTAGGAAACATCATACTCCACACAACTTCATGTCCATAGTATCCTGAGAAGAAGCTCCATCCAAGCATACTCGTTTCGGAATGGCTCCAAGAATTGTTCAACCCATTCGTTCCAGTCATCCTCCCATCGTCCGCAAGCATATATAGCTCTCGCGTAGTCCCAATAGCTTGGATACCAGCCCGCGTACTCCCAGTCTATAATGACAATGTCTGGATGGGTGACATCCCACTGCGCCTCCTTGCCCTCTACCATGGGAGAATTACGTATCATAATATTCTTTCTTTGGAAATCTCCGTGCGAGAAGACAGGCGCATGGTTGATAAAGAACTCCTTGTACGTACGCGCAAAGTAATTGGCCTGGTGTTTGGAGCAACCATCTTGAAGCTGCTTCGCAACCATGGCGTTATTGAGCTCCTCTTCCGTATCAAAGGGACCAGTAAATGGCTTTGATGGATCCATCGTCCAAAAAAGACCATCCGGTAGTCCTTGGTGGCTAAGGCTGCAGTATCCACCAGGAGATTCCAACTTTCGCATATCCTCGAAAATAATCCGGAGTTTGGCAGAAACAGCCACTTTTGACGCTCGATTCATCTTTGGCCACTCAGAAGCTAGAGTAGGACCTCTGATACGTTCCATAATGATGTAAGTTCTCTTTATATCACGGTACGGGGTCTGGAACAATGCGTAGACTCGTGGGACTGGAACACATGTTGATTGCCCTAAGAAAAGCGTAGTTTCTCCCTCGAGCTTGTCGACCTGAGCTCCATACTTGACAACAAAGTGAACCCCAATTCCAACGACCTTGCACTGCGTTCTGTCGCTAAGGATTTCCGTTGCAGCTTCGATTTCTTCCAACGTTGGCAGATTCGCGGGAAGACTTGCTTCGTCGGCGGTGTACAGTATATCGCAAGTTGTCATTCTGGATGTTGTTGGATAAACGCAAAAAGACGCTGAACAGGATTGCGATTGGCGTGTGAAGTACTTATAGGGCTGGACACGATCAGCGGTTCATCGATGTATTTGTTGAGTGATTCGCGTCTCAACGCAGGATCGGCGGATCGTAGCAATCTGTTTAAAGTTTTGGGTATTCTAAATATCTGGTTACATATGCGTTAGGATCCAGTAGCATTAAATACCCTGTTACCGCATCCTCCGAGAACAAAGGTGTTGGGGAGATTCAAACGTTTAGTGATGTCGTGGATTTTGTGGTTCAAGCAGGCAATACATTAGCCTTTACTGCGTAATTATAGCGGGAGGTTTTCTACTGCAAATTTCAAACGTTGTTGATCATAGGCTTCGAGTTCTTTAGAAAGATAATGATTGTTGTAGTGTAGATACAATATGACCGAAAACAAAGCTGCGGTCTCTGCCGATCCGCGCTTTTATAGCGGCTTGGCTCACGCCATCCTCTACTGGATGCGCTAGCGTTATTCAGCAGCCACTTCACCTGTTCTTCTGAGCAGCACTTTCGTCGCTGGATCTGAGTATAGAAACTCATCCGCATTCAGGTTGGCTGGCCTAGCTTGCCCCTCTGGATACTTCATGTCATACCTTGTAATCAAGCTCGCGAGCACGATCTTCAGCTCATTCGCCGCAAGAAACCGTCCAGGACATGCATATTTGCCATGTCCGAAATGCAAATGGTTCTTGTCCGTAGTAGCAAACTGGTGTTTGTGCGCTTCTTCGGAGTTCTGTCCCATCTTGTAGTAGCGAAAGCCGTCAAACTTGTCGGCGTGTGGGATGAGCCGAGCGTCTTTGGATGTAGCCTCTGAAGCTAGACATATGTGCGTACCGGTTGGCAAACGGGTGCCGTCGGAGAGCGTGATAGGATTCTGCACAATGCGATGGAAGCCCACTGAAACGCAAGTCAGTCCCACCGGATACTAATATAGACCAACTCGAAGAGTGAAAGTATCTTACGTAGGCTCGCTGGACTCAGGCGCTGAGATTCCCGCAAAAAACTATCCATCTTGCGCATTTTCGTCAGTGTTGGCTTCCCCCAGCCACCATCTTCCCCCAGCCACCATCTTCCTCCAGAACAGTTTCTACTTCTGTTCGCAGGGGTTCGAAATACTCTGGGTTTGCGCACATGTCGTAGATAGCGTGCGCCCCAGCCATAGTCGTGGTATGTACCGACGCAAGAATCAGTATAAGTTGCCGGTGTGCTAACTTCTCTGGTTGACGTTCGTGGCCAGTCGCAGCATCCATCATCCATTGTAGAAAGTCGTTTGGCTTGACGTAACCCCCCTTGCCCTCTTCCTCACGACGGCGCGCAATGACAGGTAGCAAAGCCTGTTTCGCGTGTCGAAGATGGGTGTGTAATCGCCAGCTCGATGGGAGAAAGAGCGCCACTACGGGTCGGAACCATGGGGGAAAGCATCGAATGACCATGATAGTGAAAGAAACTTCTTTTGCGTAACCGACCGAGGCCTGGAACCAGTCCTCGTTTCGGCCGTCGTGCTCGCCGAGGAATATCTGGTTCGAGATGCGAGCGATGATGATGGCAATCACCTCGTAAATGCGAACCTTGACCCACTCGTCTATCATAGTCAACATCGGGTCTGATCTGTTACCGGTTGCATCCGCCACCAAGATATCAAATCATACTTTGGCTTTTAGGAATGAGCGTCTTCAACTCCCGGTCTACTTCTTCTTTCATAATTGATGAGAAGGCAGCGAGATTGGGCGTCAGTCTGGTCTGAAGCAGTCGCGTATGCAAGTTGCCTTCCAACATGATGTCGGAGGCCGTATATTTCCCGCAGATGTTCTGTGTCGACAGATCAGCATCCTTACAATTATTGCATCATGTATTCTGAGGCGACGCACCGCGATCAACGCTTCGATAGAACTGAGCTTGTCGGCTGGAAGATTGCGCAATTCGTCAACATACTTATTCGAGATAACCACAAGATCGCGGTCATTTCGAGAGACCTTGAAAATGGCATTTTTCAACTTGGTAGGTGTTAGTATCAACTTTATATCTAGCAATTCCCGTGCAGATTACTCACTTTTCGATACCCTCGTTGATTTGAGGTCGCGCTCCTTTCGAAAAGCGCAGACGTACGAGAAAGGCAGGTTCGAAGATAGAGCGATACCCAGCATATGGAGCCACGACGTTATGGTTCGATTGCGAGATGTTTTTGGCAAACAAAAGTAGACAGCACCCAAACAGTATGATATAAAAGGAGTAGGTTTACACGGTAGTATTGGATACAGTACTGGATAGCCAGTCATGACCGGTGCTTGAGTGTGTCGTCTCATTATTGTGGGTCATATTGGGCATTGTGGACGACCAGACAGGCATAGTATATAAACTCGACAAAGCTCACGATCTCAACAGCTTTGTGTTTGTTTCACTCAAGCTAAAAGCTGACCTTCTGTGTTGCTGACCTACGCCATCGTGCCAGCTCTCAGCAGCATGAATAACAGAGTCCCTCGAAACTGCGAACTCACACGGCGGTACGTCAAAAGAAAGTGGCGTTGTCAGCCAGCAATAAATTGTATTGCCAATAAGAGTTTCACGACTGCTGTAAGATCAAGCCTCCAGTCAAGAAGATAAATGTGTGGCGCCCAGGGAGGGAGAAGAACTTACATTTCCCGCCAATGCAGCTTGTTCCCCGTTATCAGAGTTGGCAGGCTCTCGAACCGAGCCAATGCGACGTTTAAAGTCCATGGTATATGCCGCGTCAATGAATTCGACAACCTTGTCGACATGCCTACTGTCCTCATTGATGGTCAGGATGAAAACATATTCATTCCTGTATTTGCCTGCGTCCGTATCGGCTCGGTTGGTGCAGTGCAAGACCACTCTTCGCGCTTCAACGTCCACGATTGTATCGCTATCGTTCACGATACTAATCTCGACGTCGCGGAAGACGGATAACATGGGTTCAACAAACGTAGCGTAATCCGTCTTCGATCATGGGGGTTAGAGCTGGGGAGTGACAGGGGAACGAACAGGGGAGATGAACGAGCCGCGTGGAGAGGCGCGGGCATCAACCGTAGCGTCCGCAGTTGGTTGCGCCCTAAATCCGGGCACTAGTAAACCCGTTAACTCCAGTTACTATCACCGAAGCCTTGTCCTGGCTTCAAGCCACACCGTATTGAGCTGCACACAATAGATACTCCCTTATCCATGACTTTGCTTGATACTTAGCCCAAAACTTCACACGGCTTGGCTAGCTTCTTTTTTGATCCTAAAGTATTCCTGTAACCTGCTCGAGAACCACATCACACGTCCTGCACAATAATGGCAAACAAAGATACAGTCACGGGCACGGCCATTCCAGTAGCCAAAGTCGAAGCCAACGGCATGAACGCCAGCAGTGTACAAGACATGGAGAAATTGACTACGTCGACTATCGTCGACTGGGATTCTGCAGACGACCCAAACAATCCCATGAACTGGTCAAAGAACAAGAAATGGTCTACAATCGCTCTGGTCGCATACATTACCTTTGTTACGTACGTCAGCTATCCGCATACGACGAGACAACCTGATTAACTTTCAACCACGCAGGTCCTTTGGATCCACGATATTTGCACCCGGCGTCCCTCAGTTGTTGAGAGACTTTCACAACACCAATGAGGAGCTTGCAAGCTTCATCGTCTCCATCTACATTCTCGGATTCTGCGTTGGTCCCCTGTTCCTTGCGCCGCTCGGTGAAATATACGGTCGCTTCCCAGTGTACTATGTTGCCAACATCCTGTTCCTCATATTTTCCGTCGCGTGCGCAGTGAGCACGGGTATGGGGATGTTCGTGTTTTTTCGTCTCTGCCAGGGAATCTCCGCTTGCCCTCCACTGGTTCTCGGCGGTGGAACTATCTCAGATTTGATGGTGCCAGTCGAGCGGGGAAAAGCATTAACAATCTGGGCAATGGGGCCGCTACTAGTAAGCCAACCCACATGGATTGACTCGATCCCGAAATTGACAAACCATTGTAGGGACCTGTTGTTGGCCCGGTCATTGGTGGATTCATGGCACAGGAAATCGGATGGCGATGGACGTTCTGGTTCACTGCAATCATGGTAAGGAGCTTGACTTCTCCAAATTCTCAACGATCGCTAAAGCTTTTTTAGACGGGAGTTGGAATCATAGCGACGCATTTCATCCTGCGAGAAACGTACGCGCCAGTTCTACTTGAGAAGAAAGCTGCAAACCTCCGAAAGAAAACAGGCGATCCCAATCACAAGTCCAAGTTCGATAAGGGCTTCACCCGCATTCAGTACTTCAAGCTTGCTATCATTCGGCCCACTAAGATGTTGTTCTTCTCGCCCATCGTTGCTATCCTAGCAATCGACATGTCCATCATCTACAGCTACCTTTATTTCTTGTTCACAACCTTTGGCTTCGTCTTCCAGGAACAGTACGGTTTCAACGCCGGGGAAGTAGGTCTCGCTTATCTAGGCTTAGGTGTTGGATTTGTCCTCGGACAGTTTGGTGTCGGAAGCATGGCGGACAAATACTACAAGAAGAAGGCAGCTGAAGGACCAACAAAACCAGAACATCGACTTCCACCGTTGATTGTCGGTGCCTTCCTGATCCCGATTGGTCTCATCTGGTATGGATGGTCAGCCAAGTACGCAGTACACTGGATTGTGCCCATCATTGGTACATCATTCATCGGCTTCGGTATTATGTGTGCTTTCTTGCCAATTCAGATGTACCTTATCGATACCTTTGGTATGTACGCAGCAAGTGCACTGGCTACCAATACTGTAGTCAGGTCGCTGTTTGGGGCAGTATTACCATTGGCCGGACGACGGCTGTATGCGGATCTAGGATTGGGCTGGGGCAACACGTTATTGGCTTTCATCGCTCTTGCTTTGTCGCCAGTGCCGTTCCTATTGCTCAAGTACGGCGAAAAGATTCGTACTCATCCTAAATTCCAAGTCACTCTATAAGCGTGGCAGAGCTTTGTCCTCTGCTCTTGCGACGGCCTGCTTGATGAGAGGATTCAAAAAGCACTGAAGCAGTGGGTTATGATGAGATTCGCGCACCTGAGAAAGTGGGATAAGTTCGATATCCCGAGAAATAACGCAAGTCTAATACTGTCATACATTGCAATTCAACTTTCGTGGTCTTTTCCCAACCCAACAGACACTCAGTGCATATGAAGTAAACAATGGTAATTAGTCATCCTTGTTCTCGAACACTTTTGATTACCTCTCAGTAAACTTGAGATACATATCACCAGGAGCTGCTGTAAACTGCGTTTTTGTGTTCTTTTCGAACCCCGTTCCATCCTCGCCCTCGGCGAACCCTAGATCAAACTTCATGATTAATTTCGCAGTTGTAGATCGAATGTTCAACAACACCAGAGGTTTTCCAATGCAGCTATAGGAGCCTACCGTTGTCAATACATAGTTGGGAAACGTCAATGGTAGTATCGTAACTGCAGAGAAGGGCGCATACGCGCCCTTTTCTTTCACCAAACTGGGCGATGTAGACCAGCACTCGGGTATAAAGCCCCTCGCATTGTCATAGACGGCCTCACCTATGGTTTGGGAGGTCAGTCGACCCAACCGTGGGATTCCAGACACTTCGCAGAACTTACTTCTACCAATCACGTATTGCGGACACCAGACGGTGGTATAACCAGGAATATATGTATCTTCGATATGTAGTCCCTCAGGGGGCGTTGCGCGTTGCAGTGCGGTACTCACAGGTGGATGGAGCCGAAGAGTCTCACTGATAACGGCATTCAAGTGCTCCAGGTACTGGAGTGGGTGGTGTTGTATATCATTATTGACACTTATGTGAGGTGCTAGTTCTTTTCTTAAACGTGGTATATAATCGGGGTTTTGACGAGCTCATATAACAAACTTGATAATGTGGTCGCCGTGGTATCGCCACGGCAAATTAGCAGTGAACGATTGCTTGCTACTACATACGAACCTGCCAGCGACGATTATAAGCTGCGTATCTCCTTATAGCACGTTCAAGTCCGCACCGGAAGGTGTGAAACCGTTGTACGGTTCGAGTAATGTAGTAAGGATTGTCGACGTTATCTTCTTATCCTGACTAAAGCATTAGCAACACGGAATATATCGGTGGATACAGGAACGCATACATCGATCACCTCATCCAGTTTCTGGCAACAGTATACAATAAAGCGCCACCACCCTCTTGTTGCAAACGAAATCGTCGTCAACAACCGCGTAGGCAGCATGAGGCCCATCGGTGCCATGGCTTCATCCACCAGCTTCACCGCCCAATGCATCTCGCCATTTCTTAGCATATCGAACGACTCTCCAAAGGCAAGGTCACCCATAACATCGAAGCTATACAAACTAAGTAGCTCAGTGACGTTGATGGGTTGCTGTGCCGCTGCCTGCACTTTCCGCATCAACTGGTCCTGGAAGACGGAAATACTCTGCTCGTAACCACGCAGTGATTTCTCGGCAAATGCACGGCTCCAGATGCGACGTCGTTGACCGTGCAATGCTCTGTTACGCGTTGTTTGTATTGATACCATGGGCAGAGTTAGGTCGTACCAGTCCGCCTTTGTGCATTTTGACTGCGGGGCGTAGATTACTTGAACGGCTTTAGGATGAACAATGGACAGGTCGGAGGAGCCGATCCTTAAGAAATCGCCGTAGGTCTCGTGTAAAGCAAAGAGTCTTTTGTGCGCATCGCAATTTCGCAAGTGCAGCGATAACCACAGGTTGGAAATTTTGGCGCCAATGGGGCCAGGGAACCTACGTAATGGGCTGAGGAAAAAGTGGTCGAAGATCAGGCTGAGATAAAGACCATTGAGAAAGAGGGCAATGAGTACGAGAACATTGCCGAGAGCGGTCTGTAGCGATTTCGAGTAGTTCAAGGTACTGTTCGTGACATGTGCAGTCACAAAGAGGAATATTAGCTGAAAGTACCTTCCGCCAAACATGTGATGCTCGAATCGATGGAAGCAGCATAGATGTGTAGCTACTCCAACCAGCACGAGGCACAGGCTGCGTATGGAAGACATAACTACTTGTTTCGAGGAGCAAAAGGTCTGGAAGATCGATGAGTAGTTCCAGCAATGACAGTATTGACCTCCTGTAATGTGGAACCGTGCCAGGGAATGATCCACAAACCTCCCCCCCGTAACCTGCTATCAAAACTCTCATACGATACAATCTTAAATGACCGCTCTCCCAGCGTGCTATCTTCGAGTAAATTAAAGGAAAGAACCTGATGGAAAGCAGCAACATGAATCAATCCACCGAGTCTGCGTTCTAAAGTGGAGAGATGGCCAGATCGCCTTCTTTGGCAATTGGAATTGTCGTCTTGTCTATTGTTTCTACATATCTTTAATATGTAATAAACGACTTCCTTCTCACTTTTCTCAAAAGGCTAGCGCATTTTCTACCGTTCAAGATTACGCAAGTCATTCGCCCCACCAAGGTCGACGTCCCTGTGATAGAGTTGGCCGACGAAGGAAATTATCATGAGCTACTGGCTCGCGGATCTAAACAGGTTCGTCCTCAAAAAATTGCGATGTGCCAGAAAGGGATGAATAATATTGACGATGAATAGTATCCAGATCGTCCTTACAAGTTTCGTCACCACCCAAGCGAAATCGTAATCTTACCTTTCAAGTACATGGATGAGATCAAGAATGCACCAGAAAACAAACTGAACTTTCAACAAGGCTCTTTCGACATGCTGATTGGTGAACACACCGGCATCACGGGTCATGATCTTGAAATGGCTAGTTTGATTCGGAGGGTTGTTGGACCCTGCTGGACCGCGTCTACACCATTGTAGACCTCGTACACAATCAGGACTGAGCTGTGGTACAAGGGGTGCGATTTAGGATAATGCAGATGATTATATACTTTGTCTTCGACAGTAAGTGTAACATGTTGTAGTAATTGCCATGATTCAAGTGCTAACGATGTCTTTTAGACAAGATAGAGGAAAGTGAGGGATCGGCGGTAAGTGTACCCCGGGTAGATGATGCTCGGCCTTACGGTTAATGTCTTTCTCCACAGCTTTCAGATCTCAGAAACGACTTTTTCGGCCGCTTCGATGGCCCCAAGGCCGAAATAACACGAAAGTCGACAAGTCCGCTCCAACAGCACTTGGATGACGTGGTTAGCAGCATATATGACGAAGATGCTGCGGGAGGTAATGGAGGCCATGGGATACTCCAAGCACTGCGAAGTGCGTTTCGTTTCGTTCACCCTGAGGGAAACTTCTTTTCTGTTCAGCAGTACCTTGAATTCCGGCAACTGAACGTGGGCGCAAGGTAAGCGTTTTTGTACTGCTCAAGTAGCTCGATGTGAAAGATGAGCTAACACCGTCCAAGCTTCGTGATTGCGGCCGCAAAATTCACTATCAAATCAGGCGTGGACGAATCTGATCCGCGCTTTGCCAGATACCTGACTTTGGTTGGGGATCACGTGGGTCTCGTTAACGATTGTTGGTAGGGGCGATTCCCCGGTCTGCATCACTAGTTTAGGACTAGCGCGCGAGCTATAGAGCTCGCGCCTCCTCTATAGTAAATCTACAACTCTTACACTACACATACTACGTTTTATAGGTTATAAGCACCTGCGCCTCTGTGCCTTTTTATAATTACTATATTATCCTCTTTTAATAATTATATCTATCTTCCTTTTATAGTTCTTTACTCTTAATAAATAGCAAATTTATTATTGCTAGAAGGTCCTGCTACTTCTACCTAAGGAAACGCGTTATATCTATAACGCGTCTACGTTACTACTCTAGTAAACAGTACCTTACTAGTAGCCTTACCTCTATATAACAACTACCTATATACTAGGTATATTATAGCTACTAATTATATATTTAAGCTTAACTCCTCCTCTTTTCTAAAGCTTACTTTTTAGGGTAATAATTACCTAGAATAGTGTTTAGCATAGACTATAGCCCTTAAGTATACTAGCCTCTAGAATATTATTAGGAAGAAGACTACCTGCCCTATCCTTAAAGGTAATACCTAAGATACCTAGAATACTAATAATACTAAGGCAATAGTAATACTTATAAGCTCTGTTTATACTAACTTAACTATAAGTATTACTACCTACAGCACAGCTTTAGCTGCCTAGGAGCACCTATCTGCCTAATTTAACTAGAATATAGGTACTACTAGTATCTATCTCTTCTGTAACCTTACAAACCTTAGGTATAGTAATAGAGATAACTTTATACAGCACCTAAATAAGTTCTATTAAATATAGATATGTATATCTAAACAGTGCTAGATATCTTTATAAATAGTAGTAAAAGCTATAAAACCTATATTTAAGTTAGATAAAGTTAAGAGATTCTTCTTCCTAATTATATTATTAGATATAATAGACTATATTATTAATAACCTATTAACCTACAATGTTACCTTCTTTATAGATATTAAGCTAAAAATGCTTAATCTAGCTAAAAAGTATAGTATTAATATTAAGGATACTTTAGCCTACTTAGTAAGAACCTTCTCTAGTAACTAAGCTACTAGACCTCTATTCTACTCTTCTAATACTAAGGCTCCTGTGTTAGAAACTTAGATATCTCTAGTTAAATATATATAGTATTAGAAGTAGAACTTTACCTTTATTAGCTATTTATACTAGGATTACTATAAGCTTAAGAAATATTAAGACTCTAGAGCTAAATAAGTTAGAGAATTTAGAAATATAAAGTAGGCTAAATCCTTGTAATCTAGAGCTAACGCTGTCCTTATCTTAGATAATAACTTAAACTTAGAGGTAAATACTTTCTTAGCTACTATAACAAATACCTTTAGTAAATAATACTACTAGGTTAGTATAGATTTTAATTTACTTCCTATTACCTACACTACTATTGCTAAAGCTACCTACCTATCTTAACCTAGACCTAGTACTATTACTTTATAATAGTTATTTAACTCTAGAGCTTTATAATATATATCTAGTAACATTAATAATTTTACTACTCTACTCCTTTAGCAGAGCATAATTATAATTACTAGATAACAGAAGCTTCTAATTAATAGCTAGAGCACTGTTTACTTTTCCTATTACCTACCTAATAGCTTAACTTAGATAACAGAACTAACTAATATTCTTTATAGTAAGAAACTTTGCTCTATAAGATTGTTTAGCTAGCTATACGTATAAAATAAAGAATGTAATATATAGGCTTAAGAAGATAACCTCTTCTTAGTTAAGTCTAACAGTTCTTATTTAATATAGGCTAAATACTACTAGGGCGTTATAGAGATCTAGACTATAAATTCTAACTTACTATCTGCTAATTTTGCCTTATATAAGGAGTTTTACTATACTATTAGCTACTTCTATATCTTAGGAAATTCCTTATATCTATACGTAGACGTAGATATAATTCTAAGCAAGCCCTTAAACTTTACCTATAAGCCCTATTAAATGTTTAAATTAACCTATTCTAAGCTAGGATTACTGCTGCTAAATAGTACCTAGTGCCTAGAATATATATACTCTAATCTTTCTAGAAAGTTTTCCTTACTATTAGTTAGTAGTACATAATATTTTATCTTATTTATTAATAAAAATACCTGCTTTGCCTAGATACGCTTCCTTAAAAAGAAGTCTAATATACTAAAAATTATTATAGATTTTATAGTATATCTAGAACGCTAGTTTAACGCTAATATTAAGACCTTCTATTCTAATAATAGGGGTAAATATATAGCTAGCAAACTCTAGATATTTTTTAATAGAAATAGTATAATCTACAGTAAGGCTTCTTCCTATTACTATAAGTCTAATAGTATAGCTAAGTATTTTAACTAAACTATTATTACTACTGCTTATACTATAATTACTAGTAACTTAAATATTAGGCTTTAGGCTAAAGTAATTTATACTATAATATTTTTAAAAAATATTATACCTTATTTCTATATTCTAGTCTAGGAGACTCTGTATAACGCCCTCTTTAATTAACTACCTATAATTAAGTACCTGTACTCTTTTAGATTAGAAGTTTATATCTATATCCTATTTAAAGCTAAAGCTCCTAGTACTAAACTTATGTACTAGTCTAAGCTTAGGATTTTTGTAGGTTATAGGAAATTATTTAAGATACATTGCGTATATATTCCTAGCTAATAAGTTATCTTAGAATCTAAGGATATAAAGTTTAAACTGTACCTCCTAATAGTCTATAAGCTCCCTGCTATTAACTTTAGTAATAAATTAATAATACCTACTGCCCTAAAATCTAAATCTTTAACTAGCAGAGGAGACTTTAAACTATTAATTCCTAAGCTACTAATTATACCTATAAGACAGAAGATATTAAGACTAGCACTAAGCCTTTCTAAGCACTTACTAATTTGCTAGCCTATTACTACTCTTTCTACCTCTAAAAAGGTACCTAAGATATCTACACCTTTAGCCTCTACGCTAGTAGTTACTACTTAATCTAGTAGAACTATAAAACCTAGCTGCAAAGCTCTAGGAAATATAGCAATATTCTCTAATAAAGATAAGATATATATATTTATAACCTAAGACTGCAAAGATATAGTTCTAAAGATATTACAAGAAGCTAAATAATCCTATAAGTAGTACTAGTAGGAAAAGGCTATTTACACTAAGCTTAGATTACACTAGAAGAATAGTATATAAATAGAAGCTAAGGAATCTAAGTCCTACTATATTATTAGTTTATAATAGGTCTTTGCTGTTAAATATAATATATCTAGTAATATAGTTTAGTATAAAGCCTAACTTATTACCTAAGGATTCTTATAAGTGCCTAGCTAGGACTTTACTAAAACTTACTCTTCTATTATCTACTATAACAGCCTCTATCTACTGCTGTAGTAGAGTTCTTAATATAACTATAATATCTACTAAATTAATTTTAACACTACCTACCTTAATAGTAACCTATTAGAGAAGTTATATATATGTTAGCTGCCTAGAAACTTTCTCTACCCTAGAAAAATCCTAAGGCTCTGTAAAACCCTATATAGCCTTAAGTAGTTAGGAAAGGAATAGTTTAGTATACTCTATAACTACCTCCTATCTAATAGATACTTATAGATAAACTTTAATTCCTATATATTTATTAAGTATATTATAATAGCTATCTATGTTAATAACCTACTCCTAGTTAGTCCTGTAGCTAAAATCTAATATTTTAAGAATATAATTTCTAAGAACCTTAAATGCAAAGACCTTAGCTAAGCCTATTACCTATTAGGATTAGAAATTAATATATAACCTAAATTTATTACCCTAAGCTAAAATTAATATACTCTTTAAATCCTAGACTAGTTTACTATAGTATAATATAATAGTAGATAAACTCCTCTTAACGCTAATATATTTCTAAGCTGTACTAATAAACCTATAGATAAAGACTATAGATAACTCTTTTAGTAGCTTATTAGATTAATTAACTATTTAGTTATTAGTACTAGGCCTAACCTAGCGTTTACTGTTAGTATACTTAGTACTTTTAATTCTAATCCTTTATCTAACTATTATAAATTAGCCCTTTAAGTACTACGCTATATTAAATATATATATTAGTATATTCTTACATTCTAGCGTAACTCTATATAGGCCTCTATTAATATATTTATAGATACTTTATAGAGCTCTAATCTAGATAACTTTAAAAGTTTTAGTAGGTATATGTAAGGGCACTATAAACAGGTAATTAAGATATAGGATAAATAGGTATTTATTAAGAGATTAGACAAATCCTTAGGGTATAAGCCCTAGAGATTTATAAGTACTATATACTAGAGCTCTAAGGGCCTTACGCCCTTAGCCTAGAGGTCTACTAAAGGTAGGCTAACAGAAGCTTAGATAGAAATACCTATAATAAAGCTCTCTCCTTTCTTATAGTTTATCCTAAACTGCTAGAATTTTTAGAGTAGATAAATAGGTATTTAATTTACATAGTTACCTTAATTAAACTCTATAAAAACCTCCTATAGAGGGAAAATAGTTTAGGAGAAATTTAGTACTAAATTATTTAAGTTTTCTCTAGGCTAGTCCTTAGATCTAGCCTAGGGGCCTACTATACTAGGCTTATATCCTTATTACTAAGTCTTTGTAACTTTAGTAAGTATAGCCTAGTTTATTATAGGTAACTGCTAGGCCTCTGTAAAAGGTCCTATTTATTATTATCCCTAGATTATAATCCTTAGGGGCGCAGTTATACTTACTATACGTTATTATTAGTAACTTTGTGTTTATAAGTTTTGCCTTATTAGGTACCTATTAACTATATAGATAGTTTATTAGGCTCTGTTACTTCTCTAGCCCTATTCTAGGGGCTTTATAATACGTAATTATGTAAAGTAAAGGCTTAATATAGAGTTTACTTATAATAATTTATTATTTACTTACTCTATTATTATAGTTAGTATTTATACTAACTTATGTAATTATTTATAGGCTAGCGTTATCCTTATAAGGTATATTACTAGTAGCCTCCTTAGAGGTTTATCCTGTGTAGGCAGTACTTACTTTAATATTAGTGCCTATTATACTCTTTATAGGGTTTATAACTATAGTTCCTTTATAGAGGTCTATTAGCTCTTTATAAGTAGTTTACTAGGTATAGTCCTAGTATCTTAAGTAGTATTTATTATTTATTTATATTATAATAACTTTTTATAGTTATTAGTATACGTAAAGTAAGGTAAAGTAGTATAGTATTATAGTAGTTCTAAAGGGCCTATGCGCATGTACTAGATAGGTATAAAATACCTATATATTACTTTATAACTTTAATATTACTATAATAACCTTCTTCTTATTAACTTACTATGCTTCTGCCTTTCTATATTAGTAATATACCTCTGCCTAAGTAGATCTACTAGCTCCTTACTAGTATAGCCCTTTAGCCTACCCTTACTTACTTCTAGTATATAGGCTATATTAACTTTCTTACTACTACCTCCTAAAAACGCCTTTCTAATAGTACTGTTATATTGTTTTTTAAGCTATAGTAGGGTAATAAGCTGTACTATAAATGTAAGGCTAGTTAGGGTATCTATAGTAGTTATTCTAATACTAAGACTAGAGGTTATACTAAGGTAAGTTTTCTATTCTATTCTATCTATACCTTGTTTATTGCTAACTCTAATAGATCCTGCCTAAGTTCTATTACACTATTAATATCCTTAACTACTACCTTAAGTACGCCTTACGTAAGACTTAGAAGTTTACTAGCTTTATATCTACTACTAACTCTAATACGCTCTTTGTAGATAACTAGGTATAGGCTAACTAGGTAAATACTTATACCTATACTAAGGCTTATTATAAGAGTTTCCTTAAGTATAATTATACTAAGTACTATACTATTACTAATAGCAGTCTCTCTACTATAGCTTTTAGTTAGGCTTATTAAGTTTCTACTTAGTATAACTTAGAGTAATATAAGGTTAGTCTACTATTATTCTAGTATCTTTCTGTTACTAATCTGTTCTAGTTAGGTCTTAGTACTTATACTAGTA